TAATTTTAGATTTTCAGCATAGATGTATATTATCCATACTTTTGGTTGAGTGATAACTATTTTGTATTAATAATTCGACCATTTTATTTTTCAATTGTCTTAGAAACGTTAAAATATTTCGCGCAATGCAATGTGACAAAATAAAATTATTATACTACCTAACAACAGTACTGTAACTGAATTATTCGAGGCCTGTGTGCAAATAAAAAACTTGAGACCCCTTATCATTGTACATTTTTGAACATTTGACATTTTGAGGCCCCGTAATATGGTACGAGGCCCGGGGCCTGCATGCAATGCACACTCTGTACATCCGGTTTTTACAGCACTGACTATAAATCTGAACTTTTAAAGATAATAATTTTGATTTGATTTTAATAATTTTATGTTTTTAAATCATAGTAACATAATATAACATGGATACAAACGAATACAGTACTTATTTGAAAACTTATTTTACTTTTACTTGTCATAGAAGATACAATCATATTTAGAATTTGAACAAAATATTAATTAATGTTCTCAAAAATGCAGTAGGAATTTCTTCTTGAAGAAATAAAACAAATTATCGTACATGAAATACCTACATTTTAGTTGTCATTGTTTAATATCATTTTAATGGCGTAAGCGTGTAACAATGTAATTTATCAAATATGAATTCCACAACTATATTTATTGATTTTTTTCTTTTTTTTTTTAAGTGATTTAAAACAAATCAACACTCCAGTCTATGTAAAAATAAACAATAACCGTCCGGCGAAATTAAATACGAGTATCTATAATAATAATAATTTAAATTATATTTTTGTGCAAAATCGTATAGTTTTTTAAATTCTACACATATTGGACGGAAACACTATAAATAATCTTTTTCACCGAGTTCATAAACCTATACATTATAATATGTACATTACACACACACGTATATATATAGTTATATTTATTCTTGTATTCATATTATGTATGTTTTAAGGTCAAGTTCACAAGTAATTGTTCTACCCACAAGTTATTTAAACGTATATAGTGAACACACTATACAGGTTCATTGAGTGAACGTTTCGCCGGAATCGCGTGTAGCAAAAAACTTGAATGTAATATTGACTTAACAATAGATATGCTTTTAAGACTGCTACAATAGTACACGCCTATGTCAGTTAACTAATGTTTAATTCCAATTTCAAAAGACCCATACTGTTGTCAACTTAACAAAAAGAGAACGCCATCGAAGTGCACTCGTCGTTTTTACGACGATGACCTGGATCGACTTGTTTTTCGAATTAATACACATAAATGGTCGTAATCATAAACATGTGTCCGTATTATAAAAATCCGTGTATGCAAATAAAAAACCGACCCTGGTATTAAAACTATACATAACCTCCGCAGTTTTGTGTATATTAAATTAAAACATTGTATTCGATTATTATATATTTAATCTTTTTGAGATCATTAAACGCCGTCGAGAAAATAAATAATCTTTTAACGAGTTCACACCGATCCTTTTATACGAAATAATAGGTTATATTAAACGTGGTTTCTAAATCGTATTATCCATTACAGATTTTACAATATAAACTCAATATTATTATTATGTGGACGCCTCACGTAAGTAAATGTATTTTCATACTTACGATCGAGTTACAATCATCGAACAGCGTTTATTTATACTCATTGTGGAATGTAATAGTTAAATTTGAGTGAAGGAATTTAATGGAATATTCTATAATTATACAAATTAGCATTATATTTATGCATTATTACACGTAACTATGCATTACTATTTATAACAAAACAAAATCCGTTCGAATAGATTATTTTTTACCGTTAATCGTTGAAATGAAATCATCTCAAAAAAAAAAAATCACAGCCAAATTACTATAATATACACTGTTTATTTTTAAAATTTTAAAATAATTATAATTATATCATAGTTATTATAATAATTCCATAAATATATTCTTGAATTGCATACGTTTCTAGGGTCAAAAAATTACAATAAATGTGATACAATGATTATTTAACTCGTGAGTTATTATTTTAAAAGATTTACATATTTACCTAGGCATATTATTATTGACGTTTGGTCTAAAGCTTCTAAAGTTGTGTTCATTGTTTTTATATACACATAAAATATATCATTTTTATTATAACGCGTTCATTCCGGAAAATATTACGTCTAAAATATAAAAACATTATTTTCTATTCTGTTTTTATTTCTTCAGATGAATTAACTCTTTTTTATCGATAGTTGTAGTTATATAATAATCCGTTATAGTAATTGAATTTTTCCGTGATTTGACAATGAAAATGCTCACTTTATGGCGTAGGTATTATAGAATTTCGGACAATAACCACTGATTGTTTATTTAGATCAAAAAACTTCTCATCATTACTTAGTTCCAAAATGTGTTGCTTTGTTGTATCAACTAACAATGTACATTGTTTTATATCTAGAGTAGTTGATTGCAAGTTAAGTGATAAATAAATAATGATATTTAAAATTTCGTTTAAACAAATAATTATTTGTTAGGTTAGGAAACTTGGTGAACTGTAAGACCAAACCCTTTGCCTAAATAGCTTTTTGTTTTTTTTATAACTTTAAGCTGTATTAAGAACTTTTAAAACATCAGTAAAATATGTATATTTTTTTTTTAAATATAATATACTTGTGTTTTGAAAACTATTTTATTTCAATGTTGAAAATAGCCCCCCCCCCCCTTTGATGTTTTATCAAAACCGCCATTTGACTCAAGATAAACTTCTTAATATCAATTGTAATACGAAATTCGATGTAGCTTTTTGTATAATTTTGTGTATCAGGCGATGTGTATAAGCTGTTTTTTGGTTATAATTTAAAATGGTCATTAAAATTTTAATTTTCAATGGAGAGTAATTTTATTAGTTCTATAAAGTATTTATTTTTTGCGTTTTAACGTGGCCACAAATTTATATCATAATTTTCACTTTTATATTCTGAAGAATTTATTTTTTAAAGTTCACGCAGTCAGATAGCTGTCGTGTACAAAATAAAACACATCGTATTTCACTTAATTAAATAGTTCTATTTTTGATAACTTGCTCCTCAACTTGTTGATTTATTTAATTCGAAATTAAGCCTGTTTTTTGATTAAATGCCCTACAACATATTTAGCAAGCGAGGTCTTATATAGTGTACTATTTTCGTGTTTTTTATCCATATTACTTATATTTTTTCAATCAGAATATCCAACAATAATTAGAAAATATTTTCCATTTGGGTCGTAAAATGGAAAGGAACTGACAAAAATAAAAACATAACATGGCATTCATCTGAATTGAATATATACATATATATATATAACCATGGATACTTGCAGGGTCGGATTGAGTCAGAAATTTCTACCGGGAAAATAAAAAAACGACCTACTTAAATAGACCAAAGGTATAAAAACTTGCTGTTTTCTAGGCAAAATGCATATTTGACAAATTTTGGCAATTACATTTTTTTTTATAGCATATTTACGCAGTTTTGTTTCAAATTTATTTTAAAGATGAATATTATTTGTTTATTTGTTATGCGTCGGTTAATATACCTATTCATAGAACAAATCTTCGCATAATTCGCATCACAAAACACGACAACTAAGGATATACCTATACTTTATATTGTTTTGGAGTATAGCTCAGTTTATTTATAAATATGAGATAATAACAACATTATCTGGACGTGGCATTTAGGGAAATACCTAAAAAATTGTTTCTGTGTATACTATTGTTAAATCGTAAATCGTTTTGAGTAAGTAAAGGAAAATACGTATTCACCATTCAGTATTTCAGTTTGTTTTCGTGCTCCGTGGCTTTTATACGTTGTTATTCTCTTGTAGTTATTTTATAGTTCTCGTAATTATTTTAAAAATGCTGAAAATAATGAACAATTCGCGTATTAAACAATATATATCCGAGTTTGGGGAAAATGTTTTTTCAAGTGATGGTAAAATTTTGTTTTGTAAATTTTGTGAAACAAAAATAAATACAGATAGACGATATTTGGTTACTCAACATTTGAAGACCGAAAAACATAAATCAGCTGTAAAACGTAAGCAAGATCAGATGAAAAATAAATCACAACAACTAGTTTTTATTGCTATGACTTCTAAAAAAAAGTTCTTTTAACCACGATTTGTGTAATACCTTGCTCTCCGGTAATATTCCTTTAAATAAATTAAACAATCCTAAATTCAGAGAATTTTTGTCTAAATACACGGGAAAAGACATTCCATTTGAGTCAACTTTGCGAAAAGGTTACGTCGACGATGTTTTCAATCAAACAATTAATAAAATTAGAATGTATGTTGATGGAAAAAAAATTTGGGTAAGCATCGACGAAACCACAGATGTAACTGGTAGATTTGTAGCTAACGTTATTATCGGTACACTCGAAGAAAATGGGCCTGGTCAAATATTTTTGTTAAACGTGGAAGAGCTAAAAAAAGTAAATCATTCAACAATTTTTAAATTGTTCGATAAGTCAATGAATATTTTATGGCCTGACGGTGTTAAACATGACGATATTCTGTTATTCTTGTCTGACGCTGCCCTATATATGATTAAGTCTGCAAAATAAATAAAAACATTGTATTCGAAAATGATACATACCACATGTCTTGCTCACGGATTACACAGAGAGGCTGAAACCGTTCGTATTCTAAATCCTGAAGTCGATAAAATTATTGCTAGCGTAAAAAAAATCTTTATAAAAGCTCCATCTCACGTTTAAATTTTCAAAGATATTGCTCCATTATTATCACTGCCACCTGAACCAGTATTAACGAGGAGGGGGGAGTGTGGATTCAAGCTGCTCTTTATTATTGCGAACATTTTGAAATTATAAAGTCGATGGTAAACTCATTGAACAAAGATGATGCAATATCAATAAAGACAGCACAAAAATACATCGAAAAAAAAACATATTCAAACTCAACTTGTATTTATAAAATCCAACTTTTCATTTTTACCAAACGCAATAAAGAGTCTTGAAGAACAAAACATGACACTTGCCAGTTCTATTTCGATAGTGAGGGACGCAAAAATAAAATTAACTCAAATAGGTGGAGCTCAAGGAAAAACGGTTAAAACAAAAGTAGAAACTGTGTTGGAGAAAAATGAGGGATACATATTAATGGTTAAAATTTCAAATATTTTATCTGGAGACCAGGAAAGTTTTGAGGGTTTACCTGAAGATTTAACATTAAATGACTTGGTATATTTTAAATATGCCCCGATTACATCAGTGGATGTGGAACGGTCGTTTTCGATTTATAAAAATATGCTAACCAACAATCGCCGTACATTTAAATTTGATAATATCAGAAAATGTCTTATTGTACAGTCAAACTTTACAGATAAACAATTAATTATTTTTATATTTAAAAATAATTTAAATATTATATAAAATACTAAAGTTTTTCCTTTTCGCTGTAGGAGAAGACGAAGAAAATTAAACCAACCATACACAGTAAAATAAACTAAATTAAAGAATTGTCTACATTAAAAATTTAATAAATTACTTTTTTTTAATTGTTAATAAAAAAAATTTTAGTTGCATATTTTTACGCATATTTTAGTTATTTTTAGTGCATATGTGCATGCATATTTCCTACAATTTATATGCAACAAGTCCCGAACCCTACTAATGACGGTTGTATAGTTTTCGTCCTGTGGTGCATATAGGAATTATTTTCATCAATTTACCCCCACTATAGCTACAACTAGAAATTTTTTAGGGAACGGGTGGTTTTAATTATGACATAAATGATACAAATATATAAATTTAAATTTATTAATATATATTTATTATTAAATAAGATACATAATAAATTAAGCATTTTTCTCCGAAAGTGTGACTTAAAATGTTTTTGACTTAATATTATGTAAAATTCATTTTTCTATTTTTTTAAATTAAAATATTAAATTTTTCTTTAACATTAAGGGGTATGTTACGATGAATCGTCATCAACGCAAAGGCCTGAAAATCTAACGTTGCCTTAGTGATATCTCAAAAATGTTTTATGTCGACCTAGTGTTGAAAAACTCCTTTCAACAACTTTCAATAAATGCAATAGTAACAGGTATGGTATATAATATTTTCAACAGAACATATTTTGTTGAATATTCATCTTTGTTACATTTTTTTAAAGCTTCATAGCATTTTTTTGAAATGCTGTCAAATGAACAAAAAAGTTTCCATTTACTTCTCCATAGCTATCTTTAAAATCAATTTGGTAAAAAGTAATTGCATCTGATACATCAATATAGTTAGAATTAATCATATAAAATGGTTCAATATGATGAAGACTTAAAAGAACTATTTTATGTTTGTTAAACTGTTAGTTAATGACATAGATAACTCATCAAAATATGGAATAAACAAACTAATTTTAAAATATATTTCTGGAGAACCATGGTATCAGTCAGTAACGTTAATTTTATACCTCGAAAACAACATACTTTCATAGAACAACAACAATAATAGTAGGTACGGGCCATGGTATCGTATAAATATATAATTATATAATTTAGCAATATGCATTATATGTTTTAATTGAATCTGAAATTTCACTATGGGCCTGGGCCTAGGGGGCTCCATCACTATGTACGCCACTGGTTTCGTCACAAGTTGATTTAATATCAATAATGCTAATATTTAACTGTTGATTTAAGTTTAACTTATTTTTATCTGATGTTGGTCTACTCGTGTTTGAACCAAAAATTAGATATTTATGATTTCTGTTAGTTTATCATGATTGGAAATAATTTCAGCAATGGTTTTTAAAAGACCCAGTGGAACTGAAAAACGTTTAATTTTTCAAAAACTACTGGCTGTAAAAGTCTGCAATATTATATTATAAGTAGAGCGTGGATTTACAATTTATATTTATGTCTATCTATATTTTTATTTAAATGAATCAATTTAATTAATTTGAATCCCGATTATAAATCAAATAGGTAACAATCTTTTGTTAAAATAAAATAATATTCATGCTTTGATATTATTACTATGCTTTGAATGATAATGTAATAGTTTTTAGTACAGAAACTACGAGTAATAATTGATTAATACTTTATTAGTACTAACCTAACCTTAGTCGTTTTCATGAAAACCATGCCGTTGAAGCAGACTTACTGAAAATTTGCCACATGGCACATGACAGTCACCAGTCTAGTTTAGCTGACCGTGCTAGACGTCCGAGGTAGCAACCAAATGTTATTAATTATTCGGGAGACGCCTTATCCGATATTTACTAGTGAGGTCCTCAAGACCCTTAATTCATCTAGTAAGGTCCCAGTGTTTTTCAGGTATTACACTAGTTAGGTCCTAGTGTTTTTCAGGTAGTACACTAATTGGATACCACGATTTTACAAGTACTATTCTAGTAGGGGTCCATACAAAAAGAAACATTTTCCTTCTTATTTTTACAAAGTGAGGACTGTTAGTGATCTATACATTAGAACACAGAAAATATATATATATTATATAGTATATAATTATTATTTAAAAATTAGAACACTGGTATATGGTAAATAAATAAAATAAATGATTAAAAAATCTAATATATTGGATATATGTTGATAAGAGAATACTGACAATATATTTATAAATATATGATAGTTAGAGATAGGATTTATATGCAATAAAAAATTATATAATATGCATTTTATTTACCAAAATATGCAAAAACAAATTTTTATTATTTCTAGAATTACTATTTATCATAACTTATAATTATTATATTACATATTACTTTATACTAATATAGTTTATAAATAGTACTAATGAAATGAAATACTTTTGTAATGTCTTACAATATAAGTACTAGATACATATATGGGTCAGGCCCTTAAAATATTTAAATCCAGGCCGAGCTATGCTTTTTTTAAACGAAACACGGACCCCGGACCGGGTTTTTAAATTTTTAAATCTATTACGGTCCGAGCCAGTTTTTTTCAGAATGTAAAAAACTTGTATACAAATTAAATTTTAGTTATAAAATATTCATTAAAACCTAGTCGGGTTTTGAAAAATACTTTTAAGGCATTAAGCCCATTTCACAACCGAATGTTCATACGTGGCGTTTTTCAACTAACATTTTTTAAGCTCATATGCGCCGATCGCATAAACCCATACGCGCCCTCGTCAGTTCGGCGCGTATGACTTTCAATATAAATAATTATATTAATTATATATAATATAAATATAATTTATAATAAATAATGTAATTATCGGACGATACGGGCAGCTGTGAAACAAGCCTTATACGTCAACGGAAAATCCGTACTGGACCAAACTTAATATTTTTAGCTCGTGCAGACCTCTATTAATTACGTCGTTAAATAATGTATGGATAATTATATCGGTTGTTTGACCTAACCTATAAATACTATATTTGCGATTCGAAAAATAAACGTTCATTAAATAAATACCATTTAAAATTAACAATATTATAAATATTTGAAAATTTAAGTTTAAAAATTAACAAAATTAACAAGATTTTCAAAAATCTATAAATATACAATTATATATATTATGTTCAAAATATGCAAAAATATAGAACAAAAAATGGTTCTAGTAATCGGCAATAAACCAAATCGTGGGCATACCGAAAGCCAATCAATTTGGATTAGAGGAAAAAATCATGCAAATACATATAAATCCTAATTCTAATAATAATGTTAATAATGTTATTTTTTTTAAGATTATCAAGTGTATCAGTCAGTGCCGCAACATCCACCCGGGCAGCCGGGGCAATGCCCCGGGGAACGGCCTCCATTCCTATTTTGTGGCCCCTATTTATAATTTTCACAATTTTTAATTTTTATATACCCAGCAATACCTACTGAATTGTGAGAATTTGTGACAACTATGTATACTGTATAAGATAAAATTAATTTTAAAAATGTTTGTTCTATTACACTATTACAGTAATTATCAAAATATTGATGACTGAAAATTATTATAGTCCGGCATTGATTTATTATTATCGTTTGTTGGAATTTTAACGGGAATCCCGCTATTTACGTCACCACGACGGACTATCTAGCGATTTGTTTGTTTTGACTGTGACACGCCAGTACGCCACGCGCTGATAATCCTATATAACTATATAAGAACTATTCATACGACATACGGTGTATAAATACTATAAATGAATAATATGACGACTGCAAGTGTGGCTAGCATTGTAGGAACACTCGGAATAGTATTAAACAAAATCATCGCGTTCTTTCTTTGGCATTTGCGTACAGCGAGCATTGCGAGGTGCGACTGTGCGATTACCTATATAACTTATTAGTTATTAGTTATTTACTTAGTGACTAGTTTGACTTCTGTTCTTCACTATTATTGTATGTTGTACACTTGTACATTAATAATAATAATAATGGAATCTTCTCAACAACCGATGAAAAAAATTAGATTGTCCGGTGGAGCAAGAAAAATGTTGAAACAGAAAGAAAAATCTATTAAAGGGAATAGAAGTATTTTGTCATTTATTCAATCTCCAGTTTCTGAAACTGTTATTTCAAACTCGAAATCTGTAGAATTCGAAGATAGTTCTTACCAACTTGAGTCAACGTCAACCCAAGGTAATTGTATGGCTGTATTTAATAAACTATAATTAATATAGAAATTTATATCATAGGTTAGTAAGAAATACATAATTATTGATGGTCACCATGAGATAGTTAATACTATTTTTAATATTCTCAAAATATTTATATATTATTTATTTATAATTTTATTTAATATATTCAATAATTATATTGTATTTAATTATCAGTAATTTTTTTAAGAATTAAGTATTTAGACAAATATTGATTGAGTACAAATGTAACAGTTTATCTGGATACAATTGTAACATTTTATATTAGGTTTAGGTATAGGTCTGTGCCTACCTACCTAGTTATGTTATAAAAGCTATAAAAAAGTCAACAATTATGTTTTAAACCATTATGTAAACTAAGTTATAATGTTATATTTCATTTTATTTAATGATATTATGTTATGTTTTTATTTAAATTTTAAATTAAAAAAAGTCATTTTCATGTTTGTTATATATACCTAGTTATGCTATAAGAGCTATAAAAAAAGTCAACAATTATGTTACTAAACCATAATGTTACCAAAGATATATTTCATATTATTTAAAGGTAATTATAATAGTTTTATAATAATAAAAAAGTAAAAATATAAATATGTTACATTTGTCCCTAGCTCTGTTACAATTGTCCCTCTTCGGGGTACAATTGTAACAACTTTTTTTTTTTTATTCTTCATTTATGTAAAAACTTTAAAAATTTTGGGTTTAATACTTACATATTTATAAAGGTAACAACTTGTTTTAAATATTAAAAGTAAAATAAATAAAAAATACTTAAAATTCTTGCAGATATAAGCAATTTTATGAAAAATGTTACAATTGTTCCGGGCCTCCCCTACACTTATAAAAATATGCATTTAGATACAAATCCACTATCCTCAGAATATGATAAATAAACTAATAATTTTTTAGGATTAGATTTTTCAACTGAATATCCTACTGACCGTGGACATTTTGAAGATATTATAAGCAGTGATATGAAATACAGTATAGTGAGTTATGGTCCATGCAGACCTATTATTAACTTTCCTTACTCACCAGATGGTAGTGGAGTTTTAAGAAAATTTTCAGCCAGTTATTACAATATGACAACAAAATCAGGTTTACAAATTCCTCGATTATGGCTTTGTTATTCTATTTTATTAAACCGTGTGTATTGTGAGACGTGTTGGTTGTTTGCAAACAGAAACCAAAAAGGATTCAAAAACAATTGGATTGTAGGGATAAATGACTGGCATCACATGAATGACAAAATTAATGATCATGAAAAATCCCAAACACATATTTATGCCAGTAGTGTTCGACTTCATTGGTCAGAGAATAAAACTATAAATAGACATACGGAAGAACAAATTTCCAAAGAAGCAGATTTTTGGAAAAATGTACTAACCCGAATAATCAAAATAATTTTGTACTTGACTGAAGGTAATACAGCACTCAGGGGAAACGAAGGTAGTGGAAAAAATAAATCCTATAGTGAAGGTAATTTTATAAGAACTGTCAAACTGATGTCTGAATTTGATCCAATTTTATATGAATTGTTAAATAATAAGAGTCTAAAAACAAAATATTTAAGTTGGAAAATTCAAAACGAAATTATAGATTTATTAGCTGTTGAACTTCGCCGTTTATTATGTAAAGAAATAAAAGATTCAAAATTGTTTTCTATTATAATGGATTCTACTTTAGACATTAAAAAAAAAGATCAATTAAGTGTTGTATTACGTTATGTAGTGATTGATTACCATAAAAAATCTATTGAAATAAAAGAATCTTTTTTAGGTTTTTTTGAATTAAAAAAACATGGTGCTGCTGACTATGAAAATCTGTTGTTTAGTATTTTGGAATCTTATGATCTAAACGTGAAAAACTGTCGTGGACAAGGATACGATGGTGCATCTGTTATGAGTGGCAGTAATAGTGGAGTCCAAAAACGTATCATGTCAGTGGCACCAAATGCACCATTTGTTCATTGCTGCGCACATAATTTGAATTTGGTGATTTCTGATGCAGCCAAAAGCACTCAAGTAGCAAATCATTTCTTTGCCACTGTTCAAGCTATTTTTAACTTTTTTAGTTCTAGCGCTCCTCGGTGAGCCACGTTAGCTTTCAGTGAAGACTTTGCTTGCAAAATTAGAAAGAAAGTATTGAAAAAAATATGTCCAACTCGGTGGGAAGCCAGACACGAATCAGTCTCAGCTCTTAAACAACGATATATTGATGTACTTAAGTCATTGATTAACATAAGTTTAATCAGTAAGAAGTCTGACGAACGAAGTGAAGCTCAATCTTTACAAAAAAAAATGGAATCTTTTCAATTTGTGTTGATGTTGAGTGTTTGGGAAAACATATTACGACCACTTCATGGTGTTTCAAAAATGTTACAACGAGATATGAATCTACAAAATGCACGAGACAGATTAAAAGATGTTTATTATTTAATAAATGAATTGAGAAATAATTATGAAGTTATAGTAAATAATGCCAAGTCATTGTGTTTGAGATGGAGCTTACCTGTTACATATACTGAACCTCGTCAGATATATGCAAAAAAAACATTTTGATGAAGTCGATGGAGATAGGTGGTTAACTATAACAACAGAAAACTTTAAAATTAAAGTATTTTATCCTATTATAGATACTGTTTTAATGCAACTTAATATTCGTTTTAAAGCAATGGACAATGTATGTACTACATTTGATTTTCTTAATCCAAATAATCTCTTATGTTTAAGAGAAGATAATATTGTAAAGGAGTCATATGATTTTATTCAAATGTATAAAGATGACATTAGTTCTAATTTTACTGGTCAGATTTTATCATTAAAAGAATTAATAAAAAATAAAAATTTAAAAACTATAAATGAAATGGCCAATTTTATACTTACCAATGATATAGCAACAAGTTACTCGGAAATCTTAGTAGCTTGTACAATATTTTTAACACTGCCAGTTACAGTAGCAACGGCTGAAAGGTCATTCTCGAAATTAAAAATTATAAAAAATTATTTAAGAAATTCTTGTAGCCAAAATCGACTTTCAAACATTGCTATACTCAATATAGAACAAAAGCGGACTTCAGAATTAAAAACAGACAAATTAATTAAAGATTTCTCTAATTTGAAAGCAAGAAAGATGAAATTTGTTTAAAATATTAACATCATATTATTTTTATAAATTGTATAACTTTATTCTATTATAATGAACTTATTTGTTCATGTGTTTTTATTTATAATAAATTAATATGATGGATATTAAAAAGTGTTGTTCTTTACTAAAAAGTATGTTTTACATGTATGAAATACTTTTTAATAAAGATTATGTTTGTTTGTTGAATTTTATCTGACTCCAATAAATGTGTTCACTATTTTAACCCTGGTGCAGTGATGCTAGATAGTGGCCCCTAAATAATCTTTTGTCCTAGGGCTCAAAAATTCTAGTTGCGGCACTGGTATCAGTACTTGTAAGTTACAGGTTTTATTGTTGGAGTGGTCGAACCGAACTAATAATAATAACTAATAATTTAGTATGTTATGGTTTTTTAATCGAATCAAACTTGTATGTTATTGTTTTTATAATCCTACCCAATTAGTTTCACAATGTTATCTTTATCATAGAAATTATCTGGGACACAACTCGGATACGCCTGTCTTATTGCGGCAGTTGAAATGAACATAATTTTTAATTCATGGAAATAATTAACACATACCAGGAATTATTCTAAGGATTTTTATCAACTAGGTACGCATTTTGTTTAAATAAGCCTATCAAAATAGAACTATGATCTCAAATTATAGTTGAAAATGATAAAATGTGTAGCTTCCATGTGAAGTAATTTAAAATGTAATGTATTTAAAAGATATAAAACAATTTACATTCGTGTTCAAAGTATTTTTTTTTAATATTTTTTAATGAATTTCCTTTTTACTTTGTTTATAAATCATAATGTAATGTATAAAATAACACTAAACAACATTGAATTAAAAATCAATTACACAAAAGTTTATTATCAAGTGTGCATCTACCTTTTCCAAATACGCAAAATAAGCCCAACTGCGCTTTAGAATAAACCCTGACACATACATATATTTTCTAAACATCAGAATATACAAAAAAGGTGGGCATTAATTAGTTAAAAAATTAAAGTTAAGTTAAAAAGTTAATTTTTTGTTTAACTTATTAACTTAACTAGTTTAATTGAAATAACTTAACTTTTCACAGTTGATGTATCTTATCTATCAATTTAAAAAATTTTGAAATTTTTCGTTTATATATAAATATTAATATAAAAATTAAATAATTGTGTAAAGTAAAATGGTCGCATACACTGTACATCAGATGTTATATTAGATTTTGTAGGTTGAGGACCCACCTTTGGGTATTGACCGTAGAAATATTATCTATAGAGAATTTTAACTATAAAGATAAATAAATACGGTAGTGAGTATCCCCTTGATGTACAATGTCAATGTATTTTTCAAACACTTCGGCGTCACTGTTGTATGTTATGATAAAAAAATTCAAATTGTTCATTATAATTTAAGAAATTAGATCTTTTTAAAGAATACAGTCACTTTTTAAGTAATCTATAAACTAATTAAAAAAAGTAGATTACCTTTTTTTAAACTAAGTTAAGTTAATATTTTTTCCTTTTAACTTATCGAGTTAAATTTATGAATTGTGAACTGTTAACTTTTAACTTATCGATCTTGTGTTCTCTTAACTTAACTCGAGTTAATTATTTTCATTAACTTGCCACTTTTGAATATACACTTATATATGAAGTAAAATTGTGTATTCAGATTCTTTGTACTATGATACGTTGACATTTCTTTCTCCCGTGATTGTGCATACATCCATTAAAATATGTTTTTACATAAAAATTCGCGATTTAATTATAGATAAATAAGAACACAAAATTAAAAATCACGTACTAAGTACAAACGGCACGCGACAGTGCGAGACTAGAACAATAGAGTCAGTAATAAAGGTATAAAGTACGCAACGACGATGCACATCTCTTATTTCCGTCAGTTAATGATTACCATACAATAATGCAATATAAAAATAGTAGATAAAAACGCGATGTACTTCTATCGGTGTTAAAAATATAATAAATAAGTAAAAATATAAATAATTTTAATATATAAATACCCGCAGGGAGGAGTAATTACGGGGGGTATATGGGAGATAGATCCCCCCTTCATGAGCTGTATTTATATATTGTCTTAAACCTACAAATAGCACGAATACAAACTTTTAAATTATTACGAAACTAAAAAAAAAAAATCCGGTTATAAATACTTATCCGTAAAAGTTTGTTTTCTTTAATACACCAAATTGTCAAAATTTTCTTTTAACCAACATTGAAAATAGTAATGAGGATCCTAAGGTTAAAACTTTAAAAAGATTGTGTGCTACACGATGGGTGCAGTATTATGATGCGGTAACAGATTTCAATGAACTATTTGCATTCGTAGTTGAATCATAGGTACAGAAAATTGGAATGATTCCACTGCAACGTAAGTTAATATACTATTAAAAACTATTGATTCAGAATTTCTTGTATCCTTACAAGTTATACAACTAAATAGTAATTAATAAATATAATTTATTTTATTTTATAAAAAATATTTTTCCAATTGGTTTTTTTTTTGGATTACCTTTGTGTAAATTGCTACAAAAAGAAAAACTTGATTTAAGAGAAGCAGTAAGCCTTGCTGAAGATATTATCATTGTATTAAAAAATATCAGACTAAATTGTGATACTGAATTTCACAAGCATTGCCCCCACAAGTTTGCCATACAGATTTATTTTCATCCCCCCCCCCCATGAAACATTCTCAACTACGCCACTGAATACCCGTGTATTACGTGTACAAATTTAATTTTAAAATAAAATTTCACAGTATGAATAAAAACTTATGACATACGTGTTCATGAAATTTATTTTAAAAAGTAGGTAAGCCCGGGCCCACCAGCTGGTTACGCCACTGATTTTGACAAATAACTTATTAGTATATGATAATAAAATAACTTTTTTGAAATTTAATTTTATATTATGCAGTCCCTAGCATTAAAAAACAATAAGTATATGTGCGATCACAACGGTATAGTTAAATACGCAAATATTTATCAAAAAGTCATTTAACGTCAATCTAAGTTTGTCATTTTTTTTCGTTTAGTAAAACAGTTCACGGTATAATTTACTCTACAGGTATCTGGGAAAATGTCCAAGAAATGAAACCGTCTATAAGTTATTAAATACTTGAATTGAGTGAGTTAATATTAGATAGTTATACTAACATTTCTGGTAAAATAATTTTACTTTTTCGTGTTCTATTGCTATAAATATAATAAGGTCTATTAAAAGTATAAGATATTCAAAAATGAGCATAATTAAATTTTTATACTAAAACAGAAATATTTATCATTAACATTTTTGTAATATTTTCTATAGCCAATATTAAATCAAAGTTTAAACAAAAAAATCTTTAATTTAATTTTCTTTCATTAATTGTTCTATATAGGTTAGATATGTTTACGTATAATAATATGTAAACGTTAACAAAATTCAATCAATTTACAAAATGAATACAATTAATTTGTCTTTTTAAGAAATATGTAATTTTAATGTTATAACTAATAAGAATTAACCTAAACATTTTTACACATTTAAACATACCTAAACGATTTATACACCGGTCATTAAACCGTATAGCTTTCTATAATTCTAAATTAAATTAATATACTTTTATAGTATAAATATATTTAAAATAGCCACACAGTATTTCTGTTTCATGAGATTAGTACCAAAGCTTGGAACCTTTATAATTTTTTCGGTTTCGGTTCTAGTTCTTAAAAATTATATAATTAAGGTTCTGGTTCTGATACCGGTTAATAACGGTATTTAAAGGGTTATTTTTTCAAAAATCATAAAAAAATCTATTATAAACATCATATATACTATCTAAAATTATAAAATCAAATTATAGCAGTCTTATTAGGTTAAAGGGCTTACCTAATAAGTTTAATATTTTGTTTTAAAAACATCCAAAACAAATTTTAAAAAATAGGATTGACTCATATTGTATGGAGTATTATTACTAACATATGACAAAATCGAATTATATTTTCTTACTATTACATATTATTATTTGTAATACTAATAATAAAAAATTATTACTGGATACTAAATTATAAGACATTATAGGAGTATTATCTTACTTGGTGTCGAAGCTCTTTAATAAGAAACTTTAACATGTAATATAATAGGAGATTGGAATATAATTTATTTTAATTTAGACTAAAAATAAAAAAAATAGTATTGTTGAAGGTTTAAAACAATAGTGCGCAATCTGGAGGTCCCAACATTTTAATAGGGGTCGCCAAAAATTAATCACCTAATTAAAAAGTGTTATACCAATATTTAAAATATTATATATTATACGTACCATGGAATGCTGGTTGGGATCGCCACATTGAAATAAATACATTTTGGAGTCATGGATCAAAAAAGGTTGCATACCATTAGTTTAAAAACTTTTAAGTCTTAACTCTAACAATTAAAGAAACTGTAGAATATTGTTCTATAAAGTTTTAAATCATAATATATTTTATAATAATTACAAATAAAACATAACATAAATTTTTTTCAATTTTTTCTCTTTTTTTAGACAACACAACTTATTGTTGTTCTTGTTCCTATTTGGATAACCTATATGTAATATCTAATGGATTTTAAATACTTGTTTTTCTACAAAAAAATTTATTTAAATAGTTAATATTATATTATATTAAATTACTAAGATATACTAAATAAATGAAAAAAAATAGTATACATATTTATTTTCATACAGCCTGTTAGTTCTAACCAGTAATTGATCTTTCAAATTTTTAGATGATACACTGGTTCGATAAGGTGACAATATGAATTTGAGCCCAGAAAACAATCTCTCCATACTTACTTGGGTAGAAGGAACAGAATAAATTATTTTTGCTAGTGTGGCAAGGTCTAGATATGTGGTTTCCATTTGTTTCCAAAACTTCAAAATATCCAGTTTTCACGAACTTCCGAATATGAATCAGTGACGTATCCAGGATTCATTTAACGGGGGTGTTTTAAAATTTAATAGACTTATGGTAAGTAGAGCCTCTGCTCCCTCCCCCATATTACATAAATAATTACCATGTATTTATATAAATGAAAATTATTACATTAAGACAGCATGTGAAAAATCTATAAGTTGTTTACAACGTTTATTCAAATAATCAAAATAAGTTTATAACTTGGTGAAATACCATAAAATAAGATCGATGGGGGTGTTCTAACACCCATATCACCCCCCCCCCCCCCCCCTAAATACGCCCCTGATAAAAAAACATCGAATAATTCTATAGCATTATACGAATGATTTTAGATATTAGTCCATGATAATAATTTATACATTATGGGTGTGTATTTTGATTGTTATAATAATTATTTTATTATTTATCTTTCTGCAACATTACAAGACGTCGTCGTCCAAAACTATTTATAATCATAATGACGGGTTTTTCCAACCGACGGCACCGTGCAAATAACAATTAACTATTATTATTTATTAGCTAAATATATAAAATAGAAATAAAACTGGAAGCGAAAAATTATCTTCAGAAAAATATCGGTTCCGGTTCACGTTTCAGTTCCTATAAAAATCAAAAAACGGTTCCGGTTCCAATATTTTCAAAAGGTTTGGATTAAAATACCGGTATTTTTAATTTCGGTTCCAAGCCCTGATTAGTACACATTTCTACACGAATATTTTTACCTAAATTTGCCACGGAAATTAAATAATTGATTGTTAAGGAATGTTTTGGTTAATAAATAAAAATACTGATGTTTAATTTAAGATTTATTAAAATCATCTTATAAATTTAAATGCAATGTATGGAAACTTTTTTGACTGAGTGTATGTATAAAACTGAAAACAAGCAAAAGTGGAAGAAATCTTTGTTACTGGTTGGATTTTAAACTACTTATTTAATCGTAATGCTGTTTTTTTTTTTTTTTTTAATTAAAGAGGGCATAATGGAGAGGATTTTAAGCATAAATATTAATTTTATCGAATAAAATTAATATTTAAATTGTTATTAATTAAATATATTGACGACCTATAATATTCTTCAGTATACTACATAGTAGCCGTGGCCGTCCTGGAATTTCTCGAAGTTTATAATATTTTTATAGAAAAAATAAGGTTATTGTTCGTACTCACCCGGCATGCAACCATATCATTACAAACCGTAATGTCTTCATTATCATACAGTTTATGATCGTCTTACGACGTCAACAGTGAAGTATGTTTGCTATCGATGTATTGCAATTATTTTTTGTTGCCAACAGCAGCGCTTTTTTATCTCCGTTATGGCATATCAGTTGTTGGTCTTAAGTTTCGCTCCATCGTGTTGATTGTTTTTCTATCGGTATTTTTGTTTTTAGGTTGATTTTTTTTAGTAATACATTTTGACTGATTTTATTATTGGTGGCGTAATGCCCATGTAGAAGAAATCGAACTATGGTCGTTCAACATAAAGTGCCAAGAATATGCACTTATTTAGCAATAATTATTCGCGAACGTATGATACAAATATAGTTAAAAATAAAAATAGTAATATACCATAACGTCAATATCAGTATTTAACAATTTTAATGCATTGAAATTATGCAATAGCACAAGGTAAAGGATAGTAACGATACAAAGAAACATAATTGGAGCTTAAACTCTTTCCGACTCAACCCAATGTCAAATTGTTTTTACTCCCAGGATACCTTAAGATGATTACTTATAAATACTCGTCTGAATTTAAAGGAGTCTAATTTTTTATACAGTTTTGTTTTGCCATATATACCAATAAGATACAGGGACAGACATTGAATGTAGTTTTTCAGCTTCCGTGTTGGCTCAGCAAAGAATCTATATTTACATGGGCGGACTGGGAAGAATCCAGCTCAGTTCATTCCAAGTTCATTAGTAACCCATATTACTTAATAGCTGACCCCTCTCCCATAACAAAAATAGTTTACTTTTATTCTATAACCAAGAGAATTAATCAGCCTACGTTAAACAAAATTTTAAAAAATCATAAGCAAACTATTGAATATGGATAACAACATTTTGTGAGAGAAAATCAATAAGTTGGAAAGTTGATCTAAAGCAGTGTTTTTAACATTTTTTGAAATCACGAAACAAAAAAGAATATTTTTTTATGTGGAACCCTTAAGAAAATTATCTTCAAAAAACTAAAGTACACATAACATGGCATTAAACTGTAACATTAGCGGTACACTAAATTACTAAATACAGAAAAATGGAATTTTATTATTTAGTAATGAGGTATCATAGTATTCAAGAAGTAACATTATATCTAAAGTCAATATCAGGAATAACAATAATAAAATTAGTGTATGGGGTGGAATGACAGCACACATTATTAATAACTAGAGTAAGATTTGTTAATGAAAGTCTTAGTGCCAGCATCAAATTTAAGTTATTTTGATATTTAGACTTGGTTACAGTGACTGCTGAGGTTTAACATGAGGAAGTAGAAAGGAAAGGAAGTAGGATTATTAATGATTTTTTATTAAACACCTCATATTTGTATTGAACTGTTAGGCACCGTGTTATCGCAAGTATAGAAAGGATAAAGGGTAAGGTCAATGGTCCAATTGAAACCAACCATACTTTTATCTGTAATAATTATATGGGCAGGTATTTTGTAAGTACTAATTTTTCGTGGTCATCAGTAGTTTTTTCTATCTTTATTATATTGTTTAAGTACAAAACACTATTATTAACTTTATATTATTATTTATTGTACATAGTACACTATAATTTCATATGTACTATTAAAATATTATAATATTTTTTTTATTAATGTGTACGCCTAACACGACTTTTTCCTCCTAGCCACCTCTGATCTTTAGTTACACTTTTTCAAATTAGTTTTTTTGAATATTATATGGTCTTAATCTAACAGTTTAAGAAACACTGATAAAGAGTAAAATTTAAAACAAATTAAAATTAGTTTTCAAAATCCTTAAAGAAAACCAATAGATACAAATAATATCATACTAAATACATAACAGATATTCATTCTTAAATAATTTAAATATTCTAAGTCTAGGTATTAGTAAATCATTTAAATAACTTCCACGAATTTGTAAATTTTGTGGTGTCATTAAAATCAGTCTATTGATTAAACAAATAACTATATATATGCATGTATGTATTAAAAATAATTATAATAAACTAATATTATCACCAATCAATGTTCAATAAGTTCAAATAATATGAATTGAACATTCTCATAAAATAATTAATAATAATTAATAACAATGATAACTAACTCAATAAAAAAATGCCTTAAGTATCTTATATGTATGAAAAAAAGATTAAAATTGCACAATTAATTAAATAGTATTATAATCTTATAGTTAAGTAAATAAAAAATGTTTATGTTAAACCTTATAAATATAATAGCACTCATATTTTATTAATTTATAATTTCATAGTTTTTTATGAAAACATTCTTATACTAAAATAATTAAAATTTTTTTTTTTTTATACTTAGACCATAACATTCAAATTAGATTAAAATAAGTAGTAAACTCATTCATGGAAAAGTCAGGATTATATACATATAAATATTAAGGAAACATTTAAAAAATATATTTCCTCTTATAACATATTGAAATAACCTTGAATTTAAAATATAATTCAAAATTGAAAATGGATCAGTAGATAGACCACAGAGTTAAAGTGTACCATGATCTACACAAGCTTACCTTTGAAACCACAACTTAATACAAAATAGCAATACACAAAGAAGATTAACTGATTTTTACAAAACAAACTGTTGAGCTAGCTTCACAATTATCATATTCTACAATATGCACTAATTCACTTTTACTTAATTCATCAAGTTGAACACATGCACAGCGAACAGATAAATTTCCATTTTCATCAAGAGTTTGTAATTTACGAGGTACTCCCGTCCATGTTCTTTTAACACCTCCACTATAAAAAATATAAACAAATTGTTATAATTTAAAATTTAAAAAAAATTAAAGCCACATTTTTTACCTTAATGTAGTACACCAGACTTTACTTCTTTGGTTTTCTTTAATATATTCTACATTACAACTTGGATATCGATTCATTTCTTTTTTTTTTGCCAATTTGGCCATTTTACTTACATTAATTCTTTCGTATACTATCTTACAATAGTCAGTTTTTTCACCAGATGAATCATAATATCGACCAATTAATTTTCCTTAAATAACATTATAAAGAAATAATAAATTAATAAAAATATAAATAAAATTATTTATATAGTATATATTACAGAAAAATTATATTTTATAAAAGTACCAATTTCTTTGTATTTTTTTTTATAAGTACTAAGCCAATTATCCAACCCTATTAAATCAGTTGGATCCATATCAATAACATGATCCGTTAAATTTTCTTCATCAAATAAACCAGTTATGAATGAACGACTGGCATCACGACCTATACATTTATCACATAATAATTAAAAGAAAAATATTTATTCTTAAAACAGATAATCAAGTTTTCAATAAAAATGCCTAAGAATAATATATTATAGTATTATTTCCATTATTTACCAGAGAATCCATGATAAGAACCACCAGGACCGTAGAACCGTCTACCTTCAGTTACATCAAATACAATACCCAGAATGGATAAATATATTTTACCTCCTCCAACACCTTTGTAACGACTTAAGCGGTAGGAATCAAAAAGAGAACAAACTTTGGGTGTGTTGAAAAAGAATCTTTCAAAAATCGCAAAACTGCACAACACATTTTGAGCAGGTTCGTAAAAACAGAGCATAGATATAACCAAAACTAAAATAGTTATAAAAGAGAAAAAAATATTTTTCAAATTGAAACTCTCCATAGTATCACAATTATTCAGTGATTGGCGTAGAAAGATGTTAAATTGCAATAGCAATAAAGGAAAAAAATTGTATTCAAAAATAATAACTTATGATTTGTGTTTTTAATATTTTAAATTTCGTTTTATATCTTGCAACCTGTTATCAATATCTAACGATATAAAACACGGAATAAGATATACAGGACGGGTCGGGTAATGATTTGACAGGAGAGTGATAGAGGACCGGCACAAAATGTTTTCAATAGGTACACGCAGGACACATAGCGCTATCTAGTAGCATTAGAGCTCTTCTAACATTTTTTTATAAATAAATTGGCACAGAAAAGTAAATTGCATTGTCTCATGTACCTATTTATATTCATTCCGTTAATAAATAGTAGATTATTTACTTACTATTTACTAGAATGTCTAGTAAATAGGTAGTATTATCTACTTGATTTATTTCAGCATTCGTATTTAAATAATAAAATTAAAATGCCTCGCCAATGTTCAATATTTTCATGTTCCAGTAAAAAAATATCCAGTGTTTAATTATTTAAATTTCATGAATCCAAATTCCATTGGTGGGAAGAAATTGTTAAGAAAACAAATGGTAATCATAAACGCAAAGTGACATACGTTTGTATAGAACATTTAGGAAAGAAGATTTGATTAACAGTTATAGTGGGTGTAATGACTTAGAAGTAAGAAAACATAATTATTTGTATTTAGCCATTTGGGTACTTTACGTACTTGGTCATTAAATATTATAAATTATAACTCAATAATTCTATATACAAGTTAAAATGAACACAATTAGACTAAAAAAAGGTGCTTTTCCATCAGTATTTAATGCACTATTTGATATTCATAACAATTATAATAAAAATTATATTGGCATTCATATTATTATTTTAATCCAATGCTGAGTATTGAGTTTTTAACTCAACTTAATAGATGACGCTGTTTGTCGGTGCTGTACCATATGAAAACATTTAAGTTCCACTGATAATACTCCGTTTCCAGTCCTGTGTATCTATCCGTGATATAAACCTAACACCTATAATATCGACCTTAGTATAGACACTAAACAATATATGTAGTATAGATAATATATTTACATAATAAAATTATGTCAATCAGTGACCAGGGGCAGTAGCGCTGAACCCTATTCTTAAGCTAACTCACGGCCAGACCACATTTTTAAAATAAGACCGGAAATCAGAGTGACCGATCTATGGTTTACACTATTCTGATCTCGCGATTATTCTCACAAGGAATGCCGAACGGACTCAGTCGGATTAATACATGTATTAACGGAATGGAAACGTTCAAATGTGAATTACCTAAATTAAAACACATAATAAAATATTTTGCGGAACGGTACAGTATGGTGTCTGTCGGTACGTAACTGACTATTATAAATCATGCTTAATAGATAGATTAAGTAATGTAAGAACACTTGTAATGTAATAGCACAAATTATTTTTCCATTTAAAGTAAAAATGTAGGCTTGTGGCTGCTGGAGTGCTTGAGACCGTTGCTCCGAGCTTTGCTTTTCTTCCAACTATTTGAGACCAGCCACCCTTGTCGTAAACCTTCACGGGTCTCAATTTTCTACATCTCCTACGCACACACCAACAGCTCTCACATAATTTTGAATCGTATCCAACCATCTCTTTTTTGGTCTTCATTTTCCTCTTTTTCCCTTCAACGTTCATTTTTATAACCACTCTTAATGCTTTTGTTTCTTCTTGTTTCATCACATGCCCAAACCATTGCACTCTATTTTTTCTCATCATGTCCACTATTGACGCTATACTAACACTACCTTCAATATACTCGTTCCTTATTCTATCTTTTCTTGTCATTCCACTCATCCATCTAATCATTCTCATTTCCGTAACACTCATACTCTTTTATTTTACAAAAAGATTTTTAAATATGATATTGCCGGCCATTAATGGTCCTCTTCAGTGACGTATACATAACTATTGTATGGGGGGGGGGACGATCATTTACAAACAAATCATTATTTTTATTTTATCATCATTTTTTTTTTTTACGTTTCTAACATCCTCAGAAGAAGAACATTATTTCATAACATTTAAAAAAAAACCTAGGGGGGATCTGACCCCCACATCCCCCCTTGTATACGCCACTGGTCCTCTCAATATATTATAAGTTATATAAAAAGTATAATACTCAATAATTTGTTTGTTTTGTAGCGGTTTCGCCTTATAAATTTATGGCAACCCTAACATATACACAACTCATAAGCTTTTTTGGTAAATTTTAATAGAAAAGCAGGAAAATTTTTCAAGAACAACTATTAAATATTTACAATTATATCTATTTAATGTTTAAATTTTAAGTGCTCTAGAGTCTAGATCAGCGGTCCTCACTAGAATTTTAGAAAGGGCAAAATGTAATTTTTGAAAATTACTTGCAGGCCGCATACATTTTTAATAATAATAACCGTAACATTGATTTTTTTTCAAAAAAAATTCCTTTTTTTTAATTCAACTAGTTTATCTTATCTTATTTTAGATGAGTGGGGATAATTTTTAGAAAATTCAATATGCTGAGTTGTGTAATGACGATTAATATTATAACGTTTTGGAATATTTATGATTTAACGATAAATTAAACATAAAGCAGTGTTTCTTACCAGAAATATAGAAAAATTCAATCTCCCAACTGTCTTGAAGTATTCTGTGTTCATCTTTGATTTTACGTTTCGCCATGATAGATAATTAAAATGTACGTGATAAAATACAAACGGACAATAAGCGATAATGGATAAACTTATCATACAAGACTACGCGGTGGAAATGAATAAACCCATAATCGTAGGTACCTGCTTATCTGTCCAACTGGTAATTCGATACAAGTTTAAAATAGAAAGATAAAATAAATAAAAATAATAAGATAAAAAAGCAACGTTCATTTTATTCTCTGTTTATAGAATTTTGGATTTAAAGTACAATTTAATTTTAGTGCGGGCCGCACTAAATTTGTTAAATGGCCGCGTAGTGAGGACCCCTAGTCTAGACCAGTGGTCTCCAACCGATGGTCCGTGGACCACTGGAGGTCCGCGAAAAAATTTAGATGGTCCGCAGAAAAATTTAAACGATACTTACAGAATCTTTTTGTCGTTATTTCCCCAAAAAATAAAACCTTAGACATGGTATTATGTGGATAATAGATCTATTTGCAGCAAAAAATTAAAATAACAAGTTAAATATGACCGAAAAAAAATACTTCATCGATTTATTTAACGGTATTTATGTATAAAGCTATTTGAAGCTAAAAGTGGTCCGTAGAATTTTGAGTATGTATTTAGTGGTCCGTGAGGTCCAGAAGGTTGGCGACCGCTGGTCTAGACGATTTAAGATTATTTTTATCGCATTCTAATTAATTATACCTGAAATAGTTAAGTACTTCAAACCAACGTAGTTAACAAACACAATAACTGATTTGTTATGAACAATTCATTTTTGTTACATAAGTCTTTGATTTCACTGGCTATTATTTTAACTCGTTCGTTTGTAGCAATAATAAATAATATTGGACTAATAAATTAATTATGAGTTGATATAATACATAAATGGGAATACGTTCAATAAAGTAATGATTTTATATTTTGAATATTGTCATATTGTTGGTTAGACAATAAAAATAAATACTCATTTTAATTTTTAAATTATGTAAAAAAAAAATTATATACTTAATTAACACTTGAAAAACTAAAAATATTTGCGTATTTGTCTTTACTTATCAAGCCCGTATTAAGGGTTTGGCACAGGTAGGTACATGCCCGAGGGCGTCAAGTCTCAGGGGCGGCAAAATATTTTAGCAAAATCAGTTTTAAAAATAATGTGTCTAATGAAAAAAAAAGTCTTATTATGTTATAATTTGTTTAATTTGTTAATTAAAAAAAGTATTAAAAGATTTTCATTTATGTTATATTTTAATATTAAAGAATCTTGTTTATGGACGAAATAAAAAGTGTTATATTATTATTATTAATTTTTTTTGGGGGGGGGGGATTAAATTATATGCCTGGAGGTGCCAAATTTTTAAATATGAGCCTGTTGCTTATCCAATAGATATTGTATAATGGTTAACAGTATTTAATTTATTCCAAAGTATATAAGCATAACGTGTGTGAAGTTGTAAGTTCACCGTTCGATTGACCATCGTTGTTCAATTCGAATGTAAATATATGACATCAGACATCGATTTCAACCTGGAAAATGTTTAAATTAATTTTTTTTTTTTTTAAACATAAAAGTTAATTAAATCTTACATTTTATGCATTGTGGTATTCAGCAAAACAATTCCGGGTTTTCCCTAAGCATAGGGGAACTTCACAAATTGAACATATCCAGTCGGTTCTTACTTCTTTTAGTTTTGAACTGCAATTATTGCATCTTCTCCTAGTTGATCTTTGCGGTTGATGTGCTGACTGCTCTAAGCGGACTTCTTTGGGTACTGCCGGACTTCCTTTTTTTAAATGCTTGGGTGTTATTGGTGAATCAGATGAACTACGGCGTTTTTCAATCAATGTTTTAGCTACCAGCTCCCTTGATGTCGAAATACTTTCATACACATATTTTCTTTTGTTGTATCATTGTATAGAATACGAGCATTAACAATTGTTGCATCGAAAAAAAAGAAAAATATACGGTGCCACCATTTTTGACTTTTACGATCAATTTGGTAGGTTTTTTTATTTTGATCAAATTTATCAATACAATTCTTTTAAGAATTATAATCCTGAAATACAAATGGGCATGGAACCATAGATATAGTTCCATCATTTGCCTTACGTTTTACTTGTGTTACATTTTTAGGATCATGGAAATTTGATAATAAATATACGATTCTTTTATCTTTTCACTTTATAATAGATACATTATTTAGATAACTTATTTCCCAATATAAATTGTTTGTTCTACTAGCATGTGGATTATTTCATCAGAAAATAAATAGTTAAAAATTGAATAAGGCGTATGACATTGAAATGTATCAACAGAATCACTGGGCCCTACTGAACTTTCAAACTCTGGCAATGGAGGCCAATTTGAAGAGAGGTTTTTTAACCAATTTGGAGGTGTAAATTCAAATTCTGGTGTATTTTCTACGATGGTATTGTCAATAGTCGATGGCGGTTCAAAAAGGGCACGAGATATAGTTTTGTTTTCTTTTATTTGTAATATTCACATTATTTGTTTCAGACGTTAGTGTAGCGTTTGAATTTCATTTTAATGCATTTCGAATTTTTTTTGGACTTGGTAATGTCAAAATATCACCATTATTCAAACAAAATTTCTACAAGCTCGTTACCTTCTTCGTTTTTGTCAGATGAACTACTTTCGACGACTTCAATTGCTTTTTGCTGAGATGGTAAATAATCATGGTCATCAAAATCATCAATATCAGTGAGATTGTTGTCATCGGAAGGTAAATCTTCAAAAAGATAGTCTACAATATTATCATCGTACAAATTATGATTCATTATTACACCAATAAATGTTCGAAACAAAAACTAAAAAGTGACAAAAATGAAACAAAAACGACCCAACCAGCACCACGGGTTAAAATTCGTACCACCACAAAAATCAATTTATCGAAAAAATTAATAATTATTTTTCATTTAATAGTTCACACACTTAAAATATATAGTATTATTTATATTATATAAAAACTCAGGAAAGATTCAACAAACAGAAACGACTGAAATGTACAAATTAATATTTTAGTCAGAAAAACGAACTGTAGGCTCAATCAAAATACCATTATCATATAAAATTCGTGGAAAAATAATGATATATCTTGATTTAATTTTAAATCCGATTAATAACAGTATACACATATACATAAGCGTGCACACGGGGTAGTCAGGGTAGGTACTTGACTATTCTGTGAAACTTCCCACCCTCACCAAAATATTCAATATGATCACAATAATAAATAAACATACTATTTTCAACCACTTCAAAACATTAGTTAACGTTAAAAAAAATGTAAGAATACTGGAGAAATATAGTTTTTAAGTTAAATGAAGTTACGAATGCAAATTTTTTGTTAATATTAAATGATAATGTATTATGTTTGACTACCCTGCCAGTTATGTCTGCACACGCTTATGCACATATATATTAATAGAACAGGGAAAATAATATCCATTTATAGTATAAAAAAAAATTAGTTTATAGGGTGGGTTATTTTTCTTACCGCCGTGCAGCAACGGTCGGTGTTTAGGTGGGATAAACATTGTCTCGCCATGCTGGAAAGAGTTAAAGGAAGTTCGCCTAGTGGCCGCAGCATATAAGCATACCATACATTGCTAGAAATCCATAGCCAAATCGCGAGCTCTGATTGGTTGTATATAACTGATGATAACAATTCAAATCTGGAGCACTGATAAGTGATAATTGATATACCAATTTAACATTTTTAAAATGTTTAACGATCTGTTGAATTTTAATTTTGAAAATATATATATATTATGTAACTTCTCTATAAACTAAGTATATTAAAATAATCACAAATTCACAAAACAAACATTTAATTCACATTTGTTTTCATTAAACTAAATTCTTCTAACATTCAAAGCATTTATCCATTGACGATGTAGTTAATCATTGATGAAGTATGAACAAGGACAGCAGTTTTGCAGTTTTGAAATAAAAAAAAATTAAAGAATGAGAAATATACTGATTCTGCAATAATTATCAAATAAGCATTATTGAGCAATAAGCATAGGAAAATAGATAATTTTGTAGAATTGTTGCGTGCCGGTATATGGGTACCGGTCAGTGCAACGAGAGATGAGTATACTCAACTATTCAGCTTCGTAATCAATGTAGAATAATAATTATGTTGAAATAAATAACTCAAGACTTTAAAAATATTAACTTTATTGAAATATTCTAAGTCCAAATAATTAATTTATAAAACAAACTGGCGTGAAGGTGTGTGCATTAACAAGACTGAAACACATCTGAATTAGGGCCTGTTCAGGATACCCTTTTATACCCCGATGTCATGGACATCTCTAATCGTTTGGTCATTTACTTGTGTGCACCACCGGATGTGATTACTCATACGCGAATTTCATACATGGAGTTTTCTCTGTTAGATAAGGATGTGGCCTATGTTTAATAATTCATGCGTATAACTTCTGATTATTTGTCGCATATATATATATTCTAATATATTATTCGTATGATTATTATTTTATACGTGATTTATGACTATCATTAACTCGTTCATTCGGTAAGTCATTATTTTAATATAGGTATTTGCTATTTTCCACTACTGTGTTTCCCATTTACATGCATTCAAGCATTAAAATATATGCATTAATTGTAACATCCTTATGTTGTGGTCAAGAGTGCATCCTGATTATTATATTCCTAAGTGTGTACCACAATGTGTAATAACTATACATGCCCACCATAGTGGAATCATTGTGCAATCATTGTGCAATCGATATAATATTTACATATATCTGTAACAATATGTGATAGAATGTATGCCCGTGACATTATAATGCAGGGACGGCACGAGGGGGTGGCAATAGGGGCAGTTGCCCAGGGCCCCGCGCCTTAAATTATAATTAAGGCCACGCGGTTCTGATTTAACTGAACTTAACATATTTTATTAATATAAATTGTAAGACCCAACATTAATTTTGCCCAGGGCCTCACAAACTCTAGCACCGTCACTGTTATAATGTGTATGCACATTACAGAATAATGATACTTAATTTATAATTATAATATAATTTATTCTTTTTTTTTTACAGAGACTTCAAAATTGAATATGATTTTTCAACGTTTCACGTGTGTTAACGGCATTTTTAAGTCCGTATAAATCTATTATTAAAATATAATGTTAATTAATTCGAAGAAAAATAAAATAAACGTGTTATATACTTGTTAATATAGTGTACCACATAAATATTATAATTATTATAATTTAATTTGTGAAACAGCTGTTCATTACAGATAGCAATCTGCCATTTATAGTTATAATATTCAAATAATACCTGTTCAAAGTTAAGTTTACCTCCGATTCATAAGAAATTGATGTTTTAATAATTATTTAATATTCATATGTACTAAGTACATATGTATCTCTCTTTTTTTTTTTCTTTTTTTTTTTTATTTACTAGTGTTATTATATTTCTCATTTTTTTTTATTGTTGTGCGACGTGCCAAGATATCCCGGCCCACAACAATAATATAAACGCCCTTTATTAACTTAATTTTTGGTCAAGTCAAGGAGTAAAAAAAATAAATAATTTTGTACATGCATCCCTTCTAAATATGCACATCTTATTCTCTCTGTTTTCACGAAACGTGCGAAAAATTTTCACATTATTTTTACATGACGACACAAATTTTCTGACGGTCAATGTTATGGTATGTGCAAATATCTCATATGTACGCATAGATCACAGAGTAAAGATTTTACATAAAATCGAAAATAAAATCTCGTATAGTCTATGCACGTCACGCTCTAATGGCTCAATGTTATCGCGTTGTTGCTGAGTTGGTATATTTTAGTAGAGCAATTCACATACTCGTATCAATGTACCACAGCTGTATAAAGAACAACACCATTGGTATGCAGCTATTGATTACGGATCAATGTGTAGTATTCTAAGACATTGAACACCATTATGTATGTGTGGATCGACATTCATAGTTTATCAATGTGGCTCTTAAATAATAATAATTTTAAAATCATATCCAATTCGCTACACTCAGGATTCAAAATGTTGTTTAAAATCATAATAGTTTTTAAATAGTAAAATAAAATGAGTTTCTTGTTACCGTTGATTATCAAATTATATTTCAAACATACCTAAATATTATAACAAAAAATGCAAATCTTCACTTTTAATTAGTAACTAGTTTTATGTGTAATTACTTATTTTTTAATTGAATTACTTTTTTAATCAATCGTGCAACCAAAAGTTTGGTATGTAGAATAAATTATAACTATTTTTACTTTTTACGATCGACTGAATCATCAATTTAATCAAATTTATCAACTATAAAAGTCAACATTTGTTATTTATGCCTTTCATTTATTCATTATTTTTTTTAAAAAAAAAAAAAAACGTTTTAACCATCAAAATACCTATCTTATTTCTTAGAAAAATAATCCGTATGAAATACCAATATTACTTAGCTTTAATAATTATTAAATATTTTTATCGTTAAATTTTAGCTTTTGGGTCAATAATTTTGTCCAAAGAAATTGTTTCTTTTCAACTATGGATTCGCATTTTTTGTTATTTTTCAGTTGCTTATTGATACTAAATGCATAGTGAAACACTTATAGTTCGATGATGACTAATAAAAAAAATATATGTATTATCTCAGTGGTCCGAACCATCACCATCTACACTTAATGTATGTAAAGAAATCTAAACGTATTAGGCCAAGCGTCTATCAAAGTCACGAGGCGTGTGGAATGGTAAATTATGTAGCAAGTGGCGTGCATCAATATATAATAATATATAATATATAATAAATTTATAATTATGGTTATTATAAAACATTTTAACATTAATAAATCAATATACTTAATTTTACTCAACCTTATTGAATGGATTCTATATTTCTTGTAGACATAATATTTATTTTTACTGTTGCTTGTATAGTTGCTGGGCAATCAGCATTTTTTGTTGTCATCTCTACTAGGCTTTTGAAATGCATTATGATGGTAAACAAATTTTTTTCTACAAACAATTATCATTTGAATATCTATACGATACGATACCATAAGATGCTATTATGTATGTATAATAATTTATTACTTACGAACCCACTATTCTTGTTCCATTTGGAACACTAGATCGGAAGTTCCAATGGGTATTATTTAACTTCCCAAACCCACCAACCCAAGTATTTATTTCACTTATTGATTTGGCATTATTACATCTTAATTCTACACGAGTACCATGAGTTTTGGTAATATCATAGTCAAATGATACTGGGAAAATAATGTTTTTAAAATTCAAATTCAACAGATCGTTAAACATTTTTAAAATGTTAAATTGGTATATCAATTATCACTTATCAGTGCTCCAAATTTAAATTGTTATCATCAGTTAAATACAATCAATCAGAGCTCGCGATTTGGCAATGGGTCTCTAGCAATGTATGGTATGCTTTTGTGCGTGGCCGCAGGTGTAAGGATATCGTTCAGACCACGGTTTAAGATATAACTTAGTAAGCCTATATAACTTATATATACCTTGTATACCTAAGTAAACCGAGGTTCAGATAACGGAGTTAGCATAGAATATGGTATAAAGGCAGCTGATGAGTGATAGCGAAGTGTCATGGTGATAACACAAGTGGCTCATAGTATTCAACAATTAAATAGTTTCAGATGGAAATGTTGTTTGGAATCCAGTGATAATTGAACCTAGTGTTGGAGTATTGTAGTATTTATAATTAGTGACAGTGAAATAATAAATCCCAAAATCAAATGAAGTCTTTGTCTGATTAACGTTACACATACTCGTTAGCATTCCACTGTCGGTAATGTTGAATACAGTGCATACATGTATTTGACAGCATGTATGTTTTTTTATTGAAATTTTTTTTTTGTTTTTGTTTTTCAATGTAGATCATTATGAGTAAAATAAGTCCTTGCATTGAGTCACTTTACAATTTGACATTAAATGAGTTATGTCATTCCATGAATGAAGAGATTTTGATCCACGTGTTGAAGTATTATCCACCATCAATAGTTTTGCAAATCATATGGAAGGTTGGAAATAAATTTTTACAAAATTTTAACTTTTTCTAATTATTTATGTAAAAAAAATTAATTATATTTATAGATTTTACATGTTAACAACGAGAATCCAGAATTTGTGTACGGTCATGTAAATCCCATGCATGGTATGCTCACTTCGATAAAACGAGGCCGTGAAATTGCTCAAATGTCAGTACGGCATCGAGGAAGTTTAGCTCATATGGCTTATAAACCAATAAGCTCTGGAACTCATGAAGAGTTTGCTAATAATCAACAAGTAAAAATAATAATCATAGCATTATTATTATATTATATTGCATATCTATATTTAATTGTGATAAATATGTGTTAGGCCTAAATTAGACCAATAATGTGTTCTTCATGTTTTTATAAACTTATTAATTTTACTTTAAAATTTTTATAAATTTTTATGACTTTTTATTATATTTATTAACTGGCTTTAAAGAAAATGTGGACAAAGAACCAGTTTAATTCATATACATTTAATTATTTTCTTATTGATAATGTAAAGTGCAAGGTGTATTGATTATGATAGATACTTGTTTTGCTCATATTAGCATGAATAAAATCTTATTGAAAACTTAAATTTATACTTACATTTAAACTTAATATAATTTAACATATTATAATAAATGATAATTGAAGAAAGGCAAAAAGAAAAAGGTATAATAAACTATCAAATTGAAATTTAACTGTACTTAATTATTATTCAAACCTTTAGTATCAATAATAAGTATTGTTTTTAAATTCAGTTAGATACAATATTATAAATATTAGTTTTCATTGATTAAAAATTGTTTTATCTTTTAAATTTAAATTTCAAAATATCAAAGTATAAATAAAGTGTTACAGTTAAAAACAGTTTATAATGATTTTTCATACTTTTAGATATTACTTTTTTAAAAATCTTATTAAATTATAAAGACAATATCTAATTATGTTATTTTATTATTATAGGTAGCATATTAATATTGTAGGTATTTAAACTGTTTTTACTATTATAGCCTTAGTGAGTATGTGACCAGTCATAGTTGTTTATAAATTAAATTAATGGAAAATATGAGTACCTCATTAAATCCTCTAATGTGTAAAATTTAATCTTGTGGTAAATGTATTTAAATTAAATACAAATATTTCTAAAATGGTCTCATAAAAAATACTGAGGAATTACAATAATTACTTTTCTGTACTACCATTTATCATCTATCTATTTAACAATTTATTAATATATTGCGTAAAACTATAATTAGGTCTAAATTAAAATTGTTGCAGTTATGATTAATTGTATATATACGTATAGTAGTAATAATATAATATTTATATCATAAACATTGATGTTACAATAGGTATTTGTAAATTGTCTTTTAGTTAGGAATTAATTTATTATCTTGGACCTAAATTCTTTAATTTAATTTAATTAAATAAAAAAATATACAATTCAAAATAAATAATTTAAAAATTAAAAAAATTGTCATTAAATAAACTCTTAGTACTTCTGAATAATTCTATTCTTAATAAGAAAAACTTCATATTTCTATATATTTTTTACATGTATTATCTTATATCTAAAAATTTGTTTTATATTTTCCCCATATTTAACTACTGCTCATAATTTACTATTTACATATTTATACAATAATATTTTTAAATTTAAATTGAATTATTTAATATTATATATTATATATATTATATATTATAATATTATATATGTTTGTTAAGCCAAGTTTAAATGAGGTATTCATAATTTTACTCTTATAAGTTAACATTTGTATAGTATGTTTATTGGAATAATTAAAAAAAAAAAAAAAAATTATAATTAATAATTTTTTTAAATTTGGAAAAGTTTAACAATACTTTTTAAAAAATACTACTCCAGTGAGTTTTAATTTATTGTAATAGATTTGTTATTATTATAAATAAATTTACAAATAAAAAAAATAAAATTTAACAACATTTATTTTAATAAAACTGTGAGTAAAATTAACCTGTAATTCCAATATTATTTATAGTAAATATTTATATGTATATGTATTTTTTTTTTTTAGACCAAATTTGTCGATGAATGCAATTTTTGTAATCATTTTGATTTAGATTTATTTTTCAAATTAGTAGAAATTACTGAATGTCGAAGTCAACTTTTTACTATATTTCAGGTAAAATATGAAGAAAACAATATTTAAATAGTCAGTTATTTTTGTCAGTTATTTGTTTGAATTTCATTATATTTACATAGTTACATGCATTAAATGTGCTGTTTAGATTTGTATTCAGATTAAAGGTTTTGAATTTCCAAAACAATTTGCTGAAAAATGGATTCAAACTGAAATACTAGAAGAAAACAATGATAATCTTCATTTTCATTATATTGAACAAGGTCTCAAATTAGGTTGGTAAAATAAAATGTTTATAGTTTTTTGAAAATGTATTAATGTTTAAATCTATTGATAAATAGGAATTTTTCTCGGTGATAGTGGTTGGCTCAGTGAAAGTGCTTTCGTTTTATCTCATACATACAATATAATATCTACAAAATGGGTGTGTCTTGATCGAAATTTAGAACTGATCAAAATTATCCAATGCTTGACAAAGTTAAAAAAAAATCTTGAATTACATTTCATTTAACTTCATTTAACAATTAATAATTTATTTAATAAGTTATTATTTTCCCTAGGTGGTTATTAGTTGTATCAAATTATCATAATTTTGATGAAGCTAAAATGGTTTTGCAACATATACTAAATACTATTAGTATCCTTGAGAAAATAGAAGGAAGAACATTGTGTATAGCTTATGCCTATATAGCTGTTTCACAGTATTACTATGTATTAATGGAATTTAATGAGGTTTGATTGTATTTGTTGAGTATTTTCTGGTTATGTTATATTTAATGATTTTTTTTAATTTTGACTATTTAGGCTTGGGTATGGGCTGTCAAAGCAGTTAATGAACTTCATGATAAAAGTGCAGATGTCCTAAAACTTTTGGTCATTAGTCATGTCATTAAAGTTTGTTCTGCTCTGAATAAATTGAGCATGGCAAAAAAATTGATTGATCAATTATACACTTATGAAAAAGATATTGATCAAAATATTCATGTAGATATGTTATTGAGCGAAGCATGCTACTCCTTGAAAGCAGATTTAGCAAAAGATAGTATTCACAGTTATTACGTAAGAATTTTTTGTAGTACATCTGTTCATGTTTTTAATTGAATTGACTAATTTGACTTTCTTAATTTTAGACTGCTTTAGACTCTAAACGAAATTTATTTGGTTACTACAATTTACACACTGCGGTTGTTTTTGTAGATTATGCATATGCTCGATATGTTTGTGACTATTCAACAACTGACTTTAGTGAAGCTATGTAAGAAAATCTTATCATTTAAATTATTACAAACTAAGACATGTCCAGTGGTAAGATTTAGTAAATTTAGTCCTACCCTATTATTTAAACTCTTAAACAATAAAACTGTTTTCTTACTGGTTTTAATTTAATTATATAACAACAATTTTAAATCAAAAACTTTTAGAATAATGTATTAAAAAAAAAAAAAAACTAAATATTTTATAGTTTCATAATATTTGTGCATTTATATTTTACCCATTAATCCATACATATAAAATTAAAATACTACTCATTCACTGATTGATTAATGTATTGCCAAAACTATCATATTGATTAATTTGAAATGTCGAGAAAATAATATTTGGAATTAATAATAATTGTTTTAATCTAAAATAGTAAAATATCCTAAATAAAGTCTTGTAATTCAATAAGTGTTTATATAATTTTTAATTACGAAGAGGATTAGTATATAATATTATTAACTTAAAATAAAATGATGTCGTGTCACATTATAAATTAATTATTATTAGTTCCTTAATAACTTCATCAAGTTAATTTAAAACTAATTTACCAGCCACTTGAAAAAATGAAGAAAAAATTTGTATGATTACAAATATATATATATATCTGTCCTAGATTCAATCCTGGGCATGTCGCTGTTTATTAAACATTATTTAATATTTGATTTTGTCCCAGGCGTAGCATATTACAGGGTATATTTATTATGAATAAAATTGGATTACCACATGACAATATGTTGTTTGTGAATGCTGGACGCATAAAAGCTTTAATACTTGAAGAAAAAGCATTAGATGTATTGGAAAGAGGTATTGAACATTATATTCATGGCAGTTTACATAGTATACATAGTATGTATAATATTTTCCTTAAATATTGTTGTTTATACTTTTTTTTTATTTTGACCTAACATTTTCATTGTAAAGGTTCTCGTGTTGAAGGAATAAAGCGAATGTTGGAAAAAATTAAAAAAGATATGTTAAATGAAGCTGAAGTTCTCCATCTTAAAGCATTAGAAGTTTCTTTAAATGCAGTTGGTGAGAAAGCACTGCTTACAGCAAAATCGTATTGCAACCTAGGTAGACTTTATCAAAGTCAAGAAAAATACATGGTAATAATTTCATACATTACTTAATTTCTTTTTATATTTTCTAAATTTTGAATCATTATAATCATTTGATAAAATTTATGAATTTCATTGTACATTCCAGCAATCTGAAAAAATGCACTTAAAAGCAATTGAAATCAAAGAATCAATTTTAGGTAAGAACAGTCCAGATGTTGCACTATCTCTGGGTCATTTAGCAAGTTTATATACATATCAGTTAAAAAAATTTCATGAGGCTGAACTTCTTTATCTTCGATCAATAACAATATGTAAATAAAATTAAATAATCTGTAATCATATCATTTTAATACAATTGACAGGAAATTTAATTATTATAATTCAGATGAAACTACTTATGGTCGCCAGTACACAGGGTTACTGTATGATTTTAAAGGACTGGTAGAAGTATATAGGGAATTGAAAGATATTGATAAGTATAATCAATATATGGAAAAAACTCAAAGGTTCCATGAAACACGTGAAGCTTGGCTACATTTGATACATACAGCTGTTGATGAAAACTGTACACAAGATAATTTAAGTTTGGAAAAGTTTAAATGCATACTGAATGACTGTGGCTGTGAAAAGTAGTTAATTTATAATATAATAATATACCAACTCAAAATTGTTCATAGATTATTAATTACAATAATTTTACTTAATTTTTCTATATATATTATTTTTATAAAACCATAGTATCTTAATTATATATATATATATATATATATATATATATATATATATATATATATATATTATATGTTTATCCTTTATTCATTAAGTATTCATTCATTATTTTCATTTTAATATTAGTTTAATACATCAAATATTTGTATAATTAATATTTTATCTAAACCGGTTTTTAATATTAAAATAGTTTAAATATGTTTATTGATAATTTATACAATTGCATTGTTAATTACATTTTTTATTGAATCCTTTGTCATACTTTATAATTATAATTATTATTTAAGATATTTACATATAAAGCTTTATAATAGTCTGACATATTTTATTATTCTCAAAATATAATATTTAAACAATTGTTCATGATAAACTAATAAGTTTCACTAACTATTAGATGATTTTATGTATTCCAGTCAATTTTTAGCTGTTAAATATCATTCTAACATAATAAGTTATAGCATTTTCATTAAGTAATTTATTGTTTAAAAGGTTGCTGCTCATTAATTTGTTATTGTTAGCTATACTTAGTTAATAAGTGTCGTTTAATATCAAAAATTATAATGATTTTGGGACTACTAGTTGAGTATTATACAAATTATTTATATCAATTGTCATATATAGATATTCGAGTTTTAATGTTAAATATGAAAATATAAATTACTTTTCTTCAATTCAATACTATTTTTTAGCTTTTAAAGACATTCAATACATTGTGACATAAAAGTTAACCTTATTTACCATGTTCTTTTTTTTTCTTATTGTGTATTTTTTTTATTGGTAATTTTACTGCAAAATATAATTTTTTGGTCGGTTTTAGAAGTAAATGACTATGTTGTTTGTCTTGATTTGATCCAAGTGAAGTGTCCAGATTTTCAGACGTGTTGAGATTGAATTGATCTTGCCTATAACATCAGCATTATATTAGTATATTTTTTATGGTAAGATCAGTGCTTAGAAATAAAAATAGTTGAGGTACTCTGATGACACATAAAAATGTTGAGTCCCCACCTAATTGAAAACTGAATATAACCATGTTCACTCCTAATGACACTCTCAAACATGTTACCACTAACAAACAAATATTCCATAACTTATACTCACTTTTAAAATCATTTTGTTGCAGAATGTAGTTTTTCAAGGGTTATAATATATAGTAGTAATTATAGCCAGACAATGTACAAATGAATTACAGTATACGCAACATGATTATATTCAAAGGTATTCAGGAAATCGATCAAGAAATGTTTTCGTTGAATATATTATGATTGTTATTAATCACGCTAATCAATAATTTTGTTTACAAAAATGTTTATTTTTAATTTCTATCCATCAATGCCGACGATAAATAACACTTAGAAAATCGTTAGTTCATTATTAAATAATCTACGCAGAAATTTTTCTTCAACCATTCTAGAAAGTATTATGTTAATCAAACATAATAAATAAATATTTTCTGCAAAAGAAGTAGTTTCTGAAACTTCAGAGAAATTTCCTTGAAACCATTCCTATCTGACAAAATTATGGTGTTCCTTGTCATGAGAATAAGAAAAAATAAAACCCATTACCCGAAACCTGAAAAAACATAAAACCCGGTTTTAATCCGGTAACCGGAACCCATGAAAAGTCAGTACATTTTCAGGGTCGGCATTAGCTCATTCACTGCTCAGTGAAAGAATTATTTTGGCAACCCTTTATTTTAAACGACTTAAACATATAACTTAAAAAGCAGAATTTTGGGATCTAGGGGGGCCACATTATACATATTATAACTTAAGCCTCATTCATAATCATAAATGTTCAAAATAACTTTTTAGACGTGCATATATGCCACATATTTGTAAATCATTCAGAGAACTAACATAACAATATTATAAAACAGTAATTGTACCTAAAAGTGCGGCAAATCCTTGCATGTCGATAGATTAATAAATAATGATAATTATAATAATAATCTAATTTATATTGAATCACACTATGAAACTTTTTTTTTTCATCTATAGAAGATAACTTGTGTCGCTAACCATTGATAAAATTTAACTACAATGTTAACGCCTCTTTTGCGCCATTCTGATTATGGTGCCTTGTGCCGTCGCACGCGTCGATTGTATCTAAAGCCAGTCCAGCCTACTTTGACTCCCTGGCATAAAGGTAGTATCTAATAAAGTTCTACATAAGTACACGATCAAGTTCGATATGTCTGAAAGGAATAGGTACTTGTATTAATACATATAAATCATAATGGACAATAAGTAAAACATTTCCAATTTGAATAAAAATAATAATAATAGTTTAAAATTTGTTTTTATTAATTTTGATTACCATAAATAAAGCACAATAAAACTTACAATTTATTATTATTAACTAATTTCACATTATTATGTACACGAATTTGTTAGGCTCATATCATGAACATTTTGTTGATTCAGACCGTATTATAAAATTTATAAGTAGTATAAATAAATACTAAATACACAAATTAATAAATAAAACCTTAATGATACGTGTATAATGATTAATATAATAATTTAAATTAATTAATATTATTTAATAACTGATCAATGGTAATATATAATTACTAATTAATACTATTTTTGTCACAAGACTTTGACCTAGGTACACTAAAACTCTAACAATACACATTTAATTTAAACACTATTAAAATGTTATGACTAACAATTGAATATAATTCAAATACTGATTACCTAAAAATAAGTTCTTCTCCACAAATTAATCAACTAACCAAATTTGAAATTGTATCCATGAACACATAATATGTAATGGATTAGAAGGTATTAAAAGTACCGGGTAAAATTCAAAATAATATGGAACAATTACAGAAATTACAGAGAGCAGATAAAATACACTTAAAATAGTAAATTATACATGGATATTATGTATTTTTTTTTTTCAAATATTTTCATCTAATAATTATATTTCCTAAGAATACAATATCGTGCTCATGGGTGCCGAATTTTCCGATTTTCATAGGGTGCCCAAAATCATAAATTATTTAACTTTTACCTAAATAATAATCCTAATTATATGATAAAAATAAATAAATAAATCAACAAAGCATTACTCGTTTATTGACATCACTTTTGTACGTTGGTTGACCGAACGCAGACTAATTACTACCAATTGCAAACTACTACACACACTATACATTATTATTAATTATTGCATTACTATTACGTAGGTACTTCATACGAGTATAATATCGTTATCGTCGCAGTCGTTGTCTACGGACGACACGACCAAAATAACAAGAAAATCAAAAACATATATCAATTAAAATAGGGTATTTGTAGGGTATTTCTACATGACGTATAATATTAACGTATTAAATAATTATATGTTTTATTTATTTCATCAGGTGCAGAGCATCCCATGAAATTAACTATGGGATGCTCGAGCACCGTAACACCCCAATAGTCGGCGCCCATGATCTTGCTTATGATTAATTATTTTTATTGACTGAAAAATGTACTCTAATATGGTATCTTTTTTTAATTTGAGATAATGTTTTTGTGTGTGGTTTTTTAAATGTATGTTTATTTCAATTTTGATACTACTGATTTGTATAAGAATACCTACTTTTGTATTGAAGAAAAATTATCTGATTTAAAAATGTAAGATTTATAAAAACTCAAATTAATGAAAAAAAAAAAATCTGGCCCCGATTCCAACCAATTTCATTCAACACACGTCGTATACTGTATATCATATTAATATTAGTAGGTACTTAGTAACAGTGCATTGCAGTGGTGTATTTCGGAATTGTTTATGGGTGGGGGACCAGATAATTTTTCGTGATAACGTAAAAAAATTAAATGTAACATAGTTATTTATTCTGGGGTTATAACTTAAATTAGATAGATAAGTATATTAATAGATAAATACCTAATAGCTTTTTAGCTAGTTTTGAAATATAGGTATTTTTATATACCTACTATATTAATGTTTGGGTGTGATTATGTGTTTTGGGAACATATTTAGAGTCAATTTATTTTTTAATATATTTTATAATACCTAGTCCCTAAAATTAGAAAAAAAAACTGTTCTAAAATATTAAAAATTGTTCATAATTATAATATCAATTTAAATTACATTAAATATCAAGCATTCAATTGTATGGATTTAATATTTATTATAAGATTTTTACTCCCCTAAAAATAGCTAGTAATCAGTGTTAAAAAAAGTCAAATTAGTATTTTTAATAGTAATAAATAATAGCAATTAATTTTATGGTTTAAAGAATGACATAAAAATACTAGGTACGTAAGGGATACAATAATATTATATGTTATGCAAACGCTGACACCTGCTTAATACGATCTCAGTTTAACGCTATTCTGTGTAATAGAAGGTGAGAAGTTTTATAAGTTTTTAGAAATTGTCAATCATACGAGTATATATCCCATTAAAAATATCAAGTTTAAAACGCGATTGTTCGTTATTGAATATGATGTAACAATTATTCCGTGATAAAAATTAAGTTTAATATGTTACTATTTTGGAATTACCATTTATCTTTACTATAGTATTTAAACATTTTAAAATTGTAGTATGAACAAATAGCTAAATTACAATAATGACATAAAAAAAAACATATATAAACACCAGTACAAAATAAAACATAAAAACAAATGTATTTAAACATTAAAAAAAAAATATATGATTATTTCATATAGTAAATAATATAAAAATGTATAGTTAGTTGGATTACTTGAAGAATAATTTAGAAAAAAATAATTAACTATTCACCAATTTTTTTTTTTTTTTTCATTAACAATGATTATACGATCTTGCTTCAAACGTGATAGTTTATAGTTTAAACTAAAAAACTTAAAACGCGTTATAACCAGCTTTTACTGTAGTACTTATATGTTATTATTGATATATCTAAATGTATCTTTATTTAAACTTACAATACTATTGATTATTTAAAACTTGATCAAATACAAACCAATGACGAATTGTTATTCTACTCAATAGGTTGAGATAATTGTTATAATTTGTATAATCATTGTCAATAACCATATAGTACAAGTATCTTCAATAAATATCAACTTTGTAACGTGGTTTTAAAAACTTATAATAACAAACTAACAATGATTAACTCTTATCATATTTAATATAATGCAATAATGAATGTTTTACTAAATATAATATGTAATTATGTAAGTTATAATAGCTATAAGTAGTTATTTCATAAAATTATTTAATCATATTTTCGTAATGATTTTCGATAAATTTTCACACACAAACTTTTTAAAATTTTAACACTTATTAGTAGACTAAATAAAACTATGTTTTACAACTATTTTAATTAAAACAACTAATTTGTCTATTTTTACTACTGTTCTGGTGATTATCAATATTTAATTATTTACTCTTGGTTGAGAAAGTATTAGATTTCAAATGTTCAAATTTATTATGCGATGAATTTCTATAAAAATTTAAACATCTACAGATGCAATAGGACTGGTTAATCTCACTTGTGCTGGATCAGTGAGAACGTGTAGTCCATTAATAGAAATCGGATCGTCATCGTGTTCGTCTCGCCAAGGTGTTGTTAGGGTTTTTAACCTCTGAAATTGTTATTATTATTTTTATTATAATAATACAAATTACAAAGTTTTAAGAAAAATAAATTACTTCTAAACCCGTTCCAGAAGTATTAAGATATTGGTATAATGCTACCGCTGGAATCATTGCGACACTACTGCCAGCTATTATCCATCCAAGTACGTTTGCCCACGCTGGATACACATAACCTTCATATGTTAATGGTTCATATCCCAAAAGTCCATACACTATGATAAACTTAAATAAAATAAAATATTTGTAATGTAATATTATCTCTTTTTTTTTTAGCTTTCTTCGCGATGTATATTTTCTCCCTCACTTACCACTAAAAAACAACGGAGCAGCAAAACGCCAACAGAATCTCCAATAAATGCCAGGCATATGACCCATCATGTCTTTAATGTCATCGCAAAACCGATCAACACCTATTTATTTTAGTTTTAAAACGAGAATGTTAATTATTACTCGTTAAGTATTAAGTATTATTAACACGTTTAGTATAATTATTAGTTCACATAATATAAATCTAAAAATATAAACAAAATAAAGATTTCGAAGTAAATTTACAACTCAAAAAAATGCTAATCGGAACTTAAAGAACGTATTTAATAATCAGAATAAAGATTTAAAATATTATTTATTTATCTATGCATAAATACAAAATAAATTAAAATGTATATATACATATTGAGACATATCAATGTAGATGTGCATAAGATAAGGTTTTTGACTATTTAGGAATAATATAGTAGCCTTCAGAATGCTGAAAATCCTATAAAATATTATGATTGAACAATGGGTAAGTAGGTAAAGTACAGCCAATTCGCCTCTCAATATAGCATGTAATCTAATTGAAAAACTAGTCATCCGTATTTCTATACTTTCATTCTTTATTGTGTAACTAACAAAACTACCCAATATATGCCAATGGTGTTAACACAAACAATGAAGAGTTTTATCGATGTTCCGATTCATGTACATCCAAAAGACTACCTATAATTCCTACTTAGTTTCACATTATATTCATCATTTTTTTTTTTTATCAATTTTTTCCCAAAACACTTTTTTGTGCGAATTCGGGTTTGTCAAAAAATGTCGCTTAGTTCAATAGTATAAATACAAACCATAGATCCATGAAACAGCAATAGTTTCAAATAATACAGCAATAAGCATAGAATATCCAGCGGCGTAGCGATCAAGTAAGTTAAAAAAGTAAAATCCACCTTGAGCACACGATGCAAGACCAACCACAAAGTACAGTAGAAACAATAATGCTACAAATACTTCTCGATTACGTCTGATTAATGGAAATTCGTCACTCATCGCAGTAATGATGGCTTCCGATCCACCAAACTATAATAAATCACACATCAATAAAAACACGTACAATATATACGAATTACAATAATATATGCTAAATATTTCGTAATTCAAATTTTAGTATGCAATTTTAGTTGATAAATGTACTACAATAATATGTAAATAATAATATACATCTAATATATTAATATGTTATTACGAATATTATTATATGTATTCTATAAGAAATATAAATTACAAAAAAATAATTATAAGAATAGTATAAGAATTATTGGTACAATACCATGTTAAGCTTTCGAAAGCAATTTTTAACAAAATATAAAAAAATATACCTGTAAAATATGACATTGTAATTTATTGTAATATTATATTATTATATTATTGTAATATAATATTTATTGTAATATATTAAAATTGCTTATCGTACCGAACTGTCGAGGCCCAAATTGAGTAACATCATGAAGAATATCAAGGCCCAAAATACAGATCCTGGCATAGCTGCTATTGCAGCAGGATATACGATGAACACCAAACCCGGTCCTTCAGTGGCCACGTGTTGGATTTGGCGACCAGAAACATGAGACATATAACCCAATACGGTGAAAATAACGAAACCCGATAAAAAACTAGTAATCGAATTGCACATTATCGCCAAATATGCATCCCTAAACGGTTAGATATAAATAATTATAAATTATACACACGAATTAAATAAATGTAAAGACATATTATTAAATGTGCAATATTATAAATTAGGTAGTTAAACCTTTTGATGATTAACAAAGTAATATTATATTATAATCCTATGAATTCTAAAATAAATAATTTCTCTATGTCCATCTGATCATTTTTGTTTTTATTTAATATCAGCGTTGTAATTTTGGAGAAAAGAATCTTAAAGATGTTTTCTTCAAGCTAATATTACAATCGAGTAGAAATAAAATGTAGGCATTTTTATTTATAATTAATGTACTTTATTCTACTTAATTTAAAACAAAAAGTAAAATTTAAGACAATTTATTCAAATTACATGATAGGAAACTCTTATCTAATTGAAAACACAATTTTTCTTATTACCTAGTTTGGAATAGCTGAAATTCATTTTTTTTTTATCTTTTTTTTTGTCTTTTTACTTTCAGTTGTGTACAATAAGATTATTGTTTCCATTTACAACTATTTGAATTTTAATTATAAATTTTACTAAATACCGTAAATACCGATGGACAAAAAATATTTTCAAGTAGGTACTAATTCTTTATTTATAATATCATTATTACCTTAAAACGTTGTTATGGTATTTGTTATACGAAGCATATGCTAATAACACTCCGAATCCTGGACCAAGTGAAAAAAAAACTTGTGTTGCTGCATCTACCCAAACCTAACAACATCGATAGTATAGAATGGAACTTTATATTACAAAAAACATGCAAACATAAAATTGATTAATATGTGAATTATTATAATTTTGTTTACTTTGTAACACTAAATTATTGATGAATGTACATCTATAATTATAAAAATATTGATTGTGCAAAAGAAAAAATAAATTATTTTATAAACAAAATACAAAATGGGCAAGCAAGTAGTTCTAAGGTATAATAAAAAATTATATAATATAACTTAAATTTCGTATAACTTGCAATTATAAAAAAAAAATTAGTTTAGTTATTCAAAATCAAATAAATTCTAAAATAATTCAGTACCTACATAAATATGAAATCAACTAATCAATTATTTTTTAAAGAAAACTAAATTGTGAGTATTATTTAAAACATTATAACGATCTAAAAAAAAAAAAAGAATAAAATATTCTATATCACCATTATATATTATACTATAAATTACATATCCAAATTACATTTTTTAACTTAACTTAAAAATAAACATTGTATTTTTTTATTTCAGTTTTTAAATTAGCTCAACTGTCAAAAATATAAAATATTTGAGTGTTAACTCTGCTTATACACACAACACATATAGGATTATCCATAAGTGGTATATATCTATAGGTGAATAGTAATGTGTGTAAGCATTAATATTTTAGTATCAAATTTATTCTGAAGGCGGTTGTTCACGATATAACTCAGGAAGTTAGAAAGTATTAGCTATATATTTCGAATTTTTGAGATGATAGTATATCTGTATACGCATATACTTAGGCTACTTATAGTGGTCAATATGAAATTCAACAGGAAAATGAAATCTCATTTCGACACGACAATCCCATTTCCACGATGGTTGTTCATAATGGACACTGCTTTATCCGACGCAATGTTAGTGGAATACATAAACAGCTGTATAATATTAACAATAAAAATATGCGGTGAATATAATACTTAATATTTGGAGGGTGGGTTAGGTGGTAAACTTGTTTTTTACGTTTGTCTGTAAACTGGTGGAGAAAAGAGGTTATTAAATTAGCAATAGTTTTGAAAAACTTTTTTGTATTAATATTAAAAAAAATACTATTTTATATTTTATACATACTTGATGTATAAGTGATAAGTTATTGTTCAATAAACACAACATTTTTTATTAGATAGGTACTCTGAATTTAAACGTATTACATAGAAAGTTTCATTTTTTATTTTGATTTATTAAAATATTTATCACCTGTATAATTTTAATTTTTTTTTTAAGTATTTTTTAAAGTTTTATATAATATGTATTGTAAGTATAACATATTTTATATTATAAATTAAATAATCTTACCTCGGGTTTAGCGATCATTGAAAAATTTGGATATAAATAATAACGCACTCCTTGTGCTGAACCAGGTAAAGTAATTCCTCTTATGAGTAAGAAAATTAAGACTACGTATGGAAATAATGCAGTAAACCATACAACCTAAGGTAAAAATATTTTTAAGAATTATTTAATAATAATTGTATATTATGTAAATTATAAATGAAATTCCAACTTTTCCTGATGTAGATATTCCTTTCCACAAACTGAAGTAGCATATTAGATAAACCAAAAATAAACACCCTGCCATATCCCACTTAATATAACCCAAATCATGAATACCTTCGCTATGATTTAATTCAAGTACTTTACGTCTGAAAAAAATAGAAGTAATTTTTTAATATTTGTTTTATATATTAAATAAGACTAAACAACTTACAGCCAGTATTCCGAAGAAGCAGACGCTAAACGAGAATCATTTGCTAATAATGTAACATTATCTACAGAGTTTAAGCTTGAATCATTTGACCATATCGTTAGCTGCATAATTTAAAAATTAAGATATTAATCGAAACAAATTTAAAAAATGAAAAATTAACTAAAAATGTTTTGACTAAAGTATAAGTAACACTAAAGCAATAAAAGAAAAAGAGAATTAAAACAACTATTATTACAAAATTGGTTTTTAAATATACTTTTTAATTAATTATTAAAAGTCTACTAAAAGTCAGAGAAAGGATAAAGCCATTTATTTATATACCTATAATATACTTTTATGGTTTATTGTATTTATATACTTAGATCAATTTATAGTTAAAATTTAATAAATAGTAATTTCGTGCACTTATAAAATTTTAAAAGAATAATAATAATAATTATTATAAATTAATAAATTATTATATTATTAATTTCTTGATAAAAGTATATTATTTTACCTTAGTCTTAATTACTAAATTTTATGTATAAATGTAAAAGATTAAATATTAAAATTAAATTTACTGGTTGGCAAAAAATTGTATTCCAGTCGTTATCGCAGGTTGTCCAAGGTAAAATGTCCGTAAATGAAGCCAAAAAAAATCGCAACGCCCAAGCAATAATGACATTGTAATAAAAATCCACGTAAAACGCGATTAAAACAACAGAATATCCAATGCCTAAATAAAATCAAAGTATTAAAAGTAATCAAAGTATAAATCAGTCTTAAAGTTCAATAAACCATAAAAAAATCATTGCTTACCTTTGAACAATGGAACTAGCCTACCCCAGCATGTTATTGCTCCAGTTTGATAAAATTGCCCAAGGGCTAATTCCATGTAGAACAAAGGAATTCCTCCAACCAACAACATGGTACAATATGGTATTAAAAATGCCCCTAAAATGTAACAAAAATACTATACACAATATAAAGTAAAATAATATTAAAACGTTTTCGTTGAATTAATTTTTATCAAACTAACAGATATTTCAGGTACACAATATTATTAAATACACACATATGTATTGAAAATATTATATAGTTACATAGATATCAGCATTATGATTTTCGAAGAATTAATCAACAATTAAAATAATATTGTTTTAAAAGAATTCTATTTTCCGAAACTGCAGGTTAAGTTTTCTTTATTGTTTTTCACTCATAATTGAGTAGTAATAATCAAGTAAAGCTTATGATTACTATGTTTATTAACAAATAAGAATTTCAACTTATATTGTATATTTTTTGTCAAATTAGTTAAGAATGATAGTTACCACTTTATACACAACTATTATCTACAATTATTTTTTTTTCTAATTTTATGTGCGATTGAACAATCTGTAAAAATAAGTTTTACAATAAGTTCAACTGTTGTAAAATAAACATAAAATATAAAATAATATATAATAGTAAATAGATTAAATTATAATTTTAAAAACTAAGGAATTGGAGAAAAAGCCATCAATTGATGGAAATATATAATTAATTATCATTTAAATTAATACATAAATAAATAAACAAATACTTCATATGTAGAAATAAATATATAAATAAATGCTTAGCCTGGAGTATTATTATATTTGTAAAATACATATATTATATATTAAATTTGTACTTTATTTCTATGTACAAACTATTTATTTACTTATTTATATATTAATTTACGAATAGTAACCATTTCCTAATTTTAACCCTTAATTAAATTTTTTATTATTTTAAAATTTAAATGTTTGAATTCCTGTACTGATATTGGTATTTACAATAAGAAATCCTTAAAATGCTTCACTTTTTTGTTTCAAGCAATTTATAAATATTGTATAATAATTTTATTTATATTGTATTTGTGTTTATTTTATTTTAAATTAGAATAATATTCAATTTATAGCTATAATAATTTATAGCATAATAAGTGTATAATATTAGTATATAACTATAATAAGTATGTATAATTTTTATTTTTCTAAAAAAAAGTTACCCAAGACGAATTTTTTTTTAAAAATTTAGATTAATTAATTTAATTAAAACAGTAAACTATTATAAACTGTTATATCATTTTATGAAAAAAATGCTAATATTATAACGTTAACAGAAATCATATGATATCAGTAGGGAACGGATTTATATGTAATAAAAATACAGAAATATTTACATATATATGTAAGTATAATTTATAAAATATGTGTTAAAAACATCCAAATATGTGGGGAAAAAAAGTGATTATTATTATTAAATTATCAAAATGATTTGTTGTATTGAATTATTACAATATCTTTTAAATTATCATATATTAAATGTCACCTATTAGGTATCAAAATATTTTCAAAACGGCTAAATTATCGTTTCATATCAACCGACGTATTAAAAGCATATTTCAAGTGCGTACTATCAGAAGGCGATAATTCCAAATTTTTAGAAGGGTGTCTGCCACTCATTATGTCATTGATTGTTTTAAAATGAATATTGTCTGGAATTTTTTTCTGTAACAGCATGAATTTTCTTTTTTACATCTATTGGTCCGCTTACGAGTTTTAATCGCTGATTCAACAATTTGCATACTATCATTTGGGGACATATTTTTTATTAATATTTTTGTTAAATTATTTTTAATTAAAATTAAATTATTTTCAATGTTTTATTTAGCATAATATTTTGAGCTTTTTCAACAGCGATAGAAGTTTCTGGATCTAATTTTGAAATAATTTCTTGTATTTTCGTACGAAGAAGACGTATGAATGATGAAATGATAAAAATATGTTTAAAAATATTTAAAAATTAGTGAAATATGTAAAAATATGTAATTATACCAAAATATGTAAAAATAAAAGTATCATCATTTTAATAGGAATGATTTAAATCATAAACATTTCTTATCAAATCTTAAATATCTCGTTTTAATAAAAATATGCATTTACATATAAATCCGTTCCCTCGATATCACTATTCGTATAAATAATGCAATCAGTGAATATTTTAGAAAGTTACCCTATTAGAATTAGCACCATAGACAGAAATAAAAATATATTTACATTAATAATATTTAATAATTATTATTAATTTAATATTTAATTTTTGTCTTTTTTATATAGTAAGTATGAATTCAATGCATGAATCCATATTGTTCTCTTTGATTCCATTCTATATGACAAAGTGGTTTGAAGTTTAATATAATTAGTTACATCATACATTATTATAAAAGATATCTTGAGTGTAAAACGAGTTATAGAAATAAAGGAGAATTTCAAATAATTAATAGTAAATCAGTAACACAACGGAAGACGTCAAAGAGTAAGTGAATATTGCATTATAATTATGGACTATATTGACATTATAATATCATCATCCGGTTTAGTAGTATAATTTATCGAATCAATTATATCACCTTAAATCTAATTTATTATATTGTATACAGGCATGGAATTTAATTATTATAACTTTTATTTTAAACAAAATAGTATATTAATGCAGAAAAAATATGAAACATTTTACAGGTACCAATCAAAAACTTAAGCTATTACATTTTTGATTAAACGTTTCTTGCAATAAAATTAATCATCACAATTTTATTATTTCACACTTATAAATAAAAAAATAATAATAATGATATTAAAAGTTAACACTATACGATTGAAATAGTTTACTGCATTCCTAATGTAAATAGTTATACTTAAAAAATTATTTTGAACTAATCCAAAAAAAATAAAAGCAATTATTTTCTCGGATTAATTCAATCATGATTTGATAAAATAAAATGTTACGTTAAATTTGTTTGTATTTCTAACCAGATTTGTGCAAATTAATTTTTTAAGACTATTACTCTTAAAGCAGCATTATCTGCCGACTTCCGGAATTTCATCTATATAATAAATGAATTTCAAGTAAGAGGTTTATCGTATCAAGAGTTGATCGGGTAAAACGTCAATGGAATCACTAAAAGGTAAAATACGAACAATAATTGCCCGATGGATTATTTTTCATTTCAGGCCCAGAAAAAAAATCAAATAGAGGATTTTATTCATGTATCATAATATTGTAGAATATAATTTAGACGATTCGTAGTAGGTCTTGCACGAATATAATTCCAATAATTTACGATTTAAAGTATAATACATTACTTTTATGTAATACTTTCTTAAAATACTTTTAATATTACTTAACTTTCAATAAGTCTTACACAGATGATATTTGACTACTATCTTTGTAAACCCAGCGACTCCCTTGTTCTAATCAAATACTAAAACAATATGAATATCAAATGTTGTCAATATAATTTCTTTTAAAATACCATAATAGGTATACTATACTTAAATAATGTGTAAAATATGCTTGGTATATTAATTAAAAATTGTATTATCAAAATGTTACTATTAAGTTTAAATTTATTAGTATGAATTATAATTTACTTAGAGTTCCATGCTCAATATGATTATTATTTTTAATATAATTGCAACATTGTAGAATGCGTAAAATTAAATAGTTATTTTCATAAAATCGAAAATCGAGGTATTTATTAAAATTTCTTAGACAATAATACTACAATTTTTAATAATCACTAAATACTTTAATCTAATTTCTAGTCAAGTTAATATATTACACAAACCAATTAAAGTTTAAATTCAAAAATCATAAAACTCTTATGCTATATATTGATATTATTAGGGTTTTATTTTTTATTCGAGTATATTTTTTATATATTTTATATTATAATAATTCATACTTATTAAGGCTCTCGGATGTGTGTTAAAAACCTTTTTTTAAATACAATAATTTTTTATATGTATATTTGTTATAAATTAATATAAATATTTTATTTATTCAATACTTAAATAATATAAGAAACACAAAAAAATTCTTAGATTTAAGAAATCATCGATAATCTCAAATAAATAAATGTTTAAAAAGTTTTAATTATTTTATAGGAAAATCTAAACTCAGGATATCCGTAGAATTCGATGTTTAATATAGTACCTACTAAATTTAATCTATAGACCAATGATTTAAGTTTACACCTTTTGATTTTCGATATGCCTAAAGGTATATGTATGCATATATAGTCTGTACGCTTTATCAATAATGAACCATTTCCGTATGTTCGAACATTATTTCCGGCCGCTAACAAAATTTTCTCATTTCCCGTAGGAAACCCCTTTGATCAGGTTCGATGAGTGCGAACTACTGATCTATACGAATTACAATCTAGAAGAGTTTTACATATACGCTTCTCGTATCCTTCATACACAAATTCTTCATATTTATTTATTTAAATTTTTAAACGGGCCAAACTCAATTAGATACGTAATAGTATGTTAAATAATTTTATAGTTTTTTTTTAAAAAAATGTGACAAATCAGTTATGCGTGCACACATATATTGACAATCATATTCGGTGAGAAATCAAAATATCGATAACTATATTAAGTTCCAAAGTGTCTCACCGCTTGTTATGAAATCCCGCGCACGCTATTTAACTCTTCGTGATTCTAGTGCAAGCAAAATGCATTTGCTGTGGACCAAAAGTACATTATGGATATGTCATGTACCACTGTTCATAAATCATTTTTGTCACATAAAATATTACTCAATCTATTGTTTTAAAATTCTCCGGTGTGCCCAGCACCTTACTCACTTCGGGTTATTAGTTATTTTTGAGGGGAAAAATGAAAATGATACAACATCTAATTAGCATGTATTCGTCTGAAAAGTAAAAATGTGCTGTGTAACACTATCGTTCGGCGACCCTTTGAAAAGTGAAAAAACCAGTATATGCTTCTAGTCAAATTACGTACACACATGTATATGATATATTTATATATATATATATATATATATATATATATATATATATATATATACATAGTAAGAGACTGTAAATCGATCATTATTTAGACAAAAAGATTGTATATTGAATAAATTGAAAACAGACGTGTGGTAGTCGACTATAATATAAACCAAAGAGGCGACAACTATTATGTTCTGAGTAGACTAAAATATCTCAAATATACAATACAAACCTGTAAATAAATCATATTATTATAATATACGTTACGAAAATTATTATCTCTTACACACATGAATGATTAAAATATGAGATTGGTTAGTAAAACCAACAATAATTTAACAATATTGAATAAACAACATAATAGATAATGAAAACATAAGGTGCAATAATGACGAATGAATTTGGTTAGTAAACATTGATTATTAATAAAAAAAATGTACGTTCACAATTAAATAAAATATGACAAAATAACAATTTATATTTTATACAACAGTGATGCATTCGATTACTTTTTATTTGATACAAAAAAAAAACTTAACACTATATGAGTATAACAGTGAAAAAGTTTGTAATTAGGTTTTACTAATTATTGAAATAATTTTATTGTATTAAAAAAATGAATTGATGTCAGTAAAATGCTATACAAATACAATGTATCTTCTACATTGTTATAGGCACCTGGTGAATCATAAATGTATTTTGTGTTTATAGTTTATACAATATCAGTATTTAAATTGTTGTTTTCCGAGTCCAAGAAAACCTACTAAATCTAATACTCATTAACCAATACATTGTTTACAGTTTCAATAATAATTATGATAGAGTGATTCTTTGCGAAAGAGGATAAATTAGAAAATAATGTATCCTAGTTGGTGGGTTGAGGTGTACAAACAAATAAGTCATAAATCATATATTTATCTCAAAAACAACGTATAACTTTCCTAATTTTTAATCATGTCATACCTGCAATATATATATATATATATATATATATAACTAATATAAGTTAAAATTTCTTGCTTATAATTATTTAACTTTAGAATAGATATTTATTTTTTAATATTAAATCATTAATTTAATTTTTATAAAATAAAATAAGTACACGATACAGTAGTTTCACCATAATATCCTGTTAGAAATATCTCTGTAAATATTAATTTATTTTTATTTAAGTACAGTTTAATAAAAAGAAGTCATATTATAAAAGTATAACTAAATTCATATTTCCATCCTTTAACTGTCTAGAAATAAACTTTTGAAATGTTTATTTAATAAAATTACAAAATAGTTATTATTTGGTACAAGTTGTTGTGAAAATCTCATAGTATCGAAATTGAAAATTAATTAATTAGTTTCATAATCATAGGTAGGTAATGCAAGTTTTAAAAAAGGGGTAAGCGTATCCGGTAGATTTATTGATTAATTAGGTAGGTATTAAATTAGTATAAATGAGATAACTTTTTCAACAACAATAACATTAAAGTCGTCATTTATCACTAAAATAGTAGTGTAGTATCTAAACGTAGTGTAGCTGTATAAATATATGGTATAAGATAAGATTATCTAATATATTCAAATTAGAAATTTATTTCAATAGGTAGACAATATAACCTGAAAAACCAAAAAAACCTGATATAGTTTTCTTAAAAAATTATATTTGCTGCAATTATTCAAATTCTAAATATTCAATTTTCAATTGCGATATTTTTAAATGTTTATTACTTTTATTAAGGGTTTGTAATTTTATAGAAATGAAAATTTCAAATGATTTTTCCCAGGCAAATGAGGGATCAAAATATAAGCGTGGCAATAAGTGATATGAACTCATATTCAATTAAACTTTAAGACAGTAAAAAAATAAAAAATAAATTTAATATCAACATAATTCAATCGAAAAATCCCTGAGAACCATTCTATATAATGACATTTTCACCTTCATATTGACTCAAAAAAATAAAAAACGATTTTATTTAACAATTTTCAATAATTTCATATTTTTTTTAGGAATTATAAAAGGCACGTTAAAATCCATTTTAACTTTATAAAACCTCTTTTTATAAAAATGTGTTCGTCAATGAAATACGCGCTGAAAAAGGCGATCGAGCAAGAAAATTGTCAACAGTTCCGGAGCACTTACCCTTCTGATATTCATTCTTTTTTTTTTTTAATACATCTTAAACGGTTAGGTTTTTTCGATCCTTATTTTATACTTAACCGTAATAAGAACCTCAGAAAGAAATTCACAATAAAACCTCTCTTTTCACCCGGTTCACAAAAAAAGTATCTACCCAATTTTTATTCTATTTTAAAAAGAAAAATGTCTTTTATTATTTTTATTGATTAATTAAGTATTGGTCTAAGAGAGTTTTACTGAGAGTTTTACTTTTTATAACTATTATCAATGACATTTGATTTTATTTGCATTAGAATTTTAAAATGTATTAATATATACTAAAATAAAAAAAAAAATTGATAAAAATTAGAATTTAAATTTAATAGAATCAATTTTGAAATAAGATACAAGTTTAACTTTAACTTTGCTGTTATATAACCACTGCAACACACATCGTTAAATGAATTTTTTAATTTAAAATTAAAAACTATTCAAATATTTATATAAATAAAAACAAATTTAATCATTTGATATTATTTTTCTGTAAATATGTAATATATAGTACAGCTATCTTAAAAAAGATATTATATTATCTTTAGAAATACTTAAATTTTAATCATTACCTAATCAAATTATTTTGATTTGAATACAATAATATACCAGAAATAATAATTGCACATACTTTATTTTTATTACATTAATGTTAAAATTTATCTTAATATTATATTGATTATATTATTTTTGTAAGATTAAAATTAAAAACTATGTAAGACTAATGTGAAATTTACTAGTCATATTATTTCATTAACGTTGATTTAATGTTTTATTGACATATAAGGTGTGATATCTCACAATTTAACCAATGTCCATTACATTTATTTAAAATCACAATACATGGGTATATTATAAGTAAAATTGTATTTTTACTTGTCCAGTGTTAATATACTGAGTTATCACTCAACTTTTGTCAGTAAAATAATGATGCAGTGGAGTAAGCAAACAAAACAGAAGGAAACTTGAGGGGGCATATATTTGAATGATCGACTAATGATGAGAATAAGTTTAACTCTCACCCCTACTACCATTTGTTTTTTGTTTTAATTTTGCCTATTTAAGAGACCTAATCCTGATAAGTCAATAAAAATATACACGAGTACGCTCAGTATATAAATACAGATATTAATAATTATTATAGATAGAAATAATATTTCTATCATTATAATTAATGAAGATTCTTTATATTATATAGAATCTTTAAACAGAATGTTAGTAAATTTTATCATTACTAAAACTATTGATCTTCGCATATACTAAACCTATTTTACGAAATTAATATATGTTATAACCTAGTCCCTTGATCAATAACCATTGAAAATTAAAACCTAAAATCGTGTCAATGTTCAATCACGATTATGTACACAGTTTAAATCATATTAAGATTAAGGATTCACGTATGTTAAAACGGCCTAACGTAGATAAACTCACCACCACCATTTTTATAGCACAAGTAAGGAAACCGCCATACATTAGCCAAGTCCACGGCAAATCCTATGACCGACATCAGAAAATCCGTTTTGTTTGACCATTGTTCTCTGCCAGGTCGCCGACGCCGCTCCATCATAACCTCCACCGGTGGCGTATCGCTTCCGCCACCACCGTCCTCATCTTCCATGGCCATCGCGACCGCCCCCCCAACAGCAACGTTGAACTATCCACCCGCTCTCCTGAAACACACAAGTGTACACGAGTTTTAATATTTATTAATATTTTATTGACTCGTTTTTAACACACTTTTATCATGTAAAACTGTGACTTCTCTAAATATGGTATAAAGTAATACGTTATAACGGATTATTTTTCTTTCATTATTGTTATTTATTTTAATCGTTTTGTTTTCAACAATGAGATGAATGTAAAATACGTGGGGGGAGGCATAGTTTAAACCACGGCCCTGCAGTGTGATTAAACTGTCGTAGACACATTTTAGTAGGTACTGGTACTGGATGTGGTGCACATCGATTTTAATTAACCGGCAATTATCAAACAACAATGCCCACGAATAAAGTAGGAAAACATAAAGCCTTTTATGCGTAAACACGTTAGTTCATTTGTTAATTCATTAAATATAGTATAGTACTCATCTAATACACAATACACATGTGGGATGAAAACATCTAACTAAATCTGTTATTGAGAGGTAAAGCAACCTTATATCACCACGAACAAAAATATAATGCACAGATCAGATATGAAATGTTGTAGAAACTCATAGAAATGTAAGTACATATAGATATTAGGTAAACATAGTTATATTTGAACCAATGAATGACTGAATGAATGATACTAAAATAACTGTTTCTTCTGAAATGTTGTATGTATGAAATATGTAAACATAAGTATGATATTTTATATACATGGCAATCGTGTAAATAAATATGGCTAGCTGTAAAGAAAATGTTCAATGCTTATATATATATTCAAAATCCTTTTTAAAAATGATTTTTACTTCAGTAAATCCAAAATCCGTGTTACCGTTTTAGAGCTATTGGATCGAAAGCGACTACTATACTCTTTTGTCAACAAATTTCTTATATTATGTATTAATAACTTAATACAAATGTCACGTTTAAAAATTTAATATTACAATACTTTCAAATGATTTTCTCTATAATTCCTAATGAATAAAAAACAGTTAATACATAAGCTATAACCTTACTTTAAAATTAAATCATTTTGATTAATATATTACTTAAAAATGGGTTTGTAATGTATACCTACTTATAAATTATTAGATTTGTGGTTTAATGTACATAAATTCATTGAATAAATTTACAAAAATATGGGACACATTTTTTAATTGATTCTTGAGTTATGTTATTATAATTGTGAAATGTTTAAAACTACAATAATATATATACGACGAAACCACAATATTTAACAAAAATATTATATCCCAGTCTCAAGAACACTCTTCAGAATTTTTATAAAATATTGTCTAACAAAAAGGTTAAAATTACTAAATTACTTACAAATTTCGTATTTTAAAACGCATTAGTTCATACTTAATTGTTTTAATAGTGGAATTATTTTAAACAAAAAACTATTTGGAATTACTGAATATATTAACACAATTATTAGTAAATAATATTTTAGTTTGTTAATAGATGTCCATTTTTTTTTTTTCAATCAAATACTATAATAGTTCTACGTATGTAGCATAATGTAATACTTTTACAATAGAATCAATGGCTATATAACACAGTAATTTTCTTTTAAAGACATTGAAAATTTTTTTGAACTATTAATGCAACAAACGTATATTATTTTTGTTTCTTCAATAATTTAATATACACTAAACATTTTTATCGGGCTGTAACAATGTCGATAATATTAACAAAATTATTATTTTTTAGTTAATTAAGATCGAAACATAAACAAATAAAAATTCAAAATAACTACTACAAAAAAAATATCAAATTGATTTAATTAAGATTATTTTATTAATTTTTAAACGCATGTTCAATTTAAAATCGACACGATTAAAATATATTAGTTCAAAAATTAAAACTGGTAACACAACATTTTAACATTTTAAGTTATATCGTCCATATCCAGATTATTATAATATTTTTGTCGCAAATGAATGAAAATCTACTGAATCTATGAGACTAATTACTTTTTTAAAACTCATTCTGTATCGGTTACTTTTAATTCAAACAATATTTTTTCTTTTTTTTTTTTTTTTTTGATTAATTCAAAACGAATCCATCAAGAATATACGTTTGAATGTCTTAAATGTCCTGTTTAGCCGAGGAAAATACAAATCAATCACCACTTCATATTTTCCCAATAAAAATGTATCGGGTATCAACACGACGAATAAAATATGAATTTTTGCTATCAGATACAAAAAAAGAAAATAAAATAAAATATTAAGTTCGAACATGTGGCAATAAAGTAGTTCAACTACATAGGTACTCGTGATTAAGTATAGGTAAACGTAAACGTGAGTACATACCTTGTGCCTTTCGGCTCGTTGGATACCCGTCCCCGATGCATCAGCACACCCACGTAAATCGGACGCCGTAAGCGTGTGAAGATTAAATAAGGCGCGCGATCTGACGATATTGTGTTGTCGGTGGTTTGGTGCGTTTTCAAGTCACTCCGACCAATCAAAACTGCGCAAATCATCTTCGGCGCTTGCGTACTATTTCGGCAATAATTTAGGGCCACAAGCTGTTTTTTTACATTTTCAAACGAAATTACACGTATACAAAACACTGTACAGATTAAACATAGCATTGAATTCCTTCAGTTTCCAGATATTTCCCGACACATTCAAGCCCGTCAAGTTCTAAAAACGAACATTTCAACTTTAAGGTAATTTTCTATTTTATCATCTACTAAATAAAAACATATAAACTTATTATACACATCATTAGAGCAATAATAATTATTTTAAATACATTTGAATATTAATTAATTAATTAATAATATTGTTAAATTCCAAAACCTCAATTGTACTATCTGTGTAGTCGATACCTTAAAATATATAACGTTAAAACTTAATTATTTGTTAGCGTACCTAACTCTAAAAAGGTTTACATAGGTCATATTTACTTTATTTAAGTCTGTCATTAATGCTAAACAAAAAAATTATAATAATATTTCAATGATTTTTATTATTTTTTTTTTTTTTGTAAATTTAAACAATTATACAATAATCATCAAAATTGATTTTGATATTTATTTTTGTAATTAAATCATTAAGCACCTAAACAAAAGCTCACAGAATATGTTGAATGCAAGTATATAGATATATAGACAGCTCAATTAAGTTTTACAATCTAAAATGTATAAACGATACACAATCAAACAACGACACAAATTATTTTAATATTTTAATATATTTTATTTAAATAATTTAACTATAATAATTCATTGCATTATACGAGTACTTAATACTTAGTAACCATTGTTTACCTTTCATTTTAGTTAAATTCCTAAATATCCAAGTTGTCTCATAAATTCTTACAATAATTTTGTATTTCATTCTTCATGTCATTAATCCTTTTGACTAAACATCTTCGTGATTTAATTTCGTAAACAAACCATCTAACATAATTTCAAACATTTCATCTAATAAATTGACTTCAATAATAAAAAAAACCATTTTATGTATTTGAATGCATATTTTGAAACTATACTCGTAATTTAATATAATGTGAATATATACCTAAAAATAGGTTTAGGTAATATTAATGTCTTTAATGTTTTCATATACCTTAATATGATGCCCAATGATGCCGACGTATTGTCATTTTACTACTTATACTTTTTTAGTAGTTTAAAATTATTAAATTTATTCTAATTAATTAATTAATTTCTAAGCGGAAATAAACATTGTAAGTATATTTATATAAATTATATATTTATTCGAAATATTAATAAACAAGTAAAATTATGTATTAAAACAAGGTTAGATTTTAGTTCTCATATTTAGATTTCATCTAACTTGGATCAAGTTGGCTAAGTATAAAATATAATTTAAAGAACCATGTTTAGAAATAACGGCGTTTAAGTTTAATACGCACACATTAATAAGTAAGAACTATTTTAATACAGTGATTTACGTATATTATTATTAATAAATGTATAATTAATGATGATTTATTTTTGTGTAACAAGTGTTGATAGTGCTTTTGTTGCATTGTTAAAATATTTTCATGTTCTACGTTAAAATGCATAACTTTTATGTACGTTAATAAAAACTACGTAATTTATCTGTTCCTCTTGGAACGTACAGGCTAAAATTAAAGAAAAATAACATAGTATATGCGTTTACAACTAATTGTGACATTGAGTTATGTTATTCAGTTAGATTTGTAAGAAAGCTGATCAGTTTCATACAGTACAAGATAATATATTAGGTACATCTGAAAGACAGTTAATCAATATAATCATCAAAAATTTTTAAATTCTTAACAAACATAATAGTATTTATAAAATCGTGTTCATTTTTAAATCCACAAAGCTGAATAATTTAAATTATAAGCACCCATTACGAGAACGTATATGTATGTATGAATAGGTACACCTGTGTTGCTCTGTCCGACATAAACAGTCGTTTGCAATATGTTAAATCATTTAGGCTATAGATTATAATAACTATAAGGGAAATTAAAATCGTACACCATAGAAAAAAATTTAAATTTTGGTCTCATAATACTCCTACTTTTTCGATGTTGCTTTATTTTACAATTTGTTTCGCTTATAGTAATATAATTCATGTGTACAGAGATATTTACATCTTTGAATAAATAATAAAAATTACACTTTTTATTCAATGTTTGATAGATATTGTTCTCATTAAATCAACAAAATTCTAAAACCATATAAGACCGCGATTACTCTTTTTTACTTAGACATACTTAAACGTAGAAAATTACGTGCACCGCGGGCAGAGAAAAAAATCTTAATACTAAATAATATTTCAACTATTAAATAACACTTATAGTGATCTAAATAATGGTCTGTTGGAATATCAAGGCCATAAGAAGTTCAATATTATAGCGCTTAAATATGTATTTTAATTTTATTTGTTTGGTTGTAGTTGAAAACAGCGTTTTTGTTCTTTGTTTGCACGTTATGTGGACAACGTAATATATTAAAAGCGTTTCAGTTTTCGAATTGTTCACGCTAAATGCCAAGACAGCAAGTATCGTAGATACTAGATAGTACTCGAGAGTAATAGTAGAGTGAATTTATAAATAAGTATCTCTTTGTTTTTATAATATGATGGTGGTCATTACGTTTACAGCATATGAAAATGATGTTTATCGATGGAAATAACATTATTAACATCAGAAAAATAGCTTTAAACATGCTATTTGTAGTTTTAAATTTTTAATAAAAAAAATAATATAATAAATGAACAATAAACGATTTATATTATTATTAATCTCGAGCAGGGCCGACGTGCGGATAAGGCGACTCAGGCGGTCGCTTATGGCACCATTTTCAGAGGGGGCACCTAAATTGCTTTTTACAATTTTGCACATACGTCAGCAATAATTTTTTTTTTTTTAAATGTAAAATACCCATAACTTTGTTTTGAAATATTGATAATAAATAATGGTTATATCGTTTAGCCGTATATTAAAATAATATAAGTATATTTTAAGTATATGGTCCATCATATAAGTTGCTATAATTTTCAAATATTTGTTATCATTCCATCGGGATCGCGTCGAGTCGTCGTGACTCGTGACCAAAAAATTTAACGATACTAAATTATGTTCAAGTTGAGCAGGGTTCTTGTATGAAAAATACGCTAATTGACATTTTTGCCTCGAGCGTCATTTAGCCTTACGCCGGCCCTGATCTCGAGAATACGCGATGAATCTCGGACCAATTTTCATTCCAATTCTTAAGTAACATAATATTATCTTGGTCACCTATATTTGATTTTCTTTTGAATAAATTTGCTTTTGTTGCGTAAATTTAAAAACAACGAGTACGCCGTATGTTCTGGCTCGCACAAACAGCAGTCTAAATACCTATATGTTGTACTCTGTTACGACGGGTCCCCCGAAAGTAGTAAACATTTATGACAAAATAGTACAAAGAACTGTAATCGGAAGATTTTCACGGCTTTCAGTTGGTAGCCTACCCGTTGCCCAATATATATAAATAAATATTTATATTTATATTAAACGGAAATAAATTCCATTATCTGCGTGAATAGGAAGTAGACTGCAAGTGAACGGTGTACACGTACTCAATTTTTTGTTCACGAACATATCGTTGCTTCTACCAATGTTTTATCAGCTGGCATACATGGTTCGTGAAACAACCGCTAGGATGATGATAAAAGTAATTTTATGAACGTTATCACTGTGTGTACTGAGTACAACAGCTTTCAACAATTTCACTCCTTCCTGCAGAATAACAATAATAATATTATTATTATTATTATTTGTTATTATTAACATAAGTTGTGTTTATGTTGGATGTTTCCAAGTCAGATCTAGTCTTGAACTCTTGACACCACGACAGTTCGTTTTGTTATCAATTATTGTACACTTACAGTAATAGTACTCTGCATTTTTTGATCATTTTATCCATTGCAATTATTGAATAACAGGTAACGTTTTCAAAGTGCAGAACATATGCATACTTTTTCACTGACCTGTAAATTAAAACTTAACAGTTTAGGGTTGCTAATATTTTTTATGTTTTTACAGATTATATAATTTTTCTGACCGGTTATTTTATCATGAGCGAAAACGATCCATGTGAATGCTATTGGAATCATGAGTTATCCATGCAGCGTCTACTGTCACTGGTAAGAAAAAATAAAATATTATACCGAGTCCAATTTTATCTATTTTACTAATAACTACAGATAAATAGCACAGTTTGATATAATAGGTGCAATTGAATGGTTTCTTATTGCAATTGAGAATTTTTTTTAATAAATAGATTTACTTCATACACAAAAATCTTTTTTCACTTGCAGTATGTTAAAAAAACAAAATCTCTTGTTTATAATTATTATCTTTATCGTGAATAGAAAACATTTTATTAGTAGCTACCAATATTGGTCAATATTTTAAGAATCTCAATTTAACATTCTTTAAATCAATAAAATTATGTTTTATTTGTTCCTAATCAGCTTATAGCCATACAATATAGTCTTTTTTTATCCATAAACAATGTTTGATGTAATTTAGTCTACTATATTAAGTATAATGATCAACCAAACTCAGTAAATTTTCATAATTATTTATTGTGTGACCTATTACAGACTATTTTTTTATATGTTAAAATTATCCAAACATTACAGTGATTTTTTTAATTTATAATAATAGGAATACCCACAGTGAAATAATTCATTATTCAACCATACAGTGTACAAGTCGGTGACACACTTTATGTTTTATTTATCTTGAATATCAAACATTGAGTAAAAATGAAATTTTTTAGTTTTTATTTTGTTTTGGTATACTATGCACAGTGTCTGTTTTAATACCTTCATATTATCTATGTTCATTTTTCAAACTGTACCAAATACTTTTAATGAATAAATAAAACCTTAGTATGTTATCAACATATAAGTAAATTAAGTAAAATCTATTTAAAAAAATTCAATATTTGATGATATTTTACTATTTATTATTTAAAAATTATAATAAAGTATAAGTAGCATATTCTTAGTGTTAACTATTAATCACAAGTTTAAACTGACTAATAAAAACTAAATTACTACTTTGATTATAATAATTAGTATGAAATAAAATGTAATAATATCAGTTTATGATTAAAAAATAAAAACGAGATTTTTCAAAATATTTAATGTAGGTATTTACTAAGTCAGGGTTGAATTAACATACATTTATTTCATGATTTTAATATTTTGAAGTAAATATATTATTGAGTATCAGTAGAAACTAATAACAATTTTAGTTTAATATTATTAGAAAAGAAAGAGTATGATATGAGTACTAAAATAAATTGATAAAATTGGTCATTTGATTATTGAAATCAGCTTTCTGTTATGTATTTTCCTATTAAAATTGGCTATATATCAAATTAATTTGATTGAACATGTAAAACTATTTTATTAAAATAAAGTCTTATCTAAATAATTATTGTAGTTCTGTGACATAACCATTGTTAAAAATTATTTTAATTACATTTTTATTGAGTGATTGTTACTAAAATAATAATAGTTTTCAGACTAAATATTATTTTCAAAAATGTTAAAAGATGCAATCTATATAAAAAAATATTGAATAATTATACATGACATTTAAATGTTAGTACTTAATCTTTAATCTAGCGTTGATCGGGAACACGATATAACTTGATTATATTAAAAAATTAAATAATTATACTTACACCCTATCTAAAATAAAATTTAATTAATTTTAATAATTTTAATAATTTTTACTTTACTTCTCCTATCCCTTTTATTTTATAAAAAATATTTTATTAATTAATTGTTACATAAAATTAAAGAATTTTAATTACATTTAAAATGGATCATATTTAAAACTTCTAAAGCTTATTTTATGAAAAATGTGAATTAAATTATGTTTCAAAAACCAATTTTTTTAATGGTAAAAGTTTCATCTCTTTTATTATTTTTAATTTTAATTCTTAAGAGCAAAGTACTATTGGTAAATTTAAAATATTAGTAATCAATAATGATAAATTTTGTAATAGACAAATTAATTATAAAATTAATGAATATCAATGTTAATAAAAATTACATTTATAACTCTTAAATAAAGTTTTAATATATATATTACTATTATAAATTTGGTAATTATCAATGAATAAGTTATATAACTATGTGTTGTAGCTACGTCAGTCACAGTCAGCATGCACCGATATTGATTGCTTGGAACCAGGTAAATTTAACGATTAAGGTCTGTAGGGTTCTATTAATATTTAAATAACTTTCTATACATTTATATTATTATAAAATACATTTTTTTATATCTGATTAGCACTATTTTTATTAAATTCATTTTTAAGTTATTAAAAAATACTTTATATTTATTAGTTACCTTAAAGAATTGAATTATATTAGAAATTATTTATAACATTAATATTTAGCATATTTGTTCCAGGAAATTATGAGAATATTAATTTAAACAATTTAAGTTGCTTTACCAATTTTAATTTTGATCTGCATTATTATAAGAATGTTGTATAATAAACAATATCAAACCATTTTTAAAAGTTTTAATATATTACCCATTATCAAATTAGTTTACAAGTTCATCAGCTAAAAGTAGTTTATAGCAAATAAGTTAATCAATTTAGTTTTTTAAATAATATTTATATGAAAAAGAGACCAATTACAATTTTTATATTTTTCATTATTTAATTATGATTTATTATGAAATTGTTTAATAAATGTTGACCCAATTTTAAAGTATAATTATATTTTTATAGTGCCAAGATTGGATGGACCATTAGCTTCAAATGGTGAAGAAACTAACTTTATTTTATTAACTGGTATTTGGGTTGTTGTTGCTTTGGCTTTGTATTTTATGCGTCCTAATCCGGCGCGTACACATGATGAAGCTGTAAAAAATCTACCAGGTGGTTCTGGTAATAGTGGATCAGATGTGAGGATTAAATTTAAATTAATTTTAACTTTATTTAGTGTATAAATCAAATCATGTTTTTATTTTCAGGACCCACCTCCTCCGTCAATGGGAGCTCAGTGATGACCAGATTTTAAGTTTTTAACAATACATTCTACAAGTATTTTGAGCTTGCTCAATCTCAAATTCCCTTCCATTATTCCACAGATAATCATTATAACCAAATAGATTTAAGAACATTACATTTAAATTGCAGTTTCTCACTTGACTGACTAAAGCCACTGCACTAATGGGAAAGATTTATTCATTTTTATTTTTTCTTTAAAATCATACATAACTTATCTATAAATAATAATAGATCATAATTTAATTAAATAAGCACTCAAGATGGGAATAATTATAATAATATCATTTTTTGTTTCTTCATTATTGATTGATAATGAAAAATGCAGTGGTGATGGTAACTTATGTTAGTTGAGTGGAAAATACTATTATACATAAATAATAATATTCTCTACAAATTATATGCAATAATGAGGAAAAAATTTGTACAGAAATGTATTTAGTATTTGAGTGTGAATTTATTGATTTATTGTAGTTGTTTGAATATTTTTTTCTTTCAATTTAGACCTCATTTTATTGTTATTTTGTTAAATTGATATTTTAATATATTTAAACAAACCATTGAAGCATAAAAATGTTAATATTTTATCGGAACGAATTATAATTTTCCAAATTTATTCATTATTGATTGTTTTTCTATGCTAAGCTTATTTTTCCTTGTATGAGAATTTTTTTTTAAAGCCAAGTGCACAGTGAAATAGTAAAATTGATTAGAGCTGTTTGGAGTAAATTATAACATGTGTAAAGTAATTGATGCATTCATACTTATCAGTCAACATCAAAACATGATCAGTCTATTTCTAATCTTACTTTGAGTAAAAAATGAAAAACAAAAGTCACTGGTTTATTTTTATAAATAGTATTCAGTATTGATTAGCTTCTTGACTAGTGCGGACTTATGTGTAATTAAATTATCGAGTCGTTTATCATTTTATTTTTCACATAATAAACTAGTAATTATCAAAACTGTAGTTATTTTCAATCATTGTTAGGTAAGATTTAACACTCAAGTAGCCTATATTTCAAATAAATTTATACTTTATAGAAATGTAATTATACAATTTTTAGAGAAAATTTTTCTATCTAAAAAAAGACATATAATTAAAAATTAAGACTACATACAACAGATACATCATTCAATAAAAATTACAAAATGTACATTTTTTTAATGTACCAAAAGATTTAACTCTGGTTACACTACATTTTCTACATAAAATAAAACTCCAATCATGATCGACAATATGTACATAATAAAACCAGCACAATTCTATAATGTTACTTTAGCCATATTCTAGACAGTATTTTCTTAATCAAACAGTACCTAAAATTAATATGTATTTCAAGAATTATTAATAATACGTTTGATTTTAAGAATTGGGTAGTTTTCAACTAGAATGTTTAAAAATGAATACCAGTGAATATACACAGTGGCACAGAATACTAAACTTTAAGGTTGACTGCGACGAAAACCATTATCCACAATTATCATCAAAGGTTGGCAGAACTATAGAGTAAAAACTGATAACTAGGACAAAGTAGGTAGGTACAATAGCAATTGTTAAGAACAAATACGTTTTATGTTTAACACAAAACTAGTATTATTTTTTTTACAAAAAAATGCATATTTTACTTTTAGGAAAAATATCTCGAGATTTTCAGTAGAATAAAGATAACTGTATTGGATTTACTATTATGTGTACATTTTTTGGTTAGTGAGCACAATTTCAATCTTAAGGAATAATAATCAGAACTAAAATTAATATAGTCTTGGAGATTTGAAATGTTCAATAAATGCTTTTATCTTTTAATCTTTTTCCTATGCTTATATACAGCGCGTTTCTAAAATAGTTTAAGAAACTAATATACGCGTACTCTTTGGAGCGAACTAGTGAAGATTCTTTTGAAAATGTTTATCTATTTACAAAACCTGGGTTTTATCTCTAGAACATATATATATATATATATATATCTCAAAGAGCCATAGCTACCTCTACTCTGTATAATATCTTTTCCGCCGATCAACCAATTTCTCCAAGCATTGGCGTATCCAGGGGTGGGGTTAGGGGGTTATAACCCCCCTCGAAAATGTTTAATGTATGTATATTGTCTATTGATTATAATAAAAACACATAAAATTCAAAAAAAATTGAATGTTACATTTTTTATAACCCCTCCCAAAAAAAAATTCTGGATACGCCACTGTCTCCAAGTACTATAGTTCCAGAATACGCCAATGACAAAGTAGTTCTCTTAACTCATGAAAACCTTACTTTAGCTTCTTATTATCTCCAAACAGTTACAAATATGGTACATAAAATGGAAAGTGAAAATAAATTGAAGTAAGTCAAAGCATGTCTTAAAACGTGGCCTCTGTCTTCATATACATTTAAACAACATTTAAATCCCTTCTTTTCAAAACACAAAATATCTCGGCATTCATTTTGATCGATATCTCACATGTTTATATGTTATGTGAATAATACTAAAATTACCTTTGATAAAAGATTATGCATTCTTCAGGGGCGTCATTTGGGGGGGGGGGGGGGGCAAACTATGGCAAATGCCCTACTCTAAGAAATTTTAAAAAGTCGGCAATTCTTTGTCCGATAATCAAATGCTAAAATCGGTAAATAGTAAATTTTTATTTATTGTTTTGTACTCAGAAATCAGATAATATTCTCTTTTAAATACACGTTCACGGTTTATTAAAAGTTGGGAAATACTGGCTCCTCCCCAGTTTATGACAATCATTATTACGCGAACCTTATAAACTTTATTTTTGGTATATTATATATTTCTATATATATGATCTTTATAAAACAGTTTTCGTGATATCGATACCATAGAAATTGAGCTCATAATCTATAAAAAAAAAAAAACCGTTAAAATCGTTCCTATTCACCCCAAATTACGGTACATTATATTTGAGATACAATTTTATGTTTTTATAAATAATTTCTGTAAAGTATCAAATATACAAATAATTAAATTATAAGTATTTATTTAATTAGATTTATATTATTATTCCATTAAACCTATTGTTAGGTAACTTATAGCTTATAGGATAAGTAAATAAATTAATGTCTTACTATGTTTAATGTTATTATTAAATTGGGTAAATTGAAACGTTTCATGTTCTTTGTTTGTTATCATGATATCATTATACAATACTAACCCTTACATGTTTTGTTCCGAAAAAATGTTTTATTGATTAAGTCTATCGTCCATAAATATTAAATATTTAAATATATAGGTAACCATAATTTTTTTAAATATTATGAAGTCGGCAAATTTAATCAGTTGTCCCACGCTTTCAAAAGTTAAAATGACGCTCCTGGCATTTTTAAAAGATTTCTTATATCGTAGACATATCGATGTGTACGAGAATTCTGTGAGATAAACAATGGTGACATTTTTTGTTGTTAGTTAACATACTTGATTAATTGCAAAGAAAAAAGAATAAAAGAACTAAAAGAAAACATGAATAATTCAAAAACAGTATTTTTTTTTCAACTGACACGTGCTAACAGATTTTATTATGTTTCGAGGAGTGCTAATAATAACAAAAACAAAAAATTTAAAAATGGTCTATAAAACAGTTCCTTAATATGTTCCAATTTTATCAATCCAAGTAAAAAAAAAAAAGTTCATACATATAAAACTAAATCTCAATGTATAAACGACAGTAACCAATATTTTTATGTTATACTGCAATTTGTGTTTATTCAATTAAAACTAAGCTAAAGCACTGCCCCTATAATCTTCCTTACTACTACGGACTGTTTTTTTTTTAAAAACATACCTTTATCTATATAGTCCTTTCAGAGGTGTAGGTGCCTATTGCTTTTTAGGCAATTGGTGAAAAAATGTTATTTAAAGATATATACTAACGTGTAACGATGGGTTCAATTTTTAATCCTATACTGATTTCGGCAATCTGTATCAATTTGTTCCTTTTCGAATTCAAAAACAGCTAAGGTTGAAATAATGGGATGCATTATAATTGTCTTTGAACAAAATAGTTTAAAACGATTGTTGGTTATTGGTGTTATTTTCAAGAGACTGGTCATTTTTTTACTAACAAACATAATGAACTACGAGAACGGATATAGTTAGTGTATTGAATAATTATCATTTCACCTTTGCCCAGTGTGAAGCCAATAAAATAACCAATGACTAGCCTGTATGAATAATATATTCATTGCAATATATTATAGACGCAATATTGTTTTAACTACCAATGTCTATTGTTTGTTGAGTCTTCACATCTGACTTAATAAATCTCGTCAAAGATGAACAGTTGGAGTAAATTCAGAGGTATGTTAAAATCACAAACCAATAATTTGAATATAATATATGTACATATGTATTTGGAAACGATTTTCATTTATAAATATTGTTAAGCTCATCACATGTGCAACAAGTAGTTAGAATTGTAAAACCAATTCAATGAACTATTTTCTTATTATTTGCGTCAGAGGTCTAAAACATTTAGGAGTAGCCATTTTGTCGTGACCCATTTTGTTGTAAATTATAATAAAATTACAAATTACAAATTTTCCTATGATCTTTATGTAATTTTTATTTTATACTATTAAATAAATTAATACAAATAAATATGTACTACGTGGGGCGTATTTAGGGGGGTGATATGGGTGTTAAAACATCTACCCCCATCGACCGTATTTTATGGTATTCCACCAAATTTCAAACTTACTGTATAATTTGTATAAACCTTGTGTACAACTTGTAGGTTTTACATATACTGTCTTAATATAATAATTTATATGAATACGTGGTATTTATTAATGTAATACGGGGGGGGGGAAGCAGATCCCCACTTATCATAAGTCTATTACATTTTAAAACATCCCCGTTAAATGAATCCTGGATACGCCACTGCGTTCCACAGAAATTTTGGCGAATCTGTGAATTCTTAATTTATACAAATCTTTATTTCGGCATCTCCAAAATGTCTTGGTTTTATCGTTGTTATATGCATCAAAAACATACGTGTATAAACATCATGAGTAAACATTTCACGGTTCCTTATACTTTTTATTGATTTCATTTTGGCTATGAATTACTGGTATTCAATTAAATTCTTGTACTTAATAAAATTAATATGTATAATATGTTACAATTAAGTATAATTTGTACTTCTTGATGATTTTCAATTTAAAAGAGTTAAGTACAAAAATTATATTAGTCCATATTTAAAAACGAAAAACGATCGAATTTTTGCACCAAACGTATAAAAAAATATTAAATATAGGTATCAAGCAATAAATATTATCTTATCTCAATATGTTTAAAATCTTTATTGCAATATAGGTAAAACTAGTTAGGGATCTTTTATATAGCACGCTTAGAATCATACCCTATATAGTATATGCACAATAAAAATTAAATATTTAATGCACGCCGAAATGGCCTCTACGTCGAAATTATTTAACGCAAAAACGTCCGATTCCCTCACGCCAATTAAAAATAAAAAAAGTTCGGAAAAAATTAAGTTTTTTTTGAAACTTGATTAATAATTGTTAATAGAATTATAAAATAATTTAACTATATTTGCAATGTATTTTTCATATTTACACTACTATTTAAACATAGTACTATTATTTATAATAGTGTACATCTTATACATAAAAATGGAGCTAAAAATGTATAACATTTCATCAATTGAGAATGTCTGGGCTGATATGGCTCAATTTTTTTTAATTGTTCGTAATTGACAGGAGAAGGTTTTTACGAAAAAAATGTTTGGAAAAGTGCTATTGTTTAATAAATATCGATAACTGCGCAATTGAAAATGAATTATTAAATGAAACTCTAAAAAAAACTATTAAAAAACTATTATTTTATTTTTGGTATTAAATGATGGGTATTGCATAAATATTAAATAACAAGTGCCAAAATAAACAAGAATGTTAGTTCGAAAAATTATTATGCATTTCAATTAATGATTAGACGCGATCAGGACATTTTTCTACGATGTTGCGGCATGCATAGGCGTGCGCACGGTGGTGGCCGGGTGGGCCGCGGCCTCCCTGCGGACTCTGGCTTTTTCTTTAATAAATGTACAGTCAACTCGCGATATAACGAATTTCAAGAGACCGAGCAAAAAGTTCGTTACATCGAAAGTTCGTTACATCGAAATTCATTATATGAAAAGCATAAATCAACAAAATTTGTTTAAACGATGTTTAAAAGAAAATTTAAAATTTATTAGATTTTTATAATTACATACCTACATACAATATGAGATTATTATTAAATATTTTATTAGATACATTCATACATTTTTTGTTTATTACATACATACATATTTATTTTTTAAAAAAATAGGATTTTTATACGTGGCGTGCTCTCGAACCATACAGTTTGTGTTGGCGAAAGATAGGATAACAAAGAATATTGTACACTCTGTTGCATTAAGGGATTGATATTGTTTTTTACTAATATTGTCATTATTAGTGATATATATAATTTTAAAGGATCAATTTTAATAAATTATTAAAAAAATAAATGTTTGATGTTTTCTTTATTTTTATATTTCGTCACCGTTCACAGCACTCCATACCTCTTCCACTTATATACCACATCCTTACACACTTATTATTAAATTAGTAATTTTTTTCAAAATAACAAAACAATGTTTGTCGGGTCAGCTAGTATAGTATAATCATATAAATTAGTTGAGCATAAGTCTAGCAATTAGTTTATTACATTGATATATATATTACATTACGTTAAAGCACCATTTTATGTAGATTATTTTATAATTGTATTGACAATTTTATTGTAAGAAATTAACAAGTATGCAGTGTTGTACATAGATAACTAAAATATTATCTAGATAAGATAACGGATAATATATTAAAATTTCATCTAGATAATAAACAAATAAAATTAGATAAAAACATAATTTTAAACAGTTTTATCATTCAGAACTTACATTTGTAAAATGGTTATTTTTCCATGAAAAAAAAAATTATTAATTATGGTTTAAAATAATCTTGATTAATTTTGCTAATTTAGACAACATTTTCCGTCCAACAGATAGTTTTGTATTTCGTCAATGATGGTATTTGCTTTAGTTGTAATTGTACATCCAACCGTTTCAGGAACTATTTTTTTAGATGGCCCAGGTTTCCCAAGCCTGGGGTTATCTGTTGTATCAGAAATTTCAGAATCATCTTCATGAATCCGTTTCCTCTCTTGAGAAATAAATTTATCCATGTTAAATTGAGAAATAAAGACAACTAGTTACTAACGTCGAACAATCGAAAATAACTAATAACAATGATGATCGATGGAACGTTAACGTAACAAAGTATGAATGTACGTATAGGATACTAAAAATAGTATTACTAATGTTATTAATACTGGTCTCTGACGGACAATTTATAATTTTTAATGCATATCTGTATGTATGTATTTTATATTTATGAAACTCAAGTTTGATTTAATAGGTACCTATATCATAATTTTAAAACCATTCCATATAAATCGTTATATTTATTTTATTTAATTGTACGTATTTACTAATAACTAATAAGTTATTATATTACCTTGTTGCTATATTCTCTGTATTCACTAACACGATTTAAGATCTATATAAACTAATACTATATAACCGTGGCCACTATTCAGTGGTTGGCTTTTTTATTATTTACCTATTACTTTAATCTAAGTTTATACATTGTTTATGGAACGTCCCAGCCAATGATTGACGTTTTATGTCCATGTGATCACACAATTATTATCTATATTATTATTATATGAGTATAATATTAGTTATTAAGTATAAGTATATTAAATTCCGGGCGGAAGCATTGGGCAGCAGGTATCGTCCAGTCGTCGATTATACAGAAAAAAAAAAGTTAATCGTTATAAAATTGAATGGTATTATTAGAAATACGTTCATTTTTATATGTTGTCTGTGTGCTGTGTAAATAATTATACAACACCTTTTTTTCGTTTATAAAATATGTATATTTAAAATTTAAAACGTACATACGGTAACACTAAGTGTTTATTATTTCTCGTTTCACTTTCCACAAAAAAAAAAAAAAAATATCTTTTTAAAAATTGTCTATATAATTTATCTTAGATCACCATTTTATTTAAAAATATGGATAAAAAGATACTTCAAATTATTATTATCCAGATAAGATAAAAAGATTCATTTTTTAACTAGATAATGCATAACACTGCAAGTATGTAAGTAATATTATAAGTTTTCTAGATTCTAGAAAAATTGAAATTAAAAAAAAATAAATTGTGAAATTTCTAGATCGGGTAAAGTATGGGATCTATTCAAATAGTACCAGAATTGAATTTTTAATAGTTACAAAAATGACTCTTTACTTGTTGTAAGAAAAATGTTGGCAGATTTTAAAAGAAACAAAGGCAAAATTTCCATATCAAAAACCTTCTATGTATGAGCGTAGGTAAGGATAATTTATGGGGGGAGGGTTGATATATTTAGGTAATAATTTTTATTATTACTTATTGGTTTAATTCTTCTGATCAAGATCATGTACACAGACCGGACAAATACACGCAAAAAAACAAATTATGGTAAAACCAATACGTTCCTCGTTTAACTCAGAATTTAATATGTATATGGGTTAAGTGTTTAGGTTTTTACTGAAGGCATAAGATACATATTTTATGACAGTAAATAATTTTAATGAAATAAATATAATCAATTTTATTTGAGTACGACTTTTGATTTTTAGGTATTTATGGAGAGTTGATTAAACATTATACAACGTCGAACCAGTCTTTTCCAGAATTACCTCCAATTGACTTCAAACCTTTACCGTATAAAGTAAAGTATTCATTTAATTGTATTTAAGTACATTCTGATAGAAGACAGAATTTAAATGTAGTAAAACTATTTACGTTGGAATTGTATAAAACCTAAAAAATACGTTTCATTGTGTTGTATTTTGAAGTTTATTTTAGCTAAAGTTTTGGATGGATAAGTTGCACCTATAATTTGTAATATATTTATAAAAATATTTTGAAAATTGGATTAGATATACCTATATACAAGTACATTTTAATCAGTTATTCTCAATTTTTTGGTATATAAGAAAAAACTTATAAATCATGTAAATTTGGTTTTGAGATTGATATTTTACTCGATAAAATAATTTCTTATGTATTGAAATTTGAATTTTAGAATGTGAAATACCTGTAATACTTAACCCTTTTAACAACTTAAGTAGAATAAAATCATATTTTAAGAAAAAATATAATACTTTTATAATATTCAATAAGATTTTAAAATACATAAAAATAAATGTATATAATACATTTTTAAGGGTCCATCTTATGAAAAAGCACAGGCTATGCAATTGGACAATGTGTTCCCTCAAGTGCAGATGTACGAAAAGCCATTGTACCTCCACGAAGGTAAAATGCAATGGTTATTCGACCATCAAGGCAAGCGATATTTAGACATGTTCGGAGGTATAGCTACGGTCAGCGTAGGTCATTGTCATCCGTCAGTATAAGTTTAGCCGTCACAACAGCACCGCGTTTGACAGTAAATTGAAAAACGAAACGACATTTTTCAGCCGAATCAACCAAGCCATGGCCAAACAGCTGAGCACACTGGGACACGTATCCGGGGTGTACCAGCATCCAAAAATGTACGAGTACGTGGAAAAACTGATGATGAAAATGCCGGGTGATCTGAAAGTAAGTACGTAAAACTTATATATTACCACCGGGAGTCAAGCTAATCGTACGAGATGACGGTTCGTCGAGACAACGAATACACCCGTTTAGCCAGATTGTGCCATTAGAACTCAAAAAAAAAAAAAAAATCGGTTCGGTGCAAAATACGCCACACTCCTAGGGCCCAGGCTATAGCCCGGTCCCGCAACACACACCGTGTACCTGACCGCGAAATGTTACAGACCGTGTACCTGGTCAACAGCGGTTCCGAAGCTAACGAGTTGGCCATACTGCTGGCTCGGTTACACAGCGGTAACCAAGACATCGTGTCCATCGAGAACTGTTATCACGGCGTGTCGGGTAACGTGCACGGGCTCACGGCTCAGTCGGCGGTCAAGTTCAACAACCAGCCGACCGGCAGTTTTGTCCATCACGTGATGTGCCCCGACGTATACAGAGGCATATGGGGCGGAAACAATTGCAGAGACTCGCCGGTCCAAACGCACCGGTGCTGTGAATGCAAACGGGACCGTTGCCAAGCCGCCGACATGTACTACGAACAGTTGAAAAACAAGTTTTCCTATTCGTTGCCCCGAGGAAAGGTGGCCGGTTTCTTCGCTGAATCTATCCAGGTTAGTTTGCACCAGGAGCGAACCCAGGAATTTTTTATTGAGGGGGGAGGGGGCAACATTTTTATTTTATCTGTTCTCTAATTATAATTATAGTTTAACTCAATACCAACAAATTACTTTTTAAAATATAGTATGGTTTATAAATTAAAGGTATATTATATAATCTATAAACTTTGTATATTGAAGACAATATGAAATTACACTATATACTACAGGGGTGGTTCCAGAGTTTTGGTTAGGAGGGGGGGAGAAGCAAGTTATAGTTCTACAAAATCTTATAACAAAAAGAAAACAACAATTTTTACAACAAAAATTCAAGTCGTCTATTTTTAAAATTGGCAAAAATATCAATAATATGATCTATTTGATCTAAAATATCTACTTTATGATACTTATACATTAATTACACATAATGCTGATAGTCCTGCGCCGAAAATTTCAAACCGATGCCTATCACCTGCCGAATATAATATATTTTGAAAAGACATATATATTATATATCTTTTCAATATGACGGTACAAAGCCCCCAACACTAAGGTGCACATTTTATGATATCATAAACATAGAACCTATACATAGAACGTTCTAACCTTTATATTAGATAATCTTGGTGTGAGTTCCAAATTATTGATCCATATTCTAAAATTGAACGAACAAGTGAAAAATATGACACGTAAACACACGAGGTCATTAAACTCCCAACAATTTCGGTTTAAAAATCCAAATACACGTATAGATTTATTAGAAATTACATTTATATGTTCTGTAAATGAAAGATCACTGGTGAATGTAATGCATAAATCTATTACTTAATATATAATTTTAATTTTTTATCATTTATTTGATATTGTGAATTTAAGTTTTGCTTATTTCTTGTAAACGTTTTTTGGAAGCATTTATCTGTGTTCAGATTAAGATCATTGTTTATATATCATAAATTAAGTTGATTAAAATCATATTGTAATTTATTGGAGTCTTCTAAAGTTAATGTAGGCATATAAATATTTAAGTCACACTACCGTGATTATTAAAATCGTTTAAAATAGGATTTAGTATTAGAACTTAAAGATGTTACGATTATGATTTGTTTACCGTTTTAAAGATATTTTAATAGCATTTTTTTTTTTTTTTTTAATATTGCTGGTTAAATTATATTTTATAAATATAATATATAAAATAAAATAAATAAATAAACTGGCGTAGGGAAAGTGGCGTCCCCATCGCCCGGTACATCTTAATAAACATATCGCAATTGTCCTACCCTGACCTTAATTGGTTGGGATAGCCTGGTCCTCCAGGTTGGGGGTTTGGCAACGGGCTAACAACCCATCACTGTAAAAATATCTTGTTAAGAAACCAAAACAAAAGCCTTGGGACAGAGTTATGGATAATGAACATTAGAATCGGACTGGACAAAATGGATTAAGGATCGGAACTTGGAATGTGAGAATTTTATACAAGGCGGGAGCCCTCCAAACGCTAATAGAAGTGGTTGAAAGATATAACGTACAGGTTATAGCGTTACAAGAAACTAGGTGGCCAGGAGAAGGAAGTTTCACGTCTAGCAATATGGTGTTTATGTACGGGGGAAACGAGAATAACAAACATGAGAACGGAGTAGGATTTCTGATTCATAAAAGTATAATGTCTCAGATCAAACAGTTCAAAGTAGTAAATGAGAGAATATGCTACATACGAATAAATATGAAACATCATGATCTGGATCTATAATTTGCACATACGTTCCTACAGAAACGGCAGATGAAGAAATAAAGAATAGCTTTTATGATTCACTAGAAAATATTTATGATACTCTACCAAATCACTGCGTTAAGATAATAATGGGAGACCTAAATGCCCAAATAGGACAGAAGGAAATACATAAATCTGTTGTAGGGAAACATAGCCTACATGAAAGAAGTAACGATAACGGGGTAAAGCTAATAAATTTTGCTATAAGTCGAGGAATGAATATCAGTAGCACACAGTTCCCAGAAAGAATATCTATAAATATACATGGGTATCGCCAAGTGGCGATATATCAGTCAAATAGATCATGTACTAATAAGTAATAGATACAAATCAAATATTACAAATGTTAAAAGCTATAGAGGAGCAGACGTAGATTCGGACCATTACCTCGTGATTGGAGTTTTCAAAAGTAAAATGGCAATAAAGTGGAATAATGAAGAAAAATTAAAAGCAACTCGAAAATTCGACGTTGAGAAGCTTAAAGAAGAAGAAATACGGAAAAAATGTCAGAAAAAGCAAAGATCGAAGAGATCAAAAGGTATAAACACAATCCAAGAGAATTCTTTAAAAGGTGCAATTAAATCTGGCTTTTTTCCACATATATTATACCTAGTAGATGAGAATAGTGCCTTGATCTGGTCCAGAAATGATAGCTAACGAGTTCAGAGAATATTTCAGAAAATCATTAAATAAAATGCCGGATAATGACAATAATGACCAAGAAACCAGAGCATATTATACAGTAGACCAGGAAGTACTAGCCCTTAGTTTAGATGAAACAAAAATGGCAATACACACCCTGAAAAATAATAAGGCACTAGGTGAGGACAGGATTAACTCAGAATTTTAGAGAATAGGAGGTCCAGAAGTAGAAAGGGAATTACATTCAGTAATTCTACAAATATGGGAAGAAGAAAGGCTTCCAGAGAGTTGGAATGAAACATTTATCTGCTCAATATTCAAAAAAGGAGACTAAATAAAAGTAAAAACCTACAGGGGGATAACCCTATTAAATACAGGATACAAGGTCCTATCATTAATAATATTAAAAAGATTAGAGAAATACGCTGAAGAAGCCGTGGGAGAATATCAATGTGAATTCAGGAAAGAAAGATCAACAACAGACCATATATTTGTCGTGAGACAACTAATGAAAACGCACAAAGAATACGAAAAGGACTTGTATATGATTTTCGTGGACTATAAGCAGGCTTATGATAGCGTAGACAGGGAAAGGCTATGAGAGGTGCTCAGGGCATTTGGTATTCCTATGAAAATTATCAAAATGGTAAAATTATGCAACAGTAAAACGTATAGCACAGTAAAATTAGGGAATGAACTGTTCATAGCTTTTGAAATTAAAAGTGGACTACGACAAGAGGATGCCATGTCACCCATACTTTTTAATTTGGCATTAAAAAGTTTGATCCGAGAGATGTCAAACTGATAAGCCTGGTCATCTGATGGAGGTATGCTACTTGCATACGTAGATGATATTATAATCACTGGAGACACTCAAACAGAAGTTCAAATAAATCTGAAGAAATTAATAAAGGCAAGTAAAATTATGGGTCTAGCAGTAAATGCGGAAAAGACAAAATATATGGTAGTAACAAGAAGACCAGAAGATAGCTCCAACCATAAAGTAGGAAATAATGAATTCGAACAAGTTAAAGAATTTAAGTACCTAAGAATAACTCTTAACAACAAAAATATTATGCATGAGAAGTAAATATGAGACTAAATGCAGCAAATCGATGTTATTTCGCAATGGAGACCCTCTTTAAATCAAAAACACTGTCAAAAAAAGTCAAAGAAAAACTTTATATAAGCTACATATGACCAGTACTGACTTATGCATGTACCACATGGTTCACAATCAAAGGTGATGAAGAGAAATTAAGAAGATTCGAAAGGAAAATCCTAAGAAGAATATATGGTCCAGTATTTAATACCAAACACACAATAATGGAAACTGAGATCGAATTCCCAATTAGAACATTTATACAAAAAGGAAAATATTGTGCAATTTGTTAAAAGTATAAGAATTCCATGGACCAGACGGATGCCTAATAAAAGGAGTAATGACTTGGACGTTAGCGGGGAGGAGACCAAGGGGAAGACCACGAAGAATATGGATAGACAGTATAAATGAGATATGGAACGCGGCAGCCCATGGTGTGGCGGATTGGCGAGTAATAGCGTATGATAGAGAGATATGGGAGGAGGAAGTTTTGACGGTAAAGATCCTCGATGGATCGTAAAGCCGGAGAAAAAAAAAGTATAATAATTAACAACATGCTAAACTATTGAAGACGAGCTAATTCGTTAAGCAATAAAAGTTTATTATTTAAAGTTATTCAAGTATCTTTGAAGTCATCAACAAATAATGAAAATTTACAATAACGCAATATGGAATTAATATCTTTCATAAACAGCATAAATAATAAAGGTGATAAATGACTATCCTGTGGTACTCCAGAAGTTACGTTTATAATTGATGAAAGTGATTCTCTTATTTTAACTTGTTGGGTTCGATTGGATAAATGAGATTTAAACCAAGAAAGGATTGGATCATGAACTCCTATAACTTTCAGTTTATCGATTAAAATATTTATATTTACAGTGTCAAATGCCTTCTTAATATCAGTGTAGACTGCTTCAACTTGAATTCCATTAGATTCCATTACATTTGTTAACGTGGATTTTGAGGTATGGACTGGAGGATATAAGCATCAGATAGAGAAAATTGGAGGCAAGGATGTATGTCGGGATGGTCCTTAGACCTTAGAGAAATAAGAATAGAGAATTAAAAGAAATGGGGATGGCTCAGAAATAAAAGAAATGAGAGATGTTTGTAAATTTGATACCCATTATGGAAAATACAGATTTGATCCTTCTTGATGTTGAAATGACTGATTATTTCCTAATTCTGCTTCAAATATGATATAATTTATTGTTCTTTTCACAAGTATGCATATTATGTGTCCAAATTTTTCTGCGATATATTGACCAAACGCATCAAACTGATCCTTCGTCTTTTTAGTAGTGGCTAAAGACTGCAACACTGCAACGTGCAAGTTATTTAACTCAGTTTTTAGTGAGGCATTTTCTATTTTCAAGTTATAAAATAGAACAGCTAAATTATCTAATGAACTTTTCAAACTAGAGACTTTTTTTCGTAGAATGTTAATTTATTATTTATAATCTTCATACCATTGTTGTATTTTTCTTCGATAATTTTAAGTAGTTGCATAACATCATTAATTGAATATTTGGATTTCGTGCTAAGAGTATTTGTGGTCCTAGTCTTTTTAATTAGAGTATCAATTTGCTTTTGCATTTTTATATTTGTAGCATTTTTCATTTGTTATTTAGGTAACTACTAATCTGTTATTATTTTTTAAACTGAAAATATACTTATGTCTAGTATAAATCTGATAACTATTAACAAATTATTTATTTTAACGTCGTATATGTCGTATATTAATTTAAAATGTAATAGATATATTGAAGTCATCATCCCTGTCTTGCTTAAACTGGGTTCCTAAAAAAAACCCCTTCATAATAGTCTTATTTATTAATATTTAGTAGGTACACATTTCTCGGATCCGTAGTGCACACTTCCAATTTCGGACTACACACTTTGTGTCGGAGTTGGAGCGGTAGTAGCTGTTACTATTAAACCATCTTGTATGCACCACGGGTTGTCACAAATTTCATTAATTTTTATGAGTTCTTCCTCGTATAAAATCCAGTACTGTAGTCAGGAATAAACTATGACCGTAATTTAATTTTGTATATTTAAAGGGAGTTGGAGGGATCGTTCAATTTCCGAAGGGTTATTTGAAAAAAGTCTACGACTTGATAAGAGCCAACGGTGGATTGTGTGTTGCTGATGAAGTGCAGACGGGTTTTGGAAGGACGGGCGAACATTTTTGGAATTTTCAATCACACGGTGTCACACCCGACATTGTGACCATGGCCAAAGGTATTGGGAACGGATTTCCAATGGCTGCCGTTGTAACAACACCCACGATTGCACGGTCATTGAACTTAGCGTTTCATTTTAATACTTTTGGCGGTAATCCTATTGCGTGTACCGTAGGTCTGACAGTGTTAAAGGTACCTTAAATGGGACGATAGGACATGATTAGTACTCTTTGTGTACATTAACTTAATCCTGATTTCGATTTACAGATAATCGAAGAAGAAGGTTTGCAACAAAACAGTTTAAAACTGGGAACATATTTCTTAGATAAGTTATGCGAAATGAGACGTGAATGGAATATAATTGGTGATGTACGAGGCAAAGGGCTAATGATTGGGGTAGAATTAATAGAAGGCAATCAAGACGACAGCGATCAAGGCCTAAGTAATCCTTTAAATGGCCGAGCCATTTCTCATATCAAAAACAATTGCTTGAAGATGGGACTTTTAATCGGAATCGGCGGAAACAAATCAAATGTAGATATTTTACGATTTAAAACATTAACATTTAAAAGACTTAATAACTTTAATTTTTATTTAAATGTTTCCTTTCCCTTTTTTAACGAATTAAAAATATACCATCAAAATATATTGTTGTATAGTTTGTAGTAAAAATTATAAATCAATTGAAGATTACAATGACACTATATTATTACAGGTGTTACGGTTCATGCCTCCCATGTGTGTAACAAAAGATGATGTTAATTTCACTATTGCTGTCTTGAGACGAGCTATGCAAAACTATTATGAAGCAAAGCATCAGAATAATCTTTAAATATATTTTCATTTATTCTAAAACAATAATTAATTTGTCTTCAAGTATTGATTTTATATAGATATTACTTAAATATTATTATATGTACAAAGATAAAGTAACATGCGGTTAACTTTAAGATTATTAATATACAACATATGTATATAATTATTTATCAATATTATAAAATACATTCTCCTTCGTGCAACTGACACCATTCTGGTGTAACTGCGTCTGCTTTAAGGCCCAATGTTACCAGTCTTTCGCGATGTTGCAAAAACCTAGAATGTAATAATTTCCAAAAATAAAACATTTATATTTATAATATAGAACTTTTACCATTTTAAATTAAGGAAGTCAATAGAAATTTTTGATTTTTTTTAATTTTAAGTAGTAAAAATATTATATAAATATTTTTTCTCTTTCACTAAATAATTTGGAATAGAATTAAATTTCATAAAATATATTGAATAAGAATTATTGCAAGTTATGTGGTTCTAACAACTATTATATTTTGCATTAAAAACTAAAATTAAACCATTCATACTTGTTCAAAATAGTTTTAACTATAGTTAAACATAATATATAGTTTTACTATACTTAAAACCTGACTCCACATACATTCAAAACTAAAGAGCAAAAAAATTGTTGTCCCAGCTGATTAACATTCATATTTTCAGTCAAAACGGCTTATATTTTAGTAGCTTAATATGATTTTATAAAACAATACCTATATTCAGCAGCAAGAGCATTGGTTTTTGGGTTAGCCCATAATCTTTCAGCTAAAGCTGCAGCTCTTGGCCACACTTTCGAATCAACAGCTTGATCATCAACATATTCAGACCACATGCATGTCTAAAAAATAAAAATTACAAAAATTAATTTCACCATAAGTGATCTTATATAATTTTTAATACTTACTTCTGCACCTAATAGAAGTTTTGGGTTATTCACTATAGGCATTTGATTGTTGTAAATTATTTTCCAATTATGGTAATTTGTTGGATACCAGAAACCATGATCTAGATAGTAAACATCTTTTAAAGCAATTATAGTCTTGTAACCTAACTTAACAAGCTCAATTAGAGAAGTTGCTTCTTCCCAAACTTCAATAGTATATCTTTTATTGTCGAGATATTTTTGTATGATATCGGGTTCAGTTAAACCGCTAGACCAAACAGTAATATCAGAATCAGCATTTCCAGCTTCTTTATCATATTCACTAAGTGAATTAGCATGGAACTGAGACCACAATTCTAAATAATCACTTTCATCTAAGCTTTTGTTGTTAGCTTTCATCCAATTAATAATTTCAGCTGTAGAGTTCCAGCAGTTTATAGCAACCTATTTTTAATAACATATAAAACAGCATTTGTAATTGAATTGGATTTTTAATTTTTAAATTTACCTCATCACCACCCATGTGAAATGCTTCACCTTTAGGAAATGCACTGATTAAATCTTTATAAATTTTTCCCAGCCATTTATACGTGTTGGTATTAATTGGATTAAGTTGTCCACATGGCGGTTGTACACAATATTTTCTCCAAGGTCCCTTATCCACACAAAGAGCCATTTCACCATAGCCAGATGCTTTACTCCACTGCCAACCATTACCTGCGTGTGCTGGGGAATCAATTTCCATAACGATTCTTACTCCTCTTACTAATGCATATCTAAGAAGATCTTTGATATCTTTATATGAATACTTTTCTTCATGGCTATATGCTCCGTATCTATGGTTAATAATATTCTATAGATAAACACTTAGTAAAAGACATATAAAGTCTAAGTTAACAAATTGTAGGTAAGTAAATAAATTAAATATAATTCTTGTTAAAAATATTGGTTAAATTAAAATTAAATATTGAATTGAAGAGTATTAGCAGAATTTACTTTGCCATTTGTGGAGCACTGGGTAAATCCAATGGGAAACTATGAGTGTCAGTGGCATGCCAATGAAATACATTTAGTTTAGAATGACCCATGGCATCAATTTGTTTTTTAATTGTAGAAATTGGGAAATAATGCCTAGAGGTATCTAACATAAACCCACGATAGGCAAATATAGGTTGATCACTAATTTGAACATTTCCAGCAATCACTAATTTTTTTCCAGATGCATTTGAACCATATGTAGCAATAAGTTGTCTTACAGTTTCTAAACCATTCCTTGCTCCATAAACGGTAATTGCTTCAATTTTAACAAATATTTGATTTCCTATGAATAACGTTCCATAATATAGTTCCAATAAAGTTTAAATCATATAAATTAAATGGAATAATACCTTCAGTGGATATTTTTAAATTATAACTTTCATTTGTAGTTAATTTTATATACCCAAATGGAGTACTGGTACTAATCGATATGATTGGAGTATTATCATATGATACACAATTAGGAATACAAAGTTTTTTTAATGAAGATATAAAAACTTGAGAAACTTCAGTCATGTATTCTTTACCGAGTTGATCAGCTACTGATGATGTATCAAACTTAATATTATCAACACTGAATTCGATTACCGATTTTCTATTATATAAAACCAATAATAATACATAAATAACATATAAATTATTTAAATAAATAATATGAATAAATATGTTATTATTTTCTTTACTCAATAGCAGTCTTGATTGTTGGCCTTGGCCAAAGTGATCCATAACTTCCACAGGTTAAACGGCAAACATCTACAGACCCATCGATTCCACTGTTTTTCTTTTCAGCTGACACGATTTTACTGGCGATACATGTATTGTTGATGCATTTAAATGACTCACTAAAATTTTTTTAGAAATTGCATAAAATATGAACAATTGTAAGTATTTAGTTATGCCGAAATTTAATACAGAGTTAACTATTACTAAAACAATGAGATATAAATTATTTTCTTTGAAAATAATTTAAATACCTACACGTAGTTTTGGTGTAAGTGTACACAGTATAATGAAACATTGTACTCAATACACACTAAAGAGTTTATTGTATATAAATCACTAAACTAGTTTACAATTATTGTCTGCCATTCATTTGTAATTTTAAAAAATAAAAAGAATAGTTGTTTTTTTTAAACATAATTAAATAGTGTTAAATTAGACTAAATCATCCAATACGTTGTAAATTCTTGTTTATATAATTTAAAGAGCCAAGTTAACAAATATGTCACTTGGGAACAGATTTTAAAATTCCGCACTTTAAGAACCTCTGTGGTGTAACTACAGAGGTGGCTAAGGAGTGCTTAGACACATTTATTTTTATAATGGTACTGAGAATATAATAATAATATAATATAAATATTGGATACATGTAATGTTGGGGGAGTAGATTCATAATGTAACATTCCAAAATTTGAACTCTAATTGCGCTACTGTCAAACTTATTGTATCGTTGTACCCATCATAAAAAAAAAAAAAATAATAATTTTAATAACAGCATTAAAATTGTTTAATTTATATATATATTAATAAACATTGTAACATCGGTAGTTTTAATATAATACGAGAACTATTAGTATTAAGTATGATCATTCAACATGCCCTTTCTATTCATATTGGTTCAAGAAAAAATTCCGTTAAATATTAAATCTATTGGCACAAATCGTAGAGGACAAGAGGTAGCCCCTTCCCCCAAAGTCATAATTAGCCCCCATAATTTATTAATGTTTTGCAATCTACTAAAAAATTAACAATTTTAAAATTTGATTTTTGATAATTTGTAAATTATTATGGCAGAGAAGTCTTTGCAAAAACCAATGAAATTGTATTATGTTGCAGAATTTGTGAGATAAAAGTGACGACTGACAAAAAATTTACCGTCGAGCAGCATATTTCGCGTAATAAACTCGTTAACGGAGTTGAACTGAAAAATATACAAGAACAAAGTACAAGTCAATTTCAACGTTTAATTACTAAACAACCTAAGAAATTGTCTTTTATCATGATCTGTGTCATGCATTATTATCCGCAAATATTCTAATGAAAAAATTATAGAACGAGGCATTAGTATTTAGATTGAGTTTTGATTGTCTACCTAAAAGTGGATAGAGTGCTCTTCGCCTGATATAATGATTAATGTGAGTCGTTTCTATTAGATGTGTGTTGCCGAGGTTGTCTTCTATCTAGTGTCAAACTAAATATTTGGCGTTGAAATAAGGTGGGATAACTTTATTGTTTGGATATCCTGGAGGTACTAAATTTTTGTTGAGAGTGAAAGTGATATGAGAAGATTTCTCGTTGTTTATTTGAATTTTCCATTTGGAATACTAGTTTTCTAGAAGATTTAGGTGATTTTGTAAATGTTGGCTGGCAAGGAGTGGATTTTTATCTGAAATGTAAATGACTTTGTCGTCAGCAAAGTCAGCTATAGAAGTATGAGGAGTGGTTGGTTGATCAGCTATGTATATATTACATAATATAGGGGAAGAGATAGTGCTTTGGAATACAAGATATGATTGAGATTGTTCTTGAATAAATTCAAGAACAACGAGAAATTTCAAACAACATTTTTTCTTCGCTAAATGTTAGTTGAAAAGGTTGAAGGGCGAAATAATAAAATCTGCTCCCACGTGGCAAATTTGTTAGCCCGGGACTACTTCAGACGATTTAGTGCGTTTTAAATGTATAAAAACATTTTTTCAAACAAAAGAGTCAATTTTATAACTGAATATCTAACAAAATAGGTAAATTTTAATTAATTATTTTTTTAATTTAAAATGATTTTTTAATTTTTTTATTTAATTTCATACTTAATTAAAGTTAATTCATTTTTATGCTTTTTTTTGTTATTCATTGTATTAAAAAATCCGAGTCCTAATTAAGATATTCGATTTTTAAAAATTAACAATCAAAAATATTGTGTAGTTTCTAAATTATTAAAAGAAACTACAATAACTTATAAACTCATATTATGATATTATTGTTGAGTATTATTATGTAAACATTCGACAACAGTACAAATTAATACATATAATAAATAATTTGATTATTGGTTTGTGGTCAAGTTGATATTTTTTTAAGTTACCCGCTTTATTTTGGAATACGTTAGATTTGATACACACAAAAAATAAATTAACACGACGATATCATACAAGTAAACAAGTCTGAATATGTGCTGAACGAAAACAAAAAAAATATTAATTAAAAATTGAAACTGATTAATTTGCAAACTAAATCGCTAAAATGAAAAAATGAAATGCAATCAATAATTTCTGAATCAGTTTTTAATATCAATGAAATTAATTAAATTATCAATTCATTATTAGCTAATTTAAGAACATTGCAAAAAAAATTATATAGAAACATTTCAATTTTAATTAATTAATAATAAAAATAAAATTTGAAACAAGACAATCGAAAAAGTCGAAATCGGTTTTGCTTTTCGTTTCTCTGTGATTAAAATCATATTTATGATTTGTCCACCCGAGCGCAATAAGAATTTTCCATCTTCTACCAATCAAAAAAAAAAAAAAGGATAGCTCAACATGAAATTAAATTATTTAGAAGAATTTGTATTTTAATTATGTAGGTACTAATATTATTAAAGTGTACACAATGAAATGTGTATAATAATATTATTAACTATTATGTAAGTGCAAATTAAATTAACTAAACTAATAGTTTATTTCGTACGTTTCTAAAAAAAAAAAAATCCTTTGAAAAAAATTGGCCGAGAAAAAGTATACAGGCAATGTCTAAAAATGAAAATTAAATACCAACAGCATTTAAACGGAAAAAGTTTACAATGAAATTAATTTACACGCCTCGAAATCGAAATAAAGGTAGGTAATCAATAATTACGGAATATTTTTGAAACACCATCGAAAACGTGTTTCAAGTAGCATGATAAAATAATATATGTAAGAATAATATATTATACGCTTAGAGACTACAATTAGATTAGACACAGTCATTAGTATATTTTTAGACGATAAAAAGTCTAAAAATAGCAGCGTACTATGTAAATATACAGATTTTTTTTCACGTACTACTAAACTTTTTATACATCTAATTAAAAATTTAAAACAGAGTTCAGCTGAAAAATTAAATTTTTATGTAAATTTACAACGCCCGTATTGAATATTTTCTCATATAGGAAATATTAAATATTTAATTTGATAAAAAAATTAATATTTTTTCATTGGACGTTCGAATGTTTTTTAGCATTTATTATCAAGTATTATTAGGTTACAACTCTAAGGTCATTGCGCAGCTAATCAGTTTTGTAAAAAGTATTAGTCTACAGTGAGATGAGTACAATAACACAAATAACAATTGATCGTCGGCAAGGGGAAAGATAATATAACATGAAATAAATTGCAAAGGGACGTTGTGGACAGTGTGACCAATGCACGGTAATTTGCATCGTTATCATATAGACATTGCCGCCGTCCGAACCTCGAGTGTACGTCTGGTCTATGATTTACTCTTATCACACGACACGGGGGTATAATAGCACTCGCTGAAAGCGTGAAATTATCGTCCAAACGATGATATAATACTCACACGAGATAGTGTTCGGAAGTGTCGGGACCGTCGGCGTTGTTCTGGCGCACATTCAGGAACAGAAACAGCAGCACCGCTCCGGCCGTTAACGTGCAACACGCCATCGTCTTCCGTCTCTTTAACATTACGTAGTACATGTAATACATGGTGTCGACCGGTTTCGTTTACGACGGGGGGAAGGGGCTAATACTCCGCACGCCGAATTCTACTTCGCCGTCACGGGTATTAAATAATAACATTCAACCAATGAAATAATTTATTCCATAGTCACAAGTTGCGACAACGCGCTCTGAATGGCGAACGTATTCTGAGCAGAGCTTTGACAAACGGTAAACTACGTCGGATCCGGGCGGCGGTCGCGTGCCGTTATGGTGGCGATAACACAAAACGCGGGACGTCGAACAAAAATGTTGCGCGATTACCGTGGTTTAAGATTTTCCAGGGACTATGTAGACGCGCACACGCGCGCGCTTGTGCACGTTCCTTCTCAACACGCCGTTGCGTAGAAAAGACAATTACGAGTGCGTTCGCGCATTACCCCCTTCTCACATTGTCGTTCAGCTGAATGCGAAAACAAAAACCGGACGGTCGCAAGTTTTGGCGCGGCCGATATTGTTTTATTATTTAATATTAGACGCGCTAATATACGAAAACTAGACTACGGATTTCGAAGGTATTTGTTTTTTTTTCTATTGCTCTAAAACGAAGCTGTCAGCTACAAATTCGATTCATACAGCAAAAAATAAAATGTACAACATTTTATTTTGCTTTTTTTTTTGTTGCAATTTTTGTATATTTTGTATATTTTTTGGGTATTTTGAGTACTATTTTTTTGCTTTTAAATTACATTTTTTTCAAAATATGTTTTAAGTAAAGGTATTTTAAACTAGTCGATAACCCAGAAATAGAAGCCAATTTAATATACATAATAAGTAATTTCGGATTTTTGGCTACTGAAATTGTACGCTTAGAAACATCTGGGATGCTATTATCAGAATAATCCTTGTATTATACAGAAAAGATTAAACAACAAATTAAACAAGCTTCGGGAAAGACTGGAGAAACCAGTTTCAAAAAACCTTAATGATTTACTAAACAAAAATGCATGAATTAAAATTCTTACCACACATATCAAATATTTTAAAAGGCAAAAAAATATTTAGAGAGAAACTTCCCGAAAATTTAAAATGTGATGATTTAATCCAATTCAAATTCTCTCTTATTTCAACTGTTGACATCGAACGTAGTTTTTCTAAATAGAAGCATGTATTGTTCGATCGTCGAAGATGATTTTTATTTAAAAACTTAAAATAAGTTAGCTCAATTAATTTAACTCGGATGATATAAGTAAAAAAAAAAAAAATTTTGTAACTATTACTTAATTTATTTTTTATGAATTATAGAATTATAGAATAAATTTAATTTATAGATAAATAATTATGGAAGAAAAAAAACTCGGTAAAACATTTGTAAATAATTTTATTATAATACCATTTTTTTTTTTTTTAAATAATTTAATGAACTAATAAATAACTATAATACTATTTTTTCTGATGAATAATATTTATAATACTTTTTTTTGAAAAATATATACAGCTTTATTGCTTTTTTTAATGCTATTCATTAATTTGTATTGCTTTAAAATCCGTATGCTAACAATAACAATATCAGCCGATATCCATTCAATCGTCATTTATGTTATAACATGAGTATTCACTATTTATTACAAAGTGTCATCGCAATCACGGTCATTCAAAGTTCGCTAGATTTCTCTTCTCACGACCACCTGCTCGTCCACATAATTTTGTTAATCATCGATTGTTTGGGATAATCGTTCGTTACTGGACACTTTTTTGTATCGTATTTTGATTTCAATTACAATATTTTTCAGTGCGACTTAGCCGGTCATCTTCATGAATTGTGTGTGTGTGTGTGTGTGTACAGCAAGATAATAACGACGAGGGCCCTGCTAAATATCCTCCGTAAGGAGGGGGAATGAAAATTGAATATACTATCCCGGTAGTTTCAGAGCCTTGAAAGCATAAATGAGAGATTTATGGATTGGATCAATATTCAAAACTGTGAAATTATTGGAAATCGTTAAATCCTTCTACACAAGTGTCATATGCATAGATATTTATAGATGAAATAAACACTGCTATCGCAGTGTAGCCTTTTAGCAATACAATCATGATAAATCAATGTTAAGCAAAAAAATCATGTATTCGTTAAATTACTTTAAATTGTAATCGCAAATTCTTGTTAAATTACAAAAACTAGAATTATTTTGATTTTTATAAGTTCGTCTTGATAAGGGTTGTCATACGTTCTGGTACCCTGGTATGTCACCAGATTATGACTACGGTCCCGGTTGTCCCATTACACCCTTCAAAATATCGATTAAGTGTACCTAACTAACTATCAAAGATTATAAATGATCATTTAAAATTGTGTACACAAAAACGTCAAAAAAATTTAATTTCACGTGGAACACTACTCTGAAAATATTATATATTAATATAAAATATGAGGTTCAGTTTTTAGTTTCAATGAAATTATTTGATGAAAAAGTCAATAATTATTGTAAAACATTAGAGGAATATTTAAAAAAGTGGAGTAACCCTCTTATAAAATTTGACGTCTTTCACGGATAGATCTTGCTTCTTCCTTACAATGGAAAGAAATTTAAAAGATAATAACTTATATAAAAGAAAAGTGTATTGATATCACGAATAGTTGCTTTGAAGAAATATTGTATGATACCTACAAATCTTTATTGACTAACAGATAGTCGATGAAGGTTGGAAAAAAAAAACACTTGTATGACAAATGGTTACATTTCTTTCAAAAAACTGATATATTGGATAAAAAACATCATTTAATTTTGATATACCAACACACATACATCATGCCTAGTCTTAATGCTAATGTTAAGAGATTATTTTCACTGATATGATGATGATATCTGATACTGATGGCCTAGTGGACCAAAGATTGCAATTGTCTTAAAGAATAAACTATAGAAAATATCAATCAATGCAGATTTAATTTAAAAATGACTTGTTCGGAATTGTAAACGGATGTTATGGAAAAATCAGTATATTTGAAACAGATGAGTCAGAAAAGTATAATATTTTAATTAATTAACCAAATGTATTGTTTATTTAATTACTGTAAAAATATAAATTAAAATGTATTAGATGCTTTAAAATAAGTATGTAACTGTATATAGTATATTCTATTGTATAAACTAAGTTCTATGTTATTATTATTTTATATATATATATATATATATATATATATATATATATATTATATTGTGTTCTAAGTTTTATAATTCAAAATAATTAAAAAGAACAGGTAGTTGAGATCATTTTTATAAATGCCCCGATCTGTACTTGAACTTTTATGGCAACTCTAGTGTAGACGATTTTTGATGAACTTAAATTTTAGTACAAATATTATTTGATACGTTATATTGTTATATAATAGTTAATCAAATTAAAAAGTAAAAATTAATCGGGAATCTGAATTCCAAATTCCTAAACAAGAGATTCATATTTAGAAGATGCAATGTTACAAAAAACCAACTCGCGGAAAAATGATTTTATTCAATGTAATTATCAATGTATTATGTAAATTAGTACTTATCTGTGATAAAAATTGTTCTGTTGTTTTTATGTTTTAGTAGTATTTTAGATTCTAAGAGAAGCGATATATATATTGATATTACACTTGTATATTTTTATTGTAAAAAAATCTTTTGGACAGGAATTCAATTATTTTGAACAGATATCAAATTTGTTGAGTTATCGAGTTAGATCAGGAATTTAATTTAAGAAGTATTTTTGTAATGGTAATTTTATAAATTTCACATATTATATATGATATAATAATATAAATTATTTTAAATATTACTTAAGTAATACAAAAATTATATAATTAACTTTTTTTTGTATTATAAAAGTATAATATATAAGTTTTATCTTAATATATAGTAGCTTGCCTGTTGTTTAATATTCTATTAATAATAAAAATAAAAAACAAATATAATATTTACAAACCTTTTTTTTAATTTTGTTTTTTCGTGAGAAGTTGGTTTTAAAGGTAGAAATTGTTTGTATTTGCAAGTAAATGGTCTATACGCTACTGAATAAAGAAGAATACAAACAGAAAATAGGTAAAACTACATGGTTTTATCATTACCGGTACTCGGCCGAACCCGAAACTGGTCTTTAACGACATAATATACCTTAATTAGACATTACAAATGTGCATTTATATTTGGGAACGTTATCAATAGGTTTTAAAAGAAATAAAAAAAAAACTTGTTATTAATTGTAGACCCGTATAATAATTTATATCTTTCATTATTTTAAGCAAACGTAACAAAAAACTGTCCGGCGAACTATTGTAAATGGCCAAATTTTTGTTGGTTTTAAGTTTTTCTGAGTTAGTTTTATTATTTGTTATTATTTTACAAAGATAAATTATATCATTCGAACATATTCTTCGAGTATTTAATATAAATGTACGATAGATAGAATATAATGCACGAATTACTGGTCTTTTAAATTTAAATGAGAAAGATGTATTGTCAATGTTTGTAAAAATAAGGATATACCTAATTTTAATTTTTTTAAAATTGATAAAAAAAAAATGTAATCAGTAAATTTTTTGAAATGTTAGCATTAGTTAGCATTAGTTAAAATAGCAAATATAAATTAAATGTAAACATATACAATTTTTAATTGATATAAAAAGTAATAAAAATTATAAAATTATTATATAATTATAAATTATAAAAATTTGATCAAAATAATGAGTAATGGTAAAAATGTAACATTAATTCCAGTTTTCTTCAATTTTTTTATCGTGATTAAAAAAAAACTACTGAAAACATTTATAAATTCTACATCTAAGGTACCATTATTCTCCAATGTCTGAATTAAAAAGTTATTGCATGAAATTGTTGCCGCAAATTTATCAATATTTGATCACAATATTTAAATGTATTTATTATTAATATAAAAATCATTATTAAATAATATATTTTATAGAATAAATTATTTACTTCATTTTTATTGTTAGAATTTAAAATTATAAAATTGTTCAAATTTATACATTAAGATAAATTATTAATTTATTGTTGAAATTTTCAAATAATTTTTAAATGTTAATTTTCAATTGTTTGATCATTGTTGGTTATATATTGTTACAAATTGCCGAAAAAATAAAATCTGTTTTGAATATTAAGTTTAAACATTATAGTTCATTATTCTACATAGAATACCGGTTTGTTATAAAACATGAAACAAGTTATTTCAGTGATATATAAAAGGATGTTTTAAATAATAATACATATTGATAAAAAAATATATTAATTGAGTATAATCATTCAATCACAAGCTTTGGCACTTAAAATAAAATTGTATACAATTTTATTCCAGTATTTAATTAATACTGAAACAAAAAATAACTTTTTTTAGCAATTAAAATATAAATAGGACGACATTTAAAAATTTAATTAATTTGACATTTAAACAACATTTAACATTATTATTTTTAAATTGTATTTCATTTCGCGTAAAATCATCACCAAGATAATTGAAAGTGGCCCATTTAAAAATGCATCTAAATAAAACTTATTTATTATCTAATAAATAAAATGAATTATCTACCCCGAAATTATACTAATTTCTATGTCAGTTATTTATAGGTTATAATTTCATAAATCATAATAAAAAATTAGAAAATTATTGAATAAAAATAATATTATTAGGCAAATCTTTACAGCTGATGGAGGGGAAAAACTATTATAAATTATCAATTGATTGATGTAATATATCTACTTTGTTATTACTGTCAACAATTTTTGTTTCATTTTTTGATAATTTATTAAATTCCAAATTTAAAAAATTTAAAAGTCAAATACCTAGTAATATTATACATTTTGTTTGAAAAGAAATTTGAAATTTTATATTAGTTATAATAAAATAAATATTTTTCAAGAACAATGTACCTATATTATATCAGTCATCTGTTTCTATTTTGACTATTTTATTTATTTATTTTTTTGGTTAGTAATTTTTTAGTAGTACTATTGTTTTCATATTTTTATTATAAAATTATGTTTTAATGTATAAATTTAAATCTCTGTAAAATCAATTTTGTCCTTGTTCCAAGTAAAATTTAAAATAAATTATTCTATAAACTTTTTAATTAAATAATTTCATTTTAGCTGTGAATTTATTAAATGTACAATACATATTATTTATAAATACTTTGAGATTTTACTATAATAAAACGAAGTCTTTCTACAGTTAATGCCTATATCTAAAATAAAAAAATTAAAAATAAAATATAAATAATTATTAAATATTTTGACACATATACGATACTGCATAAACGTTTTAGCAGGAAGGTGTATTTAGATTATAGTTTTATCATAGGCATATCGTATGTATTTAATATTATCATTATTATAGCAATAAACCGGTTATTATATTATAAAAAATTCAAATTAATTGTAAGTAATTTAAATGCAAAAAATTTTAAAATATAGATAAGTTGATTGTTAAATAATTTGTACTCTACTATAAATGTATCAATACTTACTGTGAATAACACGTATTTTTCGTCGATGTTCGGTTGGATGAACTTCTTCCAGTCTTAAACGCCGAAGTAAGATTGTTAAAGAACTCATACCGGTTTTATTTAAACGTGTATTTATTCCAGACTAGTATTATTTTATGGAAGGAGTTAAATAGGGAGCCATCGACTTAATATTATGATTACGTCACACATAACTTATGTAATACAGTGAACTGAGTGAACATAAGATTATAGATATTATTTTGAACAAATATTTTTATTATTTAAACATGGTTTTGTTAGAATTATTTAAAAATATACATTTGATTTACATATTTTAGAAATAACAAAGGCTCAAAAAAAAAAAAAAACTATGAAATTAACTATGAATACGTTAAAAAAAAAAGACAAATATGTACTTAGTAAAAATTAGAACAATATGGGAATATATGCTAAAACAACTTATTATAATTAATTTGAAAAAGGAATATTTAATAGTGTATTATTTGAATGCCTTAAAAATTCATAGGTATTATAAAAATATTAAATCAAAAATTAAAAAAATGACAATAAAAATAAATATAAAGCTAAAAATAAGCTTTAGCAATAAATGTAACATAAAAAAAATAGTTTAATTTGCACAGATTGGTACTTCTTTGACTTAAATTTTTTTTAGTTTTTAAAACTTAAATACAATCCATAAAAGTTCAATAAACAGGTAATTTTGTTTGATTGACCTAAATTGTAAAAAAGAAGAAGTGTTTACGAATATTTTTAAGTTTAAATGTTCTTTGGTTTTCACGCAAAAGATTTTTGTAATTAGAGTAAGATATTTCCACATTAATGTGTGTAATTAATGCACATTTAAAAAATTATTGGATCATTTATGATAAGGTCTTCAAGTTAACCACCTATGTCAGTATTCAATTTATGTCAGAGTTCAATATATTTTAAAGTTTAATCAAATTATGAAAAATTGTATTCATAATTATACACTTAAATGCTTAAATTAGGTAACAGACTCAACGTGTAAAATAATGACGATGTTATGAAATACCATATCAACTTAGATGTGTACTTGTTACCAACATAGATACACATTTCACACGATATACCTACCTATCGTGTTATATTCCCATTTTCTCTAGCTGCCGTCTTGCGACTCTATATATAATGTCGCAAAACGGCAGCTAGAGAAAATAGGAAGCTAAATATACTTAAATGTTGGTTTTTGCCCATTTTAAGCCTTTAAATTCAAAATTATTTAAAAACCTTTCTTATCGCATGCCTAGACTATAATACAAACATACCCTGAACATTTTAATTCGTTAGCTATCATAGTTTAAGCTGTGCGTTGATTATGAATTATGCAGTTGGACTATTTATTTTATATAAAAATATTTAGATTTATTAAAATATCGTATAAATCAAATTAGTTATTGTTATATACCTTATATATTTTTTCTAGAAGTCAGAATCATTATTGTCTTCGAGAGTAATTGGCCTATCCCTAAACTACCTTGGTCATGGAAGAATAATTAGGATTTGAAAAATGATATCAAAACCAGAATCATTAGATGAGGATGACATGACATTCCAACATAATATTTTATAAATTTGAAATTATTTAAAATACAATAATATTAATAAGCCAATAATTTTTATATAAAATGTTTGAGTATATTATGTTAGTAAATACAGAAAATTAATTACAAAATACAATTCAATTAATTTTATTTGATAACAAAATGTAAATAATAAGGAATAAACGGTGTTTCAAATTTTACTGAATAGAAATCTGACCATCAAATTATGGAACGAAAAACTTTGTAATTATAAAAACAATGTTTTATAAAACATTTTTAGTTTTTTTATAATTTGTAACAAAAGTTTTTTTTTTTTTTAGTAATTGATTCTGTGAACTTTTTTGCAATCGAATATAACTATTTAAAATTATTATTGGATTTAAAAATGATAATAATATTAGGTAATAATTACAATTTAATAGGTACTTATATGTACCTATACAGGTGTATAGTAATTATAACTTATTGGGGTACATATCTTAAATGGTGATCCATCAAAATATCTCCAATACAAAATATGTTTGCAAAAAATATTTCAGTTTTGATTATTATTGTTATTATTCTTTATTATAAATTTAAAATTATCTCATGCTTCATATAGCTTTAAAATTTGAGATTATGAGCGATTTCTCTTACATACTGAAGAACTGTCATTTCAATAAATTTCTCTACAACACAAAAATCTTTCGACATGGTCCTTAAACTTTTTCCTTTTTTTTTTTTGGACTTGGCTCTCCAGACATTAATTTTTTTAATTTTTCGAAAAAGTTATAATTAAAAACATAATATATTTCTAGATTTTTCTTGGAAATACTCTTATTCTGTATATACTATTAATACTTGTTATATATATATTATCAACATGTTATATAATATCTACATTAAAAATATTTATTGTTTTCTCTTAAAATTATTTTTACTGGAGATATTTTGTGACGGAGATATTTTTAACAGTGGTATTTTGACATGGAAGCTTTTAAACATTAATAACTAATAATACATTCACCTTCGCGGTCATTGCACCATTCTGGATTCATTCTATCTGGTCTGAGTCCTAATGTGATAAGTCGTTCACGGTGTTGCATTAATCTATAGTTTCAATAAATTACGATTTTTACATTATTTCAGTTTTAATATGATTAAATTAGTTATTATAAATTACCTATATTCAGCAGCTAATGCATTAGTTGACGGGTTAGCCCATAATCTTTCAGCTAGAGCTGCAGCTCTTGGCCACACTTTAATATCCAGACCGAAATCATCAACAAATTCAGTAAACATACAAGTCTAGCAAAATTAATTATACAAATAATAAGTAAAATAATGTCATAAGATTAATATAAATAAATAAGGTATTACTTCCGCTCCTAAAATGTGATCCGAATTATTACTCATCGGTAATTTGTTATTATAAATCAATTTCCATGAATGATAAGTAGTGGGTGGCCTTAATCCATGATCTAAATAATATATATCTTCTACAGCTACGACTACCTTATAACCCAAATTTGCTAAATCTACAGAAAGTGCATTTCCGTACCAAACTTCTATTATGTATCGATTTTTGTCGAGATGCTTTTCAATTATGTTTGGCTCAGTTAAGCCACTAGACCAAACAATTATATCCGAATCAGAATCGCCAACTTCATTATCATATGCATTTAAAGCTTTGCTATGAAACTCGGACCATAAATCTAGATACGCACTTTCAGTTAGGCTTCGATTATTGGTCTGCATCCAATCAACGATTTCAGATGTTGTATTCCAACACTTCACAGCAACCTACATGTGTATATACATTTAGAAGTAACTGCATTTTTTTTAAAAATTTTTGGTAAGTAAATGTATTTCAAATTTACCTCATCGCCACCCATATGGAATGTTTCTCCTTTAGGAAATATGCTAACTAAATCTTTATATAATTTTCCTAACCATGTATACGTATTGTTGTTTATTGGATTTAATTGTCCACATGGTGGTTGTACACAATAATCCCACCACGGGTGTTTACCTAAACAAACAACCATATCTCCATATCCAGATTCTTTACCCCACTGCCACCCATAACCAGCGTGCGCTGGAGAATCAATTTCCATAATAATTCTAATTCCTCTAACTAACGCATATCTTAGAAGATCTTTGATATCTGTATATGAATATATTTTTTTTGGACTGTAAGCACCATACCTAAAAAAATCAATTAACATATTCAAATAATTTTTTATTAAGGTATTTATCTGTTATTTTGATAACGATGACAATTTCATCGCATCAAACAATGATATGTAATTTATGTTTGAGTATGACTACTCAATTGTTAGTAACCAAGCAATTTAAAATATAGAATTGATAGTGATTAAGATTTAATAAAAAAAAGATGTATTTACTTATAATATATTGTGTGTTTTACTGTAATTATTAGGTTATTATTATAAATCAACCAACATTGAACATTTTTTCAATTCAGAGAATATTTTTGTAAATACCATTTGATTAATATGTGGATTTTAATCAGATAAACACGTAGTATGCACATTTATTTAAGTTATCAAATGATGATTGTGAAATCAAGTTAAATACATGTGTGTTTAAACAGCTATTTACGAGTTATTTATTTAAAATTAAACAAATATAGTTTTAAGTTATGTATTATACATATTATATACCATATATAGTTATATAATAACAAGTTCTGTTATTGATATGTTATATGAATGTTTATATTGATTATCTTTTACGATGGATCGATTACAATAACTGGTATGGACGTATAATTTATATTTATTTTTATTTAATTATTACCTAAGGTTATATTTAACAGTAATTATTGAATTATTTAAAAAGTATACAATATTAAATTGAAAACTCTTTGAAGATTTGAGTCAAATATTTCATAGTATTTGATTAATTTGTTGTATCAAAATATTTTCTTTGGTAGTAGGTATAGTCTGTATTATATTACACTTCGTTAAACTTAATTATACGTTGGTAGTTAAAAATTTTAATCACGTCTTACATTGCCATTTGAGGAATACTAGGCAAATCTAAAGGAAAGCTATGGGAGTCAGTTGCATGCCAATGAAATACATTAAGTTTAGAATGACCCATAGCATCGAGTGTTCTTTTGATTGATGATATTGGAAAGTAATTCCTCGAGGTATCGAGCATAAATCCTCTATGTGAATACATTGGTTTGTCCATTATTTGTACATCTCCAGCTATCACTATTGTCTTTCCGGAAGAATTATGCTCATACGTTGTTATCAGCTGTCGTAGTGTTTCAAATCCATTTCTAGCTCCGTATACGGTTTGTGCTGTTATATTAACAGTTATTTGATTCACTATAGACATTTAAATTACATTAGTTTTCTCTAGAAGTATAAAATTAGTATTACATTCTCTCACTTACAATGATCGGTGGAAACATGTAAATCATAACTTTCGTTAGTTGACCATTTTAGATTAGCGAAAGGAGTAGTTGTAGTCACAAAAATTGTCAAATTATTAGTTTTTGGAATACATTGGGGTTCACAAAGTTTTTTTAAAGATAACATAAATACTTGAGATACTTCAGCGATGTATTTTTTGCCAAGTTCGTCAGTCACCGATGATGTATTAAAAACAACATTATTGAGTCCAAATTTGATTACTGAATCACTATAATTTAAGAAAAATTGTACTTCATAAAAATAATAAATTATATTTATTGTAATAAAATATTAATAAATCCTTTATTTTTACTTTATGGTAGTCATAATAGTTGGCCTTGGCCAAAGTGATCCATAATGCCCGCAAGTTAAACGACAAACATCTATGGACTCTACAATTTCAGTATTGCTTTCTTTACTTTTATTTTGATATTCGCTTATAATGCATGTATGATTAACGCATTTATATATTTTACTAAGTAAAAAAAATTATAAATATTAGTGTGCTTATTTTAATTGAGTTTTTACTAATTTTCAATATTTTTGTACTTCATGTTAAAATATGTAACGTTATGAGTAATCTGATAAGTACTAATATGTATTTATTATTTCGGAACATCATGGATTTTTACGATATTTGTTTTTATATTGTTAGTTAAGCTTAAAGTATAAATACCGTTAATTTATTATGGAAATTTAACATAACCGCTATTTTTAAATTTAAGGCATAAACTAAAATATTGAAAAAATAACCCTGAGCGAAGGTCGAAATGATATGTTTCTTGAATACTTTGTCTTACATAGTTATAACTTAGATTAGCATGAAATTAAAAACATTTAAAAAAAATCGAAAAATAATCTATTATAAGGAAGTACTTTTATTTCTGATCGAAAGGAATCTTCTATTATTATTAGAGAATTATTAAACTTTTTGTGCAAATTTATTACCAGAAAGTATTATTGTAGCAAAAAACAAGACTTATAAAATTAACAACATTTTCATTTCACTTAGTGTTTCAATTCGTATAAGATTCTTTGAATATTAAGATGTACAAACGAATAAAAATATATTATTGCAACTCTAAATTTACCTGTTGAATAGTGAATTGGATTCGGCAGTGGCTAATTTAATGGATAAGAACTGGCACTGCAGTAATAGTATACTGGTAATATACCTCCAGCAATCCATGTTTTGTATTCTTTTTAAATATAAAGAAACTGTATAAAGAATATAATGTATATAACCATATTGTGAATATTTTATATTGTTTTTGCATCGAAAAAAACTTATAGATCTTATCATTAAAGTAACAGATATTAAATTAAGAACTACTTACTTATCATTCACATATAAAATATAAAGTTTTCTGATTATAATATTATCAAATAAATGAAAATAGGTATAACATACTTTTGGAAATAATAACTAAATTTAAAACAAATACCTTGCAGTTATATGTGCACTTATATCTATTTTATTGTATTCTTTTCTGGAATTATCAAAAAATAATTTATGTTAAAAAATAATTAAAATTTAAACATCAGCAACCAAAAATAAATAATCATAAATTATAATATTTAATAAATAACTCAAATTCGAAGCAGTGAATTTTACTTACATATAATATGACGTTCAACTGTTGAATAATTCTTCAGTTCTTCGTGTGTTTGATCTAATGTTTTCGATTCGAAACCGGTTTTATTCCATTATAATATATTAGAAGGTCCATAACAATATACATTTCCCACTTTCTTGCATTCAACATTAGCACTTATCGAAAGTGTGGTAAATTGTGTAATATTTGATACCTACCTAAACGTTTTTAATATGTCATGTTCGTGTTTCCTTTGACAGAGTATCATTGCCTGATTATCATATTGACGTGCTACTGTGCTAGTTGTAAATTATCAATCAGCTATTTTCCTCTTCCAATTTTATACTTGTCTATGTTTGTTGGAAACATAGTTAAGTTCAGGAAAACTAATTAGTTAACTTGTAAATGTACACTATGATTTATGAGCGAGTTGTTATCCTACTTTTACAAATTTATAACTATTGTATAAATTATTCATTTAAATAAAACTTGTAGACCATACAATTTAATTAATCGAGTATTATTTTCTGATTCGGCTTTATTCTATAACTACTGTGTATTCAAATTTGATATAACTGTTCAAAATGTAGGCACTTTGCTCTTGCGAATGTCTGCAAGATTAAGTCGGTCCTACCCGACTGGTGTGTTTGGTTGATATTAGTCAACACTGCAGGAAAATCATCGTTGTATATATATATATCAATTAATTAATTAATTAAAATAATAATATTAAATTAATCTACAAATAGTTTTTTTGGTCTTATTGGTATATCGCCCTATGAGGTAAGCAATGGTTTTGTAGATCTAATATCAGATGCACCTGTTCACGCAACTGAAACTTTTACGGATTATATTCTAGAAACTTTTGTTGATGAAAATAGTTTTTTTCCGTCATATTTGTGGACAGAAAGTCCATCATCTGAATATAAGACAACAAATGGGCCCGAAGCATTTCATCGAGACTTCAATAATTAGTTTTATACAAATCATACATATTGTTGTAATGCAATCAATACGTTGATGGAAATTCAAGAAGAAACTTATTTAAAGATATGTAGTATTAAAAAAAATATACAAATATTATAAGAAAAAAAGTTCAGATAACATTGAGTTTATTTTAAAAAAATACTATAAGTTTAAATTTTAAACCCATTGTATTTTGTAACTTTAAACTTGTAAGTTCATAATGACATAAGGAATTATTTATATGACATCGTTCCAATTTTTGTCGAGGAAAAAATATAGATAAGTAAATAGATAAAATAATATTTTAATAGTATTTTTATAATGAAAGACCAAATATTTTAATCTAATATGACAAAATAAAATAAAATATTAATAAATTATTAGTATTAAAATATTAATAATAATCTGGGTATTCCAGCAGACTTTTCACTTATAAAAAATACCAATTAGGAGTCGTTTACAAACATACGTAAACCAGGATAAAGGTATTTTTAAAACCGATGGTTCAATTTTATATTGCAATATTTGTGAAATTTTTATATGATTTAAAATAAAATATTTTTGATTTAATTATAAGTGTACACGAGTATTTAAAATAAATGTATATTTTGTAGCTCATTACAAAATTTTTAGGAGCATATTTTGAGGATTTTTTTTGTGTATATAAATCCATTCCCTATATATAACTAAATTGTGAATATTTTATTAAATAATATAAATATTATAATGCATTTGTAATAATTTATTACAAATGCATTACATATCTTGAATGTTGAGTATTTCTGCTTATATTGTGTATCAGTCTTAAATGTCTTCCAAATTATACCGTTGATCCACCAACACAACAAAACACTGTGTTTTAATCATCTTCACATAGGTCACAAAAAGCTTTATAACCCTCACTTAGGAATTTCGAAAATTAAATTTGGTCATTCGTTTGTGCTAATTTGTGCACTTATTCCCGAAATTTGTGCTTTCATCGTTCCCGAGATATTCAAATTTTGTTGTGGGAGTGCCGAGGATATGCTCAGCACCCCCACTTTGGAATTAAAAAATTAAATGATAAGTTTGATTTTAATTTTGTTTTTAGCCATTACTTGTACTGTATAGTTGATATACCGGCGCAATAGATGTATACTATACAGGTAGTGTTTCAAATTCGGCGCAATTGACGAATACCGTTTATAAAAATTCGGGACCCAACTAGTGTAGTCATTTTAAATTCGGAACCCAATTTGGATGCAGCTATTAAACTATTATACTTACAGTTTATACCTGTATAAAATTATACGATAAACAAATAAATCTTACTAATTTTTAAGCAAAGCTAATAACTATTCATAACATCTTTAAATAATAAAAGGTAGTTAAGTGATAAAGAGTTATACTATTTGTATTATTAATTAATAATCAATTAATAATTATTGGAATATTCATAATATTATAATTTTATAAATATTAAAATTTAGAGTGTATATGAATTCTGAATTAATATACAAGGGTATATACTGGTATATATATATATATATATTATGGTTATTAAATACTCAGGGTTTAATGTTTTTTGCCAGCGTGCCCGGACTGTGTTTACCCGTGTATTCTAATACCCGTTTACAACCATAAACTCTAATTTATACCAATGAATTTTCGATAAAATGTGTACAAGCCAAAGAATAAATAATTTTTGACTACAACATGGTTAGTGCGTTATCTGACCATACGAACTTAATAGCATAAGCTTAATAATATTCAACAATATATATATATATATTTGTAATAAACAAATAATCGTATTGAATTATGAAATGTACATCTTTATTAATTGCACCGTATAAATAAATAATGCTGTGCATATGAAGTAAACAATCATAGATTATTCTTATATAGTGCACAAATTCATTAAATAGTAGATAGTAGGTATTTAATAGTTAAAATACTGTTTTTCTAATGTTTTAATACTCATCAAAAATCTATACTTGAAAAGTATTGGGTTTCAATAATAAAAAAAAAAAGAAAACAATATGAAAGAATTGATTTAGTTTTAGTTACTATTGTATATATATTATTACTCCAGGTACACAGCTGTGTATAATATATTAGAAAATTAAATAAAACCAATCCAAATTTTCGTTTTAATGTATTCAAATATTACCTATTTAATATAATTATTATAAACATTTGTATTTATTATTATTAAATCTGATAAATTGCGTAATCAAATAAAACGTTTCAACAGATATATTTTCGATTATAGTATACTCGGATTACAAATTTAAATATGAAATTGTAATTATTCATAATAAAAACGATACAGAGATAGATAACGAGTAGGTATTCTATTTTTCACAGTAAGATAGATTTAGAGGAAAATAATATTATAAAGCGTTTACCTTATAATATTATTTTTTAGATCAAAGTTTGATGAGGATCATTTATACATGATATATATAGCTAACATAAAATATAAATAAACATAAAAATATTGATGAATATTTTTATTAGTAGTTACAACATATGTTAATATTTATTTATTTTTTTTTTAATTAAACTGACTTACATTATTATAGAATACAAGCAAACCTTCATAGTTTATACAAAATTAATATCTAATATGTTTTATTTTTCAATTTTGAATCATATACATTAGAATACTCTGAACTAAATTCTATGATGTATATATAATCAGTCGTTATTAAATACTTGAATATCATGGAAAAGAAGTAACTATTTAAAAAAAGTTAGGATCTTTACATAATATAATATAAATTAGTGAAGTAATCAATAATACATTAATCTGTTATTAGTTTCATGTTATATTACATAAGACGATTTTTCCAAAGAACATATACTTATTTTAAATATTTAAAATAGATAAATAAATATACAAATAAAAAAATGTTTAAATAAATTTAATTATTTACAGAAATAAATTTACTTTTTATTTATGTATTCATTTACGAGTATTAACAATTTAATAATTTTTGTTTTATTTTGTTATTTTATTAAAAAATGTTGATGTTTAAAAGAGTACTTATATAATAAAATATTTGCCTTATTAAACAATTCTGATTTAAAATTGTGTGAGCCTAACTTAAATTATTTTTTTCTTACATGTTGTACTTACAGTATTATATTTTTTATACACATACATTTTTAAAAAATTATTCGTTATAATAGAAAGTAGGTAATTAACTAAAATTAATATTTTTTAAATGTTACTAAAATATTAGTAATAATTATTATAATATTATCTGGTCCTTAAAAATTGTAACTAAAAGTAATATTTCATTTTGTTATTCAAAGTAATTATTTTATGAAAAAATCAATTTAATCGTTAACGTTAATGTCATTTTCTTCTTCTGGACTGGTCGAGCGAGATTTTGAGCATGTTAAATCAACGGAACCTACCATTAATGATAGATTTCCATTCATATCAGATCTAGATTCCTGATGATGAGCCAATCGTATATTCGAAACATCATTTCCTAAAAACGTAATATATTATTAACGCTTTGAAATATTATACTGATAATTCTACTGTTTACATAAACTAAATAATATTTAGATTTATAAGAATTAATTTAAAACGGCTTCAAATAAGTTTATAGATTATTTTTAATTAATTAAATAAATAAGTAAATTGATTGTATGATGTATTTAACACTAAATTGCATACTAAATTATTTATTTTTTATTGAACGAATATTAATTAATTTTTTCAACTTAAATACATATAATAAATATGTTAATATATATATATATATATATATATATATATATATATATATATAAAATACTTTTATTGAAATATTTTCAATCTTATACAGTTTTTGCAATATAAGTACATTTTTTATAGAAAATAAATAAAAATTGATTGCTTGACCAAAAAAGCGTATAGCTGAGAAACTATGAAATTTTTTATTTTTTCACATTGGTTAGTTTCGACACGATATTATAAATGTGTGTTTAAATAATAGCTTTAAATATTTATAAATAATTAATTACTTGCTTGGTTTTCATACTGAACATTTTTCAGTCTATGTAAAGCCATTCTATTTCAGAATACGAAATTAAATATACATATTGTGATCAAAAGAAAAAATATAAATTTTAAAATTATTAAGAAGAAAAATAGTCAAATCAATAATTGGTGTCGGGTTATGTGTTCGAAAATGATATGTTTGAATAAAATGTGTTCGAATGAAAAGTGTTTGAAAAAGCATATGTTCGGATGAATTTTTGTTCGAAAACTTGGTAATTATTATTTTGATATTATAGATATTAAGATATATATTATCTATAATATATAAAAATTAATAATCGTATAATCCGACTATTATACCGTTAACCAAGGAAAGACAGACGTGTATTTAACATTAATATAGTATCTGATATAGAGCAATATATTTTATCTACTCGTTATGTTATCGTAAGCGTAATCAATAAACATAATATGGGTTTCTGTAACATAGGCACCAACTGTAATTTACCGACTGCTGCAGTATATTTTTTATAATAATTATTGACAAATATATATATATATATATTTGTATGTCAAAATATAATATATATTCATAACACTTCTTCCAAAAATTCAGAACTAGAACGAAAGCTTAATTGAACAATTTATTCAAGGCAGAATTGCAAAAAAATTAAGGTATCCCGACAACAACATGAAAATAGAATTAAAAATTTAGTTTTAAGATTTAAAAATAGTAATCAAAATAATATAGTTTTTAAGAGGCATTGCGTACAATTTAAACATTTAATAATTTTTTACTATATAAATAATAAAGAAATAAATAATTTAATAAATGTTTTTTTTTAACAATGAGTTTAATTTTTCGAACTAACACCCATTCGAACAAAAATTCATTCGAACATATTTTTCATCGAACACTTTTCATTCGAACAAATTTTATTCGAACACGTCATTTTCGAACACATAACCCCTCATCCAATAATTGCTTTCGTAAAAATGTTTTGTGTATTGATACTTTTAAATGATGTATACAATTTTTAATTATTCATAAATTATCCGAGAAAACGTGTATTCAACATAAATAAATCACTCTGTATTAAAATGTTATGATCTTATTTTACCAGTAGAAGAATATGGGCAGAATAACTTGGTAGTTGCTGCATGTGTGGGCGGTCCGGATAAGGTTGATCTCTCTGTTACTTGAAAGCTATAATAAATTTGAAATTTTTTGATTATATTTAAATAATTTTCAACATTATTTAACACACTTTTGAAGCATTCTGTAGCTTCCCGGCACATGGGTAGGTGATGAGACGGACGATTGGGTAGGCGGTGATGTCGGGGATCCTTTTTCATCAGTTAAACGAGTTGTTCCTTCGGGTACTTGACGGCCTAAAAATAAATATACATTTATAAATAAAATTAGAACCATCTTTTTTATTTTATTATTTACCTAATAAAAGGGTTTGTGTGTTTAAACCCATACAGCGGATTCTCCAAGCATCTTGAATTATTTGAAGTCGAGCATGTTTACGCCATTTAGCTCTACGGTTCTGAAACCACACCTAATCGCAAATAATGAAATTGGTTGCGATTTATATTTTCTTTTCTTCTATTATATCAAATTTATTTAAATATATTTATATTTATATTTTTAACATCAAATTAATAATAATTAATAACTTATCATAATTACACACACACATATATATATTTAATTTATAAATCAATTAAGTATTTTAAATATTATTTTTTTAATTTTTTATTCTAATTGTGTTATATTTAAAACTTAAGAATTTCAGATTTAAAACTTCTAACAATTTTTTTAATTAAATTTTCATAAAAATAAAGTTTTATGGTTAAAATGATTTAAAATCAATTTAATAAAGTCATAGTTTATTTCATTTTACGAATTGAAAAAAAATATTTGTTGATTAACTTGATTTATTATTATACATTTATATCACTACTATAACAATTTCTTTTAGAATATCTATGTGTTAACAAAAACTAATTAATTCTAACCTGTACACGGGCTTCGGAAAGATTAATCCGAAGAGCTACTTCTTCTCTCAAAAATACATCCGGGTAGTGGGTTTTCTGGAATAGACTTTCAAGTTCTTGGAGCTGTTGTGGTGTAAAAGTCGTTCGGTTTCTTCTCTATTTAAAATCAATAATAGTATAATTTTATTTATCGATAATATAGATTTGAAAACTAAAATTCCATTCAGTTTGAATGTAAAATACAGTTTTTATTTATTTTATTAATTGTAGCGAACTTGCCTGTCTACGTCTACCAAACATGTACTCCGATAAAAGGTCGCCGGGCAACGGCGATAAGTAGGGTCCTCCGGCCATAGCGCACCACGATAGGGATGATTATGATTTCGAAATTTAACTGACAATACAAGCATCCCTCCGGAAAATACGGCTTGTCTAGAAGCTTCCCATTGGATGCAATGTCCGACCAATGGTAGCGTTTCATTCGGTCGCGCCCTGTATTTCCCTCCCGTATGATAATTGCGTAGTAAAGATAATATAATAAAAATGAAATAATATAAAATGTATATCGTGTTTTATTTAAATTTATAGTATAATCAAACTTGAAATGTTTATTAACTGTACAATTTACGGAATCATACAGTTAAGTATAGTTAAAACTATTTATCTAAGTCACACATATCAATAATAATAAATGTTAGAGGGCAATAATGGATTATATAACATTTATATATATATATGAATTAATTTATGTTGAAAATATTAACTAATGTACATTTTTAAAACTTTTACTAAAAAAGTTTTCATAATATGATACGTATAAGTAAGGCATTATCATGCTACTGTGACGTTCACATAATTGAGGGTAGTTATTAAAATCACATAAATAATATAAAAAAGATGATTATTTTTATTTCCAAATTAGTTTTAAGTACAATCAATTATTTTTAGTTGTTTTAATACTATTTCTTAAACATTGATCATAGTTTTAATAGTTTATTTTAAAAAGTAAAGTATTTTTGTCGTAAATTATAATAAAAATATATCTTTTTATCACAGCAAGTTGAATAGCAGTTATACATTAAATTATTATTAAATATTAAGCATTTAGATGTTATTGGATGATTATACTACTTAATTAATATAATAAAATCTTATGATTCATATGAGTTGGATAGCAAATGGAGTATGTTCTTATTTAGAAAATACCTTAAACTAGTTGAAACTATTGAAATAATGTAAATGTAAAATTAGATTATAGTTAAATATATATAAACTACCTAAAGTTTTAAGTTGCAGAACAAATCATGACTATATTAATTACTACTATAATAAATTAGTTAATTGCTCTTTATTACTCTACTGCAGTATTTTTTAATACATTTTACTATACTAAAAATGTTTAATCTATATACGAATTATCTGGTATTTAATTTTCTGTCTTAAAAATTAAAACAAAAGTGTTGTTAGGTATAAACCTGAAAATAAGTTTATTATGCATATTGTAGTGTGCAAAAATTGAATCTTAGTAAGACTAAACGTGTTTAATCTAACTTAAATTTAATTTTTAGATCTACAAGATAAAATTGAAATAATTTTAAAATTATGCCACAAATTTTATTTTTTTCCTTTTTATATTTGAATATACTAAAAATTTAAAATTAAATTAAAAACTTAATGTTCATATATATTATAGAGTTTTCATATTTATTTTTTAAATATTTTTAAACTATTAGTACTATTTTTTTTTTAATCAAATAAATATCATTCACAATTTTATAAAGCTAAGGTTGATTAATACAATCAAGTCGTGATAACTATAACTACGAAAACTCGAAAAACTTGACAACTCAATTTTTTATTTATTCCCCTAGAAATTCTCATAATACTCAATGTATTGTAAGTCTTGTTAACTCAAATATAAAATTGTGATAAATAACTTAGTCGAAGTATATTATTATATCTGTTATATCTGTACTCTGTATAATAAAAAGTAAACGAGTAGATAGGAACTGATTATTAGCGCATGCACAATAATAGTAAGTATGTATTAGTTAGTATGTATAGTAATGTACAACCAAATACAAATGTCGATTGTTTCAAAAAAGCTGGATTCTATTTTAATGAAGAGCAGTTTGATGGTGATGTACCTATGTTTAGAAAATAATGACGATGGTGATGGTGGATATGATTGGCAAATTGTAGCAGATATACTCAATATCGATCAACCGACTACATTTCAATCTTATGCTACAATTGTTGATAATGTTGTAGTCAGTGGACTATTATAAACTTATATTATATAGTATATTTGATATATACTTTTACTGATAACGAAATCATGGGTATAAAATGTGTATTATAGAATGTGTAACATGTATATCAAAAAATGATTCTTGATGAGCCTGAAAGACCTTTTAATATGATAACAGTGAACCAAGTAATGCTATCATTACAAGCTGTTAGGTAATTTATTAAATCTGTCGAAGGCGTGAATACTTCTACATTTGAAGCCATAGGCAAATTAGAAGATATTGTGTTAACATTTATGTGCATAAATTTATCATATTGTTTTTTATCGTAAATTTTTAAAATTATATTTCATTACATTACTCGAAGTTTTGATTTAATTTTGATAAATTCGTGTTAGGTATCTCGAATCATACATATCTCGAAGTGAGTTTTTATCCCCCTTCAATTTCGAGCTATCGCGACTCTACTGTATTATTAATACAATTAATTTGAATGTAAGAATACTCATTAAAGTAAAACCAAAACATTCCCTTGAAGTTGTACTAATATGATCAAAAGAAATTTTGATTTAAAGATGTAATCACATGTAATCACATTATTCTGACTATTATAGATTTTAGTTTTCTGTACACAATTATAAAATAATGTGCAATACGCTAAAGTAGATCAATTGATTCATTCATATCCAATGTTATTATCATGTTAGGTTTTTTAGTCTTCAAGTGCATTATCCTTTATACACAAAAAAAAAAAAAAAAGACAGATGGAAAAAAGGCGTGTCCTTTTAAAACATTTATTATAGTTGAAGGGTGGTGAGGTTCTGTTGTCCAAAATTAATAAAATCCAAACAGGGGTGACTCGAAAAGAACGAATGTTCAACAAGTAATAATTACATACACCATGATTTCAATCAATTCGTTTTTACTATTTATTTAATTCATAACTCTTGTTGGTTGCAATGATTTTAGATTTTTCAAGGGTGAAATAGGTATCACGTAGAGTTCTTTGTAAAACAAATATTCATAACAAAACAGCTATTGTCAATGGGAAATGGACATCTGTTGTGTTAGATAGTCATCAATTGACAAATGTGTGCTATAAAAAAAATCTATCAAAAATAGTTCTGCTAACACCCTTAAATATAATATTTCGTAAACATAATTAAATAATAGCTTACATTATAATTCACTATTATTTTATACTATCATCATTAGTTAATTTAAAACTCTATTATAGACGACACAATTCGTTTAAATTAGGGCTCTCGGTTTGGAACGTGTATTGATATACGAGTGTACACGTAGTCCGAATATTAAATAATAATATGTAGGAATACCCGTGTATTTAATTAGACGTGTTTTTAAAATTTGTGTACATGTGTATTTTAATACACGTGTGTTAAAAGTTCATATACCCGTGTATTAAAATTACCCGTGTAACAGAAACTTGCATACATTTTTTTTAAATTAATAATATTACCATATTATTCTGACGTGTGATATACAATTTTCGCATACTGAGTTATTTTATCTCTTATGAGTATGTCGTGTGTTATTGACCGATGATTGACATTTTTTTTTTGGTAACATATTGTTATTTATTATTAATATTCATAGAAAAATCAAATACAAAATTTATAATTTATATTATTTTGTATGAATCTAATTTGTAATTTATTAAAAGAATTGGTTTGGTCGTATTTATAAGTTATTTTTATAGAGTTTTTCTATAAAATATATTATAAAACAATTGTATAAAAAAAAACTCAAATTAATAGTTATTCATTTATTATTAAAATAAATGTTTCCTATTTAAAAATTAAATTAAATTTGTGTTTACTATATTTAAATAACAATGGGGGAGGGTCACATTGGTCACGTGCTCCTGTTACCCATCCTTGTATCCATCGCTGATCATAACGTATGGACTTTTAATACACGACTACATGGATTATAAATGCACATGTACACGTGTATTTTAATAACACGCACTTTAGCACCGTTTCTATAAAAACACGTGCGGAACGTATTCTTAAATACACGTAAAATAGAGACCACTAGTTTAAATACGAGTATACTGCACATTATTATTTTGAAATTGTATTTTATGTTGTATTGTAATACTTTAATAGATATTACATTCATTAATGATTAAAGTATATGAAGTATTTATACTGGCTATTAAGACTAATAAACAAAAATCTTAAATTGTAACATTAATATAAGTTGTTATATAATATATGAAAAGATTAGAACAGACACGCTTAACTATTCTTGCATTTTTTCATAGTAAAATTAAATCATAACAATAAATTATTTTTTATAAATTAAAATATCTTAAAGTTATGAACTATATGCTATTCAATACATTTACAATATTTTTAATGATAAACTTACCAAATTGCAAAAAAGTTATTCAAACTAATAAATATGTACCTATTTTGGGTACAAATATCATCATTTTTTCACCCAAAAGTGTCATTTTATTGAATATTTTTATACAGCATTTTTTTTTGTATGATGATTGAAATATCATAGATAGTTAATTTAAAAATCAGCACAGCTAATATAATAAAACTTAAACATATATAATAGATGAAAAAAAAAGTATTAACATAAATTAGTTTTTAAAAATAATTATCATGAAAAATTTATTTATTTATTTATTTATTTAATCATGATATTTTCAATAATACTTCGTTTATACCATAATAATTTTTTTATAAAATAAATAAATAATTTTTAAACAAAGAATATGATTTTGATAGTACCACGGACATAAAAGGAAAATTATCAGCAAAAAGGATTTGAGTTAACGTGATTAGATATTTTTCAATAGGCACAACATGGGCTCTTAAAAACTGAAATAAAATTAACTTTACCGCTTTATATTAGTATAATGGATTTTTTTGTGTACATGTTAATATTATTAGTTAATGACGGGAACTATATAAAAAAAAAAAATGAATAAAAAAAAAATGAGCGTATAAAAGAATATACTTGAAATAAGCTGAGCTGAATATTTTAAAGTTTGGAAGCCCTTCTTTATTGAAAATAATTTACATTTTTTTTATAATTGAAAAATGAAAAATATATCTTTATACTAATAGTCTATAATCAAATAAGAAAATATATCTTTATAATGATTTTGATAGATTATTAATAAATATTTAGCAAGCTTTTCATGTAATTAAAGTTGTCTTTAGTATAATTTT